TTTAAAGCAAAACACCATGTAAAAATAAAAACAACATCTTGAGGTTAGAATTCGAACCCATTCGTGATAGTCTTCCCAAAACTTTTCTCGTGAGGGCCGTACGCGATCATGAGAACAGAGCCGGAAAAACTTGCATGAGCTGGCTTACGGTCCGGCGTGATGCAAGATGGTAAAATTGTCAGCCAGAAGAAGAACGACAGTCTTAGGATTAAACGCTCCTTGTCTGAATTCGGTCGCGCTGGACCGGAAAACACTTTGCTCTCGGCCATAATGTGCGAACGAGAAGGCCTTCTCACTACATCTGCAACTACATACTGCGCTCTAAAATATAATTTAGGAGTAAATTTTCCTCGTAAACATTCTTTAGCTTAAAACATACCTCTCCCGTTTAAACGCCGGATGTAAAACCAACCAGAGGCCGAGCGAAAATTTTCAGGCCTCGCCTCTTTGGTGCGGTTGTTCAATTCGCAGATCTTTTCCTTTCTGTTGTAGTTATAGCTTTGGCAGGTGATTTCTTGTCCACATCGAATATCACAGATGTGAGGAGCTGATGCTGACATTCTTTTAAACACAAAATTTTCAAGTTTCATGCCTTGAATGTTGATCTCCATCCTGCACTGTTCATTAGCAGATACGCGGCCCGCGAAAAAAGCCAAGATAAAGAAACAAAAATTTGGCCACGGCATTTTTCCTGTAGGAATAAAGAATTAATCCATGCTTAGCGTGCGTATATGACGTTGTGGATACACGTGGAAAGTTTGGAGACCACAAGTCACAGCCGAGAGCAACTCTAGGTTGTTGATAAAACTACTTTTTTCAGTCTTCCTTTTTTTGTATATTGGTGACATTTTTTACTGTTTGAGTGGTTCTCGTCCAGAGATCTTGAGTCTTGAGATTTGAGTATTAGTTGTAAAATAACATCCGGTTTTCCAGCCATTCCTCTTCAATTTTATATCAAAACTAATGAAAAGAAAGGTCTCTTACCTTTAAAGAGGAAATTAAAGTACAGATATTTGAGTTTCTTTGGCGTGGACCACCATTCAGAAAGTTTGTACTTTGTTTCAATTAAAAAATTAGTAAGAACAAAAACGAATACACAATTGAATTCAGTCCCCTACCTTACTGAAAGTCTCGTCTGACAGCTTGAGCCATCGTTTTTTGGTAATCTGTAATGAATGCAAAATAGCCTCACATTCATAATATTTTGATTATGAATTGTAAATAATATCACCTGGTGAATGACAATTTGCCTCTAAATTATTTGTGATCGCTGTAAATTAAAGATAATACCAGATCACCATTACTTTTTAACAGGTTGTAAAAGTTCATTATAGCCCCCTTTCAAATCGGAAAACCCATGTGCCGGTCTTAAGTATTCTGCATCTACAATATGAGTTCGAGTTCCGCTTTTCCAAGCATCCCTTGATAAATGTCATTTAATGATAACCCCTATTAGCATCTTCATCAGTGACGAGGGATTTCAATACCTGCCCCTTAAGTGTCCCGGGCAACGTTTAGTTGGCGCCAAGATTTTTCCTACAGGATTTTATGTAAATTCTTCTATATTGGTCGATAAATAATCATTTAAAGGTTGAAAATAAGCTTCTTAAACGTGTCTTTTTTTATTATGGTTTATGAGATGGTGCGTACGTGTATAAACAGAAATAAAAACCACTTTCCGAACAGGTGGAATTCAAGTCACAAATATTAAATTCATAATTCGAGCTCAAGAGAACACAGTGAACAGAAGTCTAACGATCTTTGTTCTGCTCATACTTCTTTGATTTCCAGCATAAACTAGACCTAAATTCTCAGAATTATGAACATGTTTGAGAAATGTGATGAATTGCACTTAAACTGCACCTTATTACATATAAATCATACACCGACTGACTTGAGTAATAGTTTTTAATTACGTTTCTTAATTATGTACATTTTGACTCCGAGTACACTGTTTACTCGAAAGGATGTCAGATATGTGGTCTTTCCTTGGGTTATCGAATCACCTGCAGTAGAATAACAAAAGAAAAAAATTCACCGTTCCCAACATGGTCACACTGATCGACAAAAGACAACTGGGGCGAAAAAGATTTTGACAAAAGAAAAGTTGAAGTTAAACGGACAGCCAACTTCGTATATACAGGGACTACAGGGGTCGTCTTTGACCTTGTTTCCAGTTTAAGTATAGCTAAGAACATAATTTCAGTTTAGTGTCAATAAGCAGGAGTAAATTTTTCAAAGACAACATGATTGCAGAAGCCCGTAAGGCGAGTGCAATTTATAGGTTTTGTAAAATTTGCAAGTACTTATTTTCACCAAATTGAACGAGAAGTGTTGCTATTACTTGGTAATAATTCACTTGGAAAAGCCACCACAGAAAATCAAGCAGACGAAATTTCCACAGTGCGTGTACTGCAGCTGTTTATAATTCACTCTCATTTCACAACGTTACTCTCGTTTTACATCAAAAAATGGACTCGTTTTCAGCAAATCAGAAGCGTGTAATTTTTTCGTGTATATTATTACTCACTTGGCCGAACGACTTGATCTTATGATGTACTAGCGGGTCTTTCTTCGTTTAAGACGGCATAAAAGAACGGACGCGGAAAATGTCTCAACATGACACCGTTTGGCTAACTCACCTCTTTATTATATTTTTCAGATCCGAAGCAAAGCGATCAATTGAATACGATTTGGCAATATTTCATTGTAAAGGGATGGCCTTATGAAACAGAAAAATACAAGTCAAAGGTGTTCATATTTTGAAATGTATTTTTATTGGGAGTCAAATTTCTCTATTCTTATTAACCCTGCCTCACTAAAAACACACTCTGTGCATGCACTTTCCGAGTAAATATTCCTGAATAAGATTTAAAATGAAACTTTTTAATTTAATTATGCTTTTTCATGGTTAAAACCGATTGATCAAACTGTGATGTACATATTCCAAAATGATATTTATGCAAAAAAGATAAAATTAAACATCTTTTTACTTTAAAATTTTTTTAAAGCTAATAAATAATGAAGTACTGATAGATTTTTAGGGGGTTAGTGGTCAGTTCTTTCGATTATGTAAATTTTTAGAGAAGTTTTAATCGAATTAACTTCATTCCGCAAATTACAGTTCGTTTCCAACTCTGTAGAAAAAAAAATTGCAACACTTGTGTCAGGTTTGTTTGACTCCCGCCACTCTATTTTAAAATAACGTAATAATTTTTTCACTCGTGAAATTTTGTAAAGCTAAAAAGGTAATGAAGCACTGGTGAGTGATCAGCTCTCACAATTTTCTACGGTATAAGTTACCGAAGATCAAAAATTGCAAGACCCAAATATGGACACTGACAAGGAGACAAACAAAGAAATTTGATAAAGTTTTTTCGAAGTTTTTGAGACATTTTAATCGAATTAACTTCATTCCGCCAATCACAGCTCGTTTCCAACTCTCAGGTGGACAAAGCACATTTGTTTCTCTTTATTCCAAAATTGTGCTTCTCTGCAACAATTGTGTCAGGTTTGTTTGACTCCCGTCAGTCTGAGCCATTTTAAAATCACGTTATGTAAGATATTACTAACTGGAAGTAACCCCTAGTCGCCGTAAACTTACAGCGGTTCTACATTTCATTGGTTGAACTAAATACAACTGAAAGGAGGGTTAAAGTAACAAATCAAAATGATCCGATTCAAGATCTTGCGAGGTTTCCAAGACTAAGAAGAAAGGGAGAACCTCGTTTTTAATGTGAAATACTACCCATTAAATACTACATTAGCATGATTTGTGCGGCTTTGATACTGGCTTTCGCATTATAAGGGAAACTATAGCACTATACTGCCACCTATTTTGACCTCTGCAACCCTGTATAAAATCTAATGAGAGTTTTTATACACATTAAGTTATAGGTGGGTTGCCATATGATATGACTGCTAGCATTTAAAGCAAGAGACTTCTTATTGCTGCGGTAATACAACGAGCAAATACTATACAACGTCAAAAGCTGTTATAACCTACTTTTAAGGTGACTACGCGCAAAAACCTGACTTGAAGGGGTAAGATAGTTTCAACAACCATTAATCCTTTTTGCCCTTAATTCTACTTCTGTTAGTGAGGACAAATGATATCTCATTTAAGGTCATCAAAGTCACTGTGACCCTAACTAACAGATCTCTTATCAACTAATCTGACTTAGGCGTATCGACCAATGAACTCTTCTACGCTCCAGCTCTTATGGTACATAGTCTCTGAACAGTTACCTGTCTTATTTCTGACAACCTTTTCGTAATGACAAACACAAAAACTCTTATAATTTATAACCTTGTTACGATCACTGCTGAAGTGGATGGCATACTGTATTGAAAGGAATTTTGTGTGTGTCGCAATCAGTGCTAATATGGCACTGTGCGTGCTGTTGCAATGGATTACTCTTAGAAAATGCAATGTAAGACTCGCAGTTTTGAAAAACCAAATCTCACTTGTGTTGATCAGTCTACCTTGGCTGTTTTAATAACATGATTTTTGCAACCTCGATACTGGTTTTTAATTAGGGAAAGCTATTGCGCTATTTTGGAACCTGTTTTGGAAGCTTACTCAAAAATGACCACAATCTTTAATCCTGAACAAAATCTACCAGGAGTTTTTAAAGTTAAGGATTTTTCAAAGTAGATGTTAAGTGTTCATAAGAGCCTTCAACAGAAATTTCAACAAAACAAGAAGCACTTTCATATGATATGATTGCTAGCATCTAAGGCAAAAGACTTTCATTTTGTCGTGGTAATCCAATATAACAAGTGGAGGATACGTACAGCATTTTTTGCCACGCGTATAAAATTGTTTCATAATACTTTTCTACTGTTCCTACAAACAGCGTGTGCCTATCTATGCTAACACAAAGCAAGTTCTCTAAAAGAGAACCACACAATATCAAAAGCTGTTAAACCTTACTCTCAGAAGGTGACTATCTGTAAAAACCTGAAAAACGCTTATCCTTTGTGCCCTAACTCTCCCTTCAGTTGTTTTCGTTTAAGTAGTGAGGACAAATGATATCTCCTTTAAGGTCATCAAAGTTGATGTGAGCCCAGTTGGCAGATTTGTTATCAACCAGTCTGACTTGGGCGTATTGACCGGTGAATTCTGTTACGTCCCATCTCTTACGGAACATTGTCTCGTTACAGTTGCCTGTTTCTGTTCTGACAACCTGCATGTAACAACAAAAATATCAAACAGTTTTAAACCTTTGTTTCAATCAGTGCTGACGTAGCTATCATGACTGTATCATACTTTAATTCAAAGAAAGAGCAACCTCCTACTATTGAAATCAAGATATTACGGCATTGAACGTGCTGATTGCGATGCTCTGCACTGTCGTTTCAGTGTTGTGTATGCCAAAGACAAATAAAGTGTACCAGACGCGAGGTTGTTTCACTCGTAGAACCTCTCTTAAAGAAAATCAAAATAAGCTATTAATAAGGCAAAAATATATTTGAAAAGTAAAACCCAAACGTTTTCGACACTAGATCATTTTGTTTTTTAATATATTTTTTTCCTTGTAAATAGCTCATTGTAAACCATACGAATCTCATGGATATCACGAAGCTCAAAATAGTTTCGCAATTTTGAAAGACCAAATCTCTGATACTTTGACAAATCTACCCAGGCTGCTTCATAAGAATCAAAGGAAACATAATGGTCAAAGTGAATAATCTCACCTGGTTGTCGACAATAAGCTCCGCACGAATATCACTTATGGTACATCCTCCACCGATGAGAAACGAGATATTTCTGCCAACGATACGGAAACAAGGAGACATGAGAGTTCCTCGGGGTTGGTCGGGACCATCTGGGTGCTGCTTTCCTTTTGGATCGTTCTCACTGGGTCGATTCTCACTCCCCCCTATCCACCAGTCCCCTTGCTGCTGTGCGCTTTCTCTGTTGCGTGCTACTGGATTGTCACCAAATGTTGGCTGGTAAATGAAAGCTGTGCCTGTCATTTCCCATCCACCAATTCCATCTTCAAAGTCAAGACTGCAAGCTGGTGAGAAAGAAAAAAGAGGAAATGTTTATCCCGCGGAATACTCTATGACTATCATTCGATGTCGTAAATTCCATTTCATAGTTCTGTATCTACCTTTATTGCAGTATGCGCCAGTGAACCCTGAAGGACATTTACAACGAAATCCTTTATCGGTGTATCCAGCTTGACAAGTGCCATTGTTGTAACAGGAACTGCTGCTGCAGAGATTCTGTTAGAAACAAAATAAATTCCGTCTTATAAATAGTTTTGAGTAGCTCACATATTCGTCCATTGCTTTATCTTAAAGCTACTATTAAAGTGCGTTATATATAGACCATTTTACTTGCAAGCAATCGATCCTCTAATATGCAACTAACTGATCGTTTAATAGATAGACAGTTGAATCGCCTGAAAGATCAGTGATTGACTATTCCGAAGAAATGACCATATAAACTTTCTTAACTTCTTGTCTACGCTCTCGTTACGTCACTGCTAAAAGGATCGCCTAAAAGAATATTTTTGGCCATATGAAATCAGTTCGAAGTACCTCAATGGCAACGTAGATATGACCCTCTTTACTTTGTAGGGCAGACGAGCTTTTATTTCTTCCCGTAGCATTGTTTAACTCACAAATGAAGTTTCCTCCTTGAGTAGCAGGTCGAACATTTATGGACACACAATTGGGCTCCATATAACAAATTACTTTACAGCTGCCCTCATGAGGCACCTCCATACTTCTGATTACGTTTCCCTGCATGAGTTTGTCTTGTACTGGTTGATTCCACACAATGTGGCGGCATCCATCATCTGTTTCAGCAAATATCAAATCAGTATGAAAAAAGGGGTTCATATCATTGTTGACCTTTTGGTTTTGGATCGCATGTGCAGCAAAAGGAGTGAAGCACGTGGGGCAAAAATTTTTACTAGTAATTTTTTAATTATGATTTTGTATAATATTAATGCTTCTTGATTTATTTATTTCAGCTTGCTAAGCTTTGTAAAATACTGGCTGTTGTATATTATTATCAGTTTTTCTGAAGTTATGTAAAGAGGTAATTCGAGTTTCATGAACTGAGGATTTTATATTCAGAAACTACTGTTTACTTTACTTGTATCCAATATTGAAGCAATTATTAACCAAGGCAGTTTACAGAGTTGAGCTTATGCTATCCTTTCAATTATCAAATTTCGAAGGTTAAAAATACCTTCTTTAAAGAAACAGGGTACAAAGAGGAAAAATTTCAGATGGAATCTAGACATCCTGACATCTAAAATCGCTTTAAACCGAGACCTCCGTAATATTTCTTTTACTGAAAACTTCTCCACACGTACCTTCTGGTTTGGGCATCAACACAGTATCATTGTTGCCCGTTAAGGCAGAGAGAAATCTTCTGGTTGCTAAGAAAGGTTCTTTCTGTTTTTATTTTGATTGTTCTTCCAACTTGACGATTATCCTACTTGGAGAGTTACTAGATGTAATATCTTTCAGTGAGCATAAAATCTCTTAGCATATTCCCATTCCATCCTAAAGATACTTAATTTACCTGAACACACACCACCATCTACAGCTGATCCTTCCTTGCAACTACAACCATAAGAACCATTAGTGTTTACACAGGTCGCATTCACACCACAAATGATGCTGGAATTTGCGCACTCGTCAATATCTAAAGAAAAAGGTTTATTATTAAGTTAATACGTGAGCTAAGGGAAAGAAATTTAAAAGCTGGATAAAGGATAAATTACTATTGGTAATGACTTAGACTACAAGTTAATTTAATTCTGACGAGAAATATGGACGGCTCTATAAATATTAGTTGTTATCATATCGCTGCCAGAACCCATGGTCATTTTTAAGCGAATCCTGTCTTCTGATTGGCTACCTAAGCGGGTAAAATAGGCCATCACGCCCGCTCGGGATTGCACGGTTTAATCCCCCGCAAGAAAGAAAATTGCTTGGGGCGAACTTACAAGAGAGTTCGTAAGTTATGGACAGTGTCAGCAACGGAGTCGCAAAAAGCGGTAGAAGGCAGTTAAAGTAACAAAAACTCTCGTGGGTTTATTGGGCTGCAAAAACAGTTGGCTCTCTATCCCGTCTCTTCAAATTAAAAAGTATTTTTTTTATTCTTAATGAAGCAAAATCTTTTTGCCACGTGATAAATGCTTTATTGGCCAAGCTTGTTCGGTCAAGATGGCTGGATATTAGCCGAGGTCTTTTTTCAGCGTTTTTATGGACCGAGTCGAAACAAGTATAAGAGCTGCTGGTGTTGATGCAGTTGGCATTTGCGCCACAAAGGTGGCTGCCTTTCCTGCTTTTAGCTATATCTGAGAGAAGATTTAAAAACACAGGTACGTCTGAGCATCAGACCCCGTTCATTAATGATATCCACTCCCTTGGACAATACAAGTCGAAAGTCTTAAGAAGAGTGTCTTGTCCATTTAGGCGAGTAAAGGTCTTTGGGTGAGAGTAGTATTGGAAGGAGCCTAGCAGTCAATGCTCAACAGATACCTTACCAACCACATACATTGAAAAGAAAACGGAAATATAAATTTTTGGTGAGAGGTAGTGCAGCTTAACTGCCAAGATGAAAGGTCAAAACATAGGAAACTAAGGAATGACCACTTTGCGTTCCTGCATAACATAGACAGTAAACGGGGACGAAGGGAAGTTCAAATAGAGAACAAGTTGACATTCTCCACAGAGCAAAGGAAGTAACGAAGACAAATGAAATGAAATATGGAATAATGTGGTAACTCTGACCAGGAAGGATAACTAACTCAATCTTTGGAAGAAAAGCTTTCAGGAAATTCAAAATGGGGAAGCAACGAAAAGTCGGATCCGACTGATAAAATGCGAATTCCTAATCCTAAGCTGAGGTAAAGAACGAATCGGCTGGAAGAATGGGGCATTAATGATATCCAACTCCCTCGGACATCACAAGACTCAAGTCCCAAGAAAAGTGTGTCTTATCCAATTAGGTGAGCAAAGGTTTGTGTGAGAGTAGTATTGGAAAGAGCCTCACAGCCGATGCTCGACAGATATTCTTACCAACCACAAATAAATTTTTGATCGGCGTGCTTAACGGCTAAGATGAAAGGTCACAACATAGGAAATTAGAGAATGGCCACATTGCGTTTCTATATAACCCAGACAATAAATAAACGGAGGGAAGTTAAAAGAGAGACAAGGTTGACATTGTCCGAAGAGCAGAGAAAGCGACGAGGAAAAATGAAATGAAATAATGACGAATTTGGTATCTCTGACCACGATAGATACTCAGCTCAATCTTTGGAAGAAAAGCTTTCAGGAAATACAAAATAGGGAAGCAACCAAAAAAAGTTTCGGATTCGACTGACAAAATGCCAGTTCCTAACCGTAAGCAGAGGTTAAAACGAAGTAAGTTCATCATACCTGTACATACATGTCCAGTTCCAGTGTATCCCTCCTTACATGTGCATTTATACGAGCCATAGGTGTTTGAACAGTGTGCATTCACGTCACAGTGCAAGATATCACTCTTACATTCATCGATGTCTGGGAGATAAATGGTAAATAATGAAAGAATAGATGAAATAGAAAGTAACAGAAAAAAACAAAAAACTAATAAAAAAAATCTTTGGCAGGTACAGGTTGAGATAAAATGAAATAGGCTAACCTCCAGTCCCCAAGTTCATATCGCAAAACATCAACTCTGTCTTTCCATTTCCAGTTGGATTCAGCCAGTACTTGTTGCTAGTGGAATCTTTTCCCTCACTTGCCTTTATTTCTTGGCAAGACATTGCTGGTAATTCCAGAATGGAACCCAGAGGTGCTGCAATACATAAAAGATTGCAAAATTAATTCGTGGGATAACTAATTTGCAAAAATTTTAAGTTTTGAGCTCGGTAGAAATAGAGAAAGATGTTTTTCGTATTGTCAGGAGCGTGGGACAAATTAAAAAGTTTTGAGTTCTCATGAGGAATCGAACCTCAGACCTTCGGTTTCCGCGCTCCGATGTACCACTGAGCCTCAGAGACTCTAAGGTGGGCGAGGCCCATTACGAAATTCATACATGACACGCGTCCAGCATACTGCTAGAATGTCGACAGCGTCCTGTTTTTGTAAATAGAATAAGAGAGATAGTAGGTAATTTTCTCTTTGTCCCACGCTCGTGACAAGACGGAAAACATCTTCCTCTATGTGCATAAATGTATCTAACTCACTGAAATGTGGTGGAATATTTCATTCGAATTTTTCTTATCTTACTCTGAAAGCGAAGGGTAAAACGGTTATTAAAGCATGTTAAAAATACTACAAAATATGAAAACATCAAAGGTAAATATTATTTATGAATAAATTGACGTTTTAACAAATTCAACCTTTTTTTTCCCCACTTTCATTTCTCTTAGATAAGCATCAGAACTAACATTTTTTTCAAATGTGTTAAAACACAGAAGCAGTAAGATAAGTTTATCGGAAAAACCTAACTCAACATTTTGCTTGAAAATGAAATTTGTTAAAAAAAACTGATAAATGTCCTAAAGAAGCACCTGTCAGGGTTGCTCCCGGCGACACCGTGAAAACACAGAAACTTTAAAGCAAAACACGATGTAAAAATAAAAACAACATCTTGAGGTTAGAATTCGAACCCACGCGTGATAGTCTTCCCAAAACTTTCCTCGTGAGGGCCGCACGCGATCATGAGAACAGAGCTGGAAAAACTTGCATGAGCTGGCTTACGGTCCGGCGTGATGCAATATGGTAAATTGTCAGCCAGAAGAAGATCGACAATTAGGATAAAACGCTCCTTGTCTGAATTTGGTCATGCCGGACCCGAAAACACTTTGCTCTTAGTCATAACGTGCGAACGAGTAGGGTCTTCTCACTGCATCAGCAACTACATACTGCGCTATAAAATATACTTTATGAGTAAATCTTTCTTAGTCAACATTCTTGAACTTAAAACATACCCCTTCCGTTTAAACGCCGGATATGAAACCAATCAGGGGCCGAGCGAAAACTTTCAGGCCTCGCCTCTTTGGTGCGGTTGTTCAATTCGCAGATCTTTTCCTTTCTGTTGTAGTTATAGCTTTGGCAGGTGATTTCTTGTCCACATCGAATATCACAGATGTGAGGAGCTGATGCTGACATTCTTTTAAACACAAAATTTTCAAGTTTCATGCCTTGAATGTTGATCTCCATCCTGCACTGTTCATTAGCAGATACGCGGCCCGCGAAAAAAGCCAAGATAAAGAAACAAAAATTTGGCCAGGGCATTTTTCCTGTAGGAATAAAGAATTAATCCATGCTTAGCGTGCGTATATGACGTTGTGGATACACGTGGAAAGTTTGGAGACCACAAGGCACAGCCGAGAGCAACTCTAGGTTATTGATAAAACTACTTTTTCAGTCTTCCTTTATTTGTATATTGGTGACATTTTTAACTGTTCGAGTGGTTCTCGTCCAGAGATCTTGAGTCTTGAGATTTGAGTATTAGTTGTAAAATAACATCCGGTTTTCCAGCCATTCCTCTTTAATTTTATATCAAAACTGATGAAAAGAAAGGTCTCTTACCTTTAAAGAGTAAATTAAAGCACAGATATTTGAGTTTCTTTGGCGTGGACCACCATTCAGAAAGTTTGTACTTTGTTTCAATTAAAAAATTAGTAAGAACAAAAACGAATACACAATTGAATTCAGTCCCCTACCTTACTGAAAGTCTCGTCTGACAGCTTGAGCCATCGTTTTTTGGTAATCCGTAATGAATGCAAAATAGCCTCACATTCATAATATTTTGATTATGAATTGTAAATAATATCACCTGGTGAATGACAATTTGCCTCTAAATTGTTTGTGATCGCCGTCAATTAAAGATAATACCAGATCACCATTACTTTTTAACAGGTTGTAAAAGTTCATTATAGCCCCCTTTCAAATCGGAAAACCCATGTGCCGGTCTTAAGTATTCTGCATCTACAATATGAGTTCGAGTTCCGCTTTTCCAAGCATCCCTTGATAAATGTCATTTAATGATAACCCCTATTGGCATCTTCATCAGTGACGAGGGATTTCAATACCTGCCCCTTAAGTGTCCCGGGCAACGTTTAGTTGGCGCCAAGATTTTTCCTAAAGGATTTTATGTAAATTCTTCTATATTGGTCGATAAATAATCATTTAAAGGTTGAAAATAAGCTTCTTAAACGTGTCTTTTTTTTATTATGATTTATGAGATGGTGCGTACGTGTATAAACAGAAATAAAAACCACTTTCCGAACAGGTGGAATTCAAGTCACAAATATTAAATTCATAATTCGAGCTCAAGAGACCACAGTGAACAGAAGTCTAACAATCTTTGTTCTGCTCATACTTCTTTGATTTCCAGCATAAACTAGACCTAAATTCTCAGAATTATGAACATGTTTGAGAAATGTGATGAATTGCACTTAAACTGCACCTTATTACATATAAATCATACACCGACTGACTTGAGTAATAGTTTTTAATTACCTTTCTTAATTATGTACATTTTGACTCCGAGTACACTGTTTACTCGAAAGGATGTCAGATATGTGGTCTTTCCTTGGGTTATCGAATTACCTGCAGTAGAATAACAAAAGAAAAAAATTCACCGTTCCCAAAATGGTCACACTGATCGACAAAAGACAACTGGGGCGAAAAAGATTTTGACAAAAGAAAAATTGAAGTTAAACGGAAAGCCAACTTCGTATATACAGGGACTACAGGGGTCGTCTTTGACCTTGTTTCCAGTTTAAGTATAGCTAAGAATATGATTTCAGTTTAGTGTCAATAAGCAGGAGTAAATTTTTCAAAGACAACATGATTGCAGAAGCCCGTAAGGCAAGTGCAATTTATAGGTTTTGTAAAATTTGCAAGTACTTATTTTCACCAAATTGAACGAGAAGTGTTGCTATTACTTGGTAATAATTCACTTGGAAAAGCCACCACAGAAAATCAAGCAGACGAAATTTCCACAGTGCGTGTACTGCAGCTGTTTATAATTCACTCTCATTTCACAACGTTACTCTCGTTTTACATCAAAAAATGGACTCGTTTTCAGCAAATCAGAAGCGTGTAATTTTTTCGTGTATATTATTACTCACTTGGCCGAACGACTTGACCTTATAATGTACTAGCGGGTCTTTCTTCGTTTAAGACGGCATAAAAGAACGGACGCGGAAAAATGTCTCAACATGACACCGTTTGGTTAACTCATCTCTTTATTATATTTTTCAGTTCCGAAGCAAAGCGATCAATTGAATACGATTTGGCAATATTTCATTGTAAAGGGATGGCCTTATGAAACAGAAAAATACAAGTCAAAGGTGTTCATATTTTGAAATGTATTTTTATTGGGAGTCAAATTTCTCTATTCTTATTAACCCTGCCTCACTAAAAACACACTCTGTGCATGCACTTTCCGAGTAAATATTCCTGAATAAGATTTAAAATGAAACTTTTAATTATGCTTTTTCATGGTTAAAACCGATTGATCAAACTGTGATGTACATATTCCAAAATGATATTTATGCAAAAAAGATTGTTTTAAAGCTAATAAATAATGAAGTACTGATAGATTTTTAGGGGGTTAGTGGTCAGTTCTTTCGATTATGTAAATTTTTAGAGAAGTTTTAATCGAATTAACTTCATTCCGCAAATTACAGTTCGTTTCCAACTCTGTAGAAAAAAAAAATTGCAACACTTGTGTCAGGTTTGTTTGACTCCCGCCACTCTATTTTAAAATAACGTAATAATTTTTTCACTCGTGAAATTTCTTAAAGCTAAAAAGGTAATGAAGCACTGGTGAGTGATCAGCTCTCACAATTTTCTACGGTATAAGTTACCGAAGATCAAAAATTGCAAGACCCAAATATGGACACTGACAAGGAGACAAACAAAGCAATTTTGTAAAGTTTTTTCGAAGTTTTTGAGACATTTTAATCGAATTAACTTCATTCCGCCAATCACAGCTCGTTTCCAACTCTCAGGTGGACAAAGCACACTTGTTTCTCTTTATTCCAAAATTGTGCTTCTCTGCAACAGTTGTGTCAGGTTTGTTTGACTCCCGCCAGTCTGAGCCATTTTAAAATCACGTTATGTAAGATATTACTAACTGGAAGTAACCCCTAGTCGCCATAAACTTACAGCTGTTCTACATTTCATTGGTTGAACTGAATACAACTGAAAGGAAGGTTAAAGTAACAAATCAAAATGATTCGATTCAAGATCTTGCGAGGTTCCAAGACCAAGAACAAAGGGAGAACCTCTTTTTCAGTGTGAAATACTTACCATTAAATACTACATTAACATGATCTGTGCGGCTTTGATACTGGCTTTCGCATGATAAGGGAAACTATTGCACTATATTGCAACCTATTTTGACCTCTGCAGCCCTATATAAAATCTAATGAGAGTTTTTATACATATTAAGTTAAAGGTGGGTTGTCACATGATGTGACTACTGGTATTTAAAGCAAGAGACTTCTTATTGCCGCGGTACACCACTATAACGATTGGAAGACATGATTATAAAATTTCCTGTCTCGCACATAAAATTGTCTCAATGCTGGCACAAAGCAAATACTATACAACGTCAAAAGCTGTTATAACCTACTTTTAAGGTGATTCCGCGCAAAAACCTGACTTGAAGGGGTAAGTTGGTTTCAACAGCCGCTAATCCTTTTTGCCTTCACTTCTACTTCTTTTAGTGAGGACAAATGATATCTCATTTAAGGTCATCAAAGGCACTGTGACCCTAACTAATAGATCTCTTATCAACTAATCTGACTTGGGCGTATTAACCAGGGAACTCTTCTACGTTCCAGCTCTTATAGTAAATAGTCTCTGAACAGTTACCTGTCTCATTTCTGACAACCTTAACGTATTGACAAACACAAAAACTCTTATACCCTTGTTACGATCACTGCTGACGTGGATAGCATATTATATTGAAAGGAATTTTGTGTGTGTCGGAATCGGTGCTAATATGGCACTGCGTGTGCTGATTGCAATGGATTGCACTTAAAAAATGCAGTGTAAGATTCGCAATTTTGAAAAACCAAATCTCACATGCGTTGATCAATCTACCTTGGCTGTTTTAATAACATGATCTTTGCACCCTCGATACTGGTTTTTAATTAGAGAAAACTATTGCGCTATTTTGGAACCTGTTTTGGAAGCTTAAACAAAAAGGACTACAATCTGTATCCTGAACAAAATCTACCAGGAGTTTTTACAGCCAAGGATTTTTCAAAGTAAATGTTGAGTGTTCATAAGAGCCTTCAACAGAAATTTCAACAAAACAAGAAGCACTTTAATATGATATGATTGCTAGCATCTAAAGCAAAAGACTCTCATTTTGTCGTGGTAATTCAACGTAACAAGTGGATGATACGTACAGCATTTTTTGCCACGCGTATAAAATTGTTTCATAATACTTTTCTACTGTTCCTACAAACAGCGTGAGTGTGCCTATCTATGCTAACACAAAGCAAGTTCTCTACAAAAGAACCACACAATATCAAAAGCTGTTAAACCTTACTGTCAGAAGGTGACTATCTGTAAAAACCTGAAAAACGCTTATCCTTTGTGCCCTTACTTTCCCTTCAGTTGTTTTCGTTTAAATAGTGAGGACAAATGATGTCTCCTTTAAGGTCATCAAAGTTGATGTGACCCCAACAACAATTCCTCTCATCAACTAGTCTGACTTGGGCGTATTGACCAATGAATTCTTTTACGTCCCAGCTCTTACGATACATTGTCTCTTTACAGTTGCCTGTTTCTGTTCTGACAACCTACATGTAACAACAAACATATCAAACAGTTTTAAACCTTTGTTTCGATCAGTGCTGACATGTCTGTCATGATTGTATCATACTTTAATTCAAAGGAAGAGCAACCTCTTACTGTTGAAATCAAGACATTACGGCATCGACCGTGCTGATTGCGATGCTCTGCTCTGTCGTTTCAATGTTGTGTATGCTAAAGACAAATAAACCTCGTGTGCCAGACGCGAGGTTGTTTCCCTCGTGGAACCTCTATTGAGGAAACTCAAAATAAGCTATTTATAAGGTAAAAATATATTTGGGAAGTAAAAACCAAACGATTTCGACACTAGATCTCTTTGTTTTTTAAATAGATTTTTTTTCCATGTAAATAGCTCATTGTAAACCATGCAAATCTCATGGATGTGACGAAGCTCAAAAGCTCTGATACTTTGACAAATCTACCTAAACTGCTTCATTAGAATCAAAGGAAACATAATGGTCAAAGTGAATAATCTCACCTGGTTTTTGACAATAAGTTCCGCACGAATATCACTTATGTTACATCCTCCACCGATGAGAAACGAGATATTTCTGCCAACGATACGGAAACAAGGAGAAATGAGAGTTCCTTGGGGTGGGTCGGCATCAGCTGGGTGCTGCCATCCTGCTGGATCGCTTTCGCGGGGTCGATTCTCAGCTCCCCCTATCCACCAGTCCCCTTGTTGCTGGGCGCTTTCTCTGTTGCGTGCTGCTGGATTGTCACCAAATGTTGGTTGATAAATGAAAGCTGTGCCTGTCATTTCCCATCCACCGATTCCATCTTCAAAGTCAAAGCTGCAGGCTACAATAGAAAAAAAGAAAAAATACGGAATTTTTTATCCCCCAGAATACCCTATGGTTACATTTGGTATTGAGTTAACTTTACAGGTTTGTACTCAATTACTTTTATTGCAGTATGCGCCAGTGAACCCTGAAGGACATTTGCAACGAAATCCTTTATCGGTGTATCCAGCATGACAAGTTCCATTGTTGAAACAGGGACTGCTGCTGCATGGATTCTGTTCAAGACAAAAGGACTGCGTATTATAAATGTCTATGGTTAGCTATTATTTATTCTAAAGTAACACAGTCTTGCTGGAGTGATAATTTCTTCATGCTTTTTGATCAAGTGAAGACTAGAATCAGTTACACTTGTTGATCACTAAACCAGAAAATCGGTCGATCGAGTTACTGGATATTTCGTTGGTCGAGTAGTGGTTGATTTATTTAGAATGGCTCCTATTCTTTTTAGCCACGGGTTCTTTGATTTTTCTCGTTTTAACGCTGTACAGATAAACCACTGGTGTCTGTTAGCATTCATTCCCGTATTGGTACTACCAAACACAAGATAGGTCACCAAAGAGATATGATGGGCCAATGTCACCCCATCCATTTCCGTATTGGAATTTTCTCGTTTTAACGTTGTACAGATGACACCACTGGTGTACCGTAGCTTTGGTATTCTCCCTTGTTTAGGTGATTCCTTATTTTCCCTAAGTGTTTCGAAAACTACCATGCAAAAGATAGGTCACCAAAGAGATATGATGGGCTAATCTTACCCCATTCATTCCTGCATTGGTACAACCACACAGAAGATAGGTCACCAAACGGATATGAACGGCCAATGTCACCCAATTCATTCCCGTATTGGTACTAATCACATGCGTTATTTCATCGGTTCATAGTATATTTTGCGGTAGTTTTAAACGAACGTTAAACTGAAACACTCGAGCGATAGGTAGAGAGTCGATAGAACTTATGGAACAATGTAATATATAATCTGTGGAAAAATCACTCAATCTCATACAAAATCGGGTCAAAACGTTTCACGTAATGCCCGGTACAACACTGAAGAATCACCTTAATTCAAACCAAGGATTGCAGGGATCGCTTGAGAAGTGATCCCACAAAATTATCGCCCACAAGAATTGTTCGCCGTCTGAAATAATTTACTTTACCTCGATGCTTAAATGAGTATAATCTTGTTTACTCTGAAGGACGGATGAGCCTGGACTTTCGTCCGAAGCATTGTTTAACTCACAAATGTAGTTGCCTCCTTGCGAAGGCCCCAAATTTATGGACACACAATTGGGCTCCATATAGCACAGCACGTTACATCTCCCTTGGTGGGGTACCTCTACAAGCCTGATTAAGTGCCCCTCTATGACTTTGCCCTTTAGTGGTTCTTTGAAAACAATGGATCGACATTCTTCACCTGCTTAGTATTCAAATAGCAAAAGAGAATGAAATGGTAAAGTTAATGTACTGTTTTGGTTTAGAGAAATTGGTTTCAATGGCTGGGTAATATCTCCAAAAAGTTAATTTGCCTCGACAGACGCTGGATCATGGCTTCCTGTTGTTGTTGTTGTTGTTGTTTTTTTTTTTTTGCACTGTGAGAGTTTTCTCTGCTACGGCATCCTGGGAGATTGAAAGTTCTCCTTCAATTTTTCGCTTAAGAAAGATTTTGCCTCAGTGGGTATCTCTGTAAGATTTTGAATGTACATCAAAGTAAGTTGTGAGAACCAGAAGCAAGATGACCGTCAAAGAGGAAAGCAAATAATTAACATCTCTTTTCAAATCGATCCCAATGTATATGAACTACTATTGGAAATTTGATCATTGCGTCAGATTCTTGTGCCGCCAACTGCGGCGCAAATACTAATTTGGCGGTACAAACACCCAGCTACGGCACAAATGAGTATTTTGTAATATATTCTAATCGACAATAATCTTTGTAAAACTCTCTTGTGACTAGACATAGCCGTCCATCCCTAACGAATAAAAAAAAAAGTTATATTTACAGGAGGTATTCAAACTGTGGAAATGAATTAAACGAATATCAGCAAAACAAATTCAAAACTTTGTCGACTTACCTGCGGAACATCCAGAGGATAACGGAATAATAAAACCGCTATAAAAGAGAAAGCTTAAAAGTAAAACGGAAGCTTCCATACTCAGCCTGCACGTTTCCGCCACTTGCTTGTGATCTAGAATAAAAGATTACCGGTCACGCATTGAATTAACAGTTTACAACATTTTAAAAATTGCCATGTCTGTACAGCTAAAGGCGTTTTCGTACATGTTGGCAAACTTGAAGGGACTCCAGTTGGTTTGTTCAACAGAATGTTCTCAAGAAGATGGTCGTGTTGTTGTTAGTGGCTTAGACAGGTGCTCCTTTAATGGTGTGGATCACTTACGACGTTGGTAACAAAGACGCCAGCGGGGATCATTCATTAACTATGCAGCCAATCACACGAATGCTATGAGTAAAACACTTTTATTGTCTTCGGAATAGTTCCTTTCCTTTCCAGCAAACCGTTATTTGAAGCCTTTAGAATCTGAGAACGCTATTTTCTTTCATCTTTACAGCACAAGAGGCAGGATATCACGCTCATCTGCAATTATTTCTCTCAATGCGGAATCATTTTAACAAAACATATAACCATTTAGCATAACGTGGTATGACAAAGCTAAATACAGCGGCTGATTAATTAATAAAATTGAAGACTAAACCCTTATTACAATGCAACTGAATGGCGAAGATTACCTATTATTCAACAGTAACGTTTTATTTTAATGGCAATAGTGGCAAAGGCTTATGTTATAACGAAATTCTTTAAAATACTGAAGTATCTAATAACGAAGCAACATGAAGTCAATTTGAAGACATCTCGTTGGCTGTTAAATTATTCATAATCAAAAACTTGTCAAGGTGTTCAAAGGAAAATTAGTGAGAAAAATGTGTCTCGCAGCGTCTTACGTGGGGCTACTTTTCGTCTACTGCGAGATTAGGCTGTATGTAAGTTAAACGTCATTCTAATGATTATCAAGCGACTAAATTCTGTGCACATACGAGCCATATTGATTTATTGTTATACGAGTATACACCCGAATTGTTATTTCTCAACCCTCTCTCATCAGGTATATTAATTTGCATAGGTACTTACATAATCTAGTGGAAGACATTGCTATTATATTGGTTTTACAGAAGCACAACTAATATTCATGGGTCAATAAAGCAGCTAAAAAACACCTCTCAACAATTAAATGTCTCTGGTTATCACTTTACCGGCTCCGCAACTCCGCGCTGCAAGATGCATTTGAAAGTTAACGTCGATCGGCAAAAGACGACCTAATTTAAACGTATCCGTTTGCCTTCAAGATATCCACTGAGAAAATGAAGAGTTTGCTCGTCTAATTGCGTCTGCTGAAAACGGAGTGAGCCTTAATTATTGGCGAGCGAGCTAACTTAAAGTCTGTCAAAATGTGGGTTTCATTGGCCTATTATTTATAATCTGATTCTAACGCCACAACCGGCCAAATTATTTCCAACAATACTTCGATTTAGAATGTTTCTATTTAAATGTTTGTAATTTTGTTCGCAGTGTTGCATATATACTTTAATTTGTTAAAAAGCTAAGCTTCGACCCTGTACGAGCTCAACATAAGTTTGATCCTAAAGGAAGGGGCCGGGAAAAACCGCTTCAGCAGTTACTGAAATACAGTCGACCCTGTATTAAGTGGGGAATAGCGGAATGACCGCTAAATGCAGGTTGACCGCTTAATACAGCTTCCACAGGGAAGAGTATTATAACAAACGATAAAAAAACGCCATCTTATGCCATAATTGATAATTCAATGTACAAAAACGTTTATTTCGGGAGAGAAAAATGGATTAAAAGTTACTTGAATGATTTTTCTTTGTTTTATCAGAGTAATATCGCATTAAGTGACCGTTTCATACAGGTGTAAGATAATACAATTGGGACTTAGTAAAAGGTGGCCACGACCGCTAAATAGGTGAAAATTACAATGATTACGAGGAAACAGATTCGGAGATTTTGACAGCCAGCCGCTTATTACAGGTTCAACAGTAGTAATAAAACTCTCCCAGGAATCCCTTAGAACATTAGTGGATTCTGGAGATTGTTAAGGAAAAGTGACGTATTTCTAGGCAAAGGATGAAGTTTAAAACTGGAAATTGAGAACAGATATGCTTTGATAGCAACATGTTAAATCAAGAGGAGTTTTGGTAAGTCAAGTCAGAGTTGCAAAGGAGTTCTTCAGCAAATAATTTGTGAGTTTGGAGGGCGTGAACGTTCACTGTAAAGGCGAGAAAACTTGTAAAAGAAAGACAAATCCACCTTTTTAAAGATTTTGATGGGCCTTCATCCGGGTGTCTTTGTCCAAGGCAAAATAAAATGTCTATAAAACAGAACGAGATTCTTGATAGGACTAGAGTTTGGTACAGATTCTATCAAAAACAGGTGTGGAGGAATTCTTTTATTATTTTCTAAAGGTTCACAGATTAATACACAAAACATGATAACATGATTGTGTGACTAAAAGTGAAAAAAACCCGCTACCAGGCAAATAGTCTCGATAATAAGGAAATGATTTTTTATTTCACATTTTTATTATTCCGCCTTGTCTCCTTAAATATTTTCGATCAAACATTTGTCAGACAGGTGGACAAATGACATCCCCTCTGAGGTCATCAAAGTTAATGTGAGCCCAGTTAGCTGATCTCTCGTCAACTAATCTGACTTGAGCATATTGACCAATGAACTCCTCAACGTCCCAGCTCTTACGGTACATCGTCTCCGAACAGTTTCCCGTCTTAGTTCTGACAACCTAACAACGAACGATTGAAAAAGGTTTAAGACGTTAGCGACAGAATAAAGTTATGGTCTCTTAGGAGTCTCTGGATTAAGTGGCTTAGTACTCTTTTGCCTCTTTCAACAGATACGATTATATTTGTTAGAACAGGCAACAGAAAAACAAAACCTTTACTCCATTTTTTCTATTGTTTTCAAAATTATCTTTTAACTTATTGTTTTTTTTTTGCTAATATCATCATCGTCATCGTCATCGTCATCGACATGGTTGGTGTCTTCATGGTATAGTTGTATACTAACTTTGCATCAGTGCTGCCGAATAAAAAAGACAGGAAGGGAAATATTGCAACACATAACGCAATCAGAGTCTTACCTTGTTTTTAACAATAAGTTCCGCGCGGATTTCATTTAGCTCGCAGCCCCCACCAATAAGAAACGAGATGTTATGGCCAACGATCTGAAAGCAGGGGGAAGTTAGAGTGCCTTGGGGTAAATCCGCATCCGGTGGTTGTTTTCCAGGAGGTGCGCTTTCCTTTGGTCGAAGTTCAGCTCCCCCTATCCACCAGTTCCCCTGTTGTTTGGCGCTTTCTCTGTTGCGTGCCTTTGGATTGTCACCAAATGTTGGTTGGTTATCAAAAGCTGTGCCTGTCCTTTCCCATCCACCGATTCCATCTTCAAAGTCTAAGCTGCAGGCTGAGACAAAATAGAAGCAATTATCTAACGTATACTTCCCACCAACCCATCTATTTTTTTTTTTGGTTTACCTTCTTTGCAAAATGCGCCAGTGAATCCAGTAGGACATTTACAACGAAATCCTTTACTAGTGTATCCAGCTTGACATGTGCCATTGTTGAAACAGGGACTGCTGCTGCAGGGATTCTTTTCAAAATAAAATTGAATTTGTTGGTTTTTGATTTTTTGATTAGTATTAAATTTTTGTTTAAGAGCTCCCGTCCCCTCTGAAAACCATGTGATCTTCTTAAATCCTCCACCCCCCACCCTTCAGGCATCAAATAATGATCAGTCTTTATAATACAGTTTTCTTTAAGTGAAAGCAAAACTTCCCAGGCATCTATGAAATTGATATTAGCATTCTCTGGTTTGTTTTTTTAATTCATACGCTAATTTACAATGTAATGACCTGCCATGGATGACCTCTGAGAAACAAAGCTAGCGTTACAAGCAAACTTCTGTTTTGACTCTGAATGCACACAATTTGAAAGAGGGATTGTTCACTAGGTACATCAAGTACTTTACCTCAATACCAAGATAAATGTAATCCTTTTTACTCTGTAAAACACGTGAGCCTTTGTTGTCATCCGTGGCATTATTCAACTCACAAATGTATGTCCCTGCTTGAGGAGATGGTCCTATATTTATGGACACACAGTTGGGCTCCATATAACACATCACGTCACAGCTCCCCCGGTTGGGTATCTCCACAGCCCGGATTAAGTGGCCTTTTATGACCTTGTCTTGCACTGGTTCTTTGAAGATAATGGAGCGACATTCATCATCTATTAAGCGCGTGGAAAAACGAGACCTTGACATCAGAAGGGTTAATTCGTCTTATATTAACTACCTTGAGAGTCATAGAATGTCGAGTCTAAGGTAATCCCTACCATGGCCAGTGTGCTGTTTGTCAAATCACTCGACAAGAGAAATTGATTATTTTCCCGTTGTTTTCAGTTATGAAGGGTGAGGTATACCTTTTCCACCTAACAAACGTTTTATTTTAACTAAAAGAACTTTATTTCAGATAAACATAACGATCTTGAATGTATTCGTCCATTTGACCACAAATCACTGGTAAAATAACCGTCTCGTCGCTGCCTTCAATAACCATGTAATGAGTTCTTTCGGGGAAAAACGTAGCTTGAAAAGCATGAAAGCGAATTTCGTTTACTTTTATGTTTATGGCGAGCTCCTTTGAGACATTTTCATCCTAGTAAACTCAGCCACTGGAGTAAAGTAGAAGTTTGTCTAGCGCAGAGAATCACCCATAATTAAGTTGAAACTTTACGCTGTAAGTCTTAAAAAAATAGGCTAAAGTTTGATTTGAATTTCTGGATTTTAACCTGTTTTCACAATTAGCTAGCAGATGCTTCATTAGCCTTTCAAGAGAGTTTTGTAGCTGAATCAACACTCTTTCAAATTCAAGCTCCAGTTACTGTAGAATTTGAAACACGAGTTAACGTCATAGTCATTTTTCGAGAGGAAGAGTAATGTCTGACCCAAAGGGATACAAACCCGCTAGACTCCGAACAAAAGGCCCCTTGTATTATCTATCACAAAGCTACAACTCATCAAGTCTGTATTATTAGGGAGTTTGTGATAAACTCAAAATAGCAATTTCCAATAGGTCTCACAAAGATCCCCTTCACAAAAAGTTTCATCTGATTGTTTGCTCTTGAAACAATGGAAAGCTTACCTATAACAGAGCTCTCAAACATTACGAACACACCGACCGACATGTAGAATTGATTAAGTACAGAACATGGCCAACTTACCAGAACATCCCCAGCAAATGGGAAGAATGACTCCAGAGAAGTAAAAACCACATAACTGGATGAGGATGCTAACTTCAATGCAAAATTCTCGTTTCAACGTTTTCGCCATTTGATGATTGTATTTTCATATATTACCGACGAGCAAGCGGCTCTGAAATCACGCTTTAAATCATTCCTTAACACTTCCAAACGATGAATCCCGCTTACGCTTAGAGATGAAAGTCTTGCTAAAAGATTTCAATTTTCAGTCCTCGCAAAACATCTTCCCCGACCAAAATTTTCTCAAGTTGTGCTGTTTTAAGTAGCTTATGACAGGTGCACAATCGGTGAGCAGTTTGACAGGCAGAAATATGCGTGTTACAGGTTATTCTATTTGTTTATGTAGAATTCTATCTGCAATCACACACATCCGATTCATAGTCTCCCATACATAAATATACAAAATAAGGTACTTCTCAAGCTCTTTTTTTCAATCTAAGTTGAGAAGACCAGGAACATGATATTTTGACGACAGCACTTTTCTATGTGCACACAGGCACAAGCAGATTAATATAAATATTTTTTTTTCGGGGAAATTGTATCGCTAAGTGAGGGTATTGCTTTGAAAACATTAAGTATTCGTTTTCGACGCCAACGCTCGCGAAAATCCGACAGTCGCAAAGAAAAGGTAATTTGTAAACTCATTTGTTACTTCAACGTGGTGATAGCCCTCAAACAGGAAAAAAGAATTACTTCTTATGCAATTCTCTAAACTTTTACCATTCTCCTGAGTAGAGTAAAAGGTTTACAACCTTGGACAGTTGATTTCCAAAGGTCTGTTTAAATGCTCGCGAAAATCTGACAGTCGCAAAGAAAAGGCAATTAGTAAACTCATTTATTACTCCAACGTGGTGATAACCCTCAAACAGGGAAACAGCTTTATTTCTTACGCAATTCTCTAAAAAACTTTTACCGTTCTCTTGAGCAGAGTAAAAGGTTTACAACCTTAGACATTTGATTTCCAAAGGTCTGCTTAAATGAAAAGCGCACAGATATCCACGCATGTTAAGCGCGGTTGACGTATTTCTGAAACTGACTGAAATTTTTGGTTTGGTCTCTGAACGTAAAGTTATGTTACAAATTCGTCACTAGCGAAGAACATGAACAAATTATTAGTTTCCCACGAAGATTCGAATCTCTCTCCCTATTTTGTAGAGAATTTGTGGAGAAATTCGATCCCTATATAAAGTTTATAATTTTCTTCATCCAAGCTAGTGTCAAAATGTGAAATATTCCTTTTTGACGTACGAGCCGAAAAATTTACCGTCTCTTGACGTATTTACACATATGCCGCACGCTTATGTCCAAAATGCAAATTAAAAAAAAAAAGACCCCTTTAAACCATTATGGTAAAATTTACCGGTGGATCAAAGTTTATTAATTTTTTTATTTATTATTATTTTTTTTTACAAAACAGTGTCACTTTTAAATTTTATTAAGCTGGCAAGATCTTGATATCTTCTTCTATAAACAGCCACAATATTGCTCTTAAAATTGCATACATGTTATTAATTTAACTAACCCTTGTTGCGAAATCTCCCTAGCTTTGTAGAACACGACGTTTAATGCATGAACGTCCATTGTTGCACTCATAGTCCATTTGACCGAGTTACAGGCACGCGCTAAAGTAAAGCAAGTGCAGGTGAGTAAAATAGAATGATGTTCCAAAACAGAAACTAGAAAAATATATACATCTTTCACAATAGCGTTCTTCTTGCTCGAAAATGTACTCATAAATTGTTTCAAGAGCATGCATCTGTGTCGCACAGCGAATGGTTTTCCGAGGACTGAACTCAAATAAAAACTGTAAACTTCGCGATTTGAATGACATCTAATTTCCAGGGGAAAAGATAACAATCTACCACCTTGAAGCGACAAATAAACAAAGAATTAAGTCATAGGGGACGTGATGTTGTCATCATTTTGAAGAATCCAAACCCTTCTTCGTGGTCTTCAACTTTTTAGGAAACGAAAACATCCTTAAAATTTATGTTATATGAATATTTTTGCCTTTAGTTTCTTAATTACTATAAGGACGTAAATAATGTTCAAAAATTTTTTTAAGAAATTGAGTATCCATCGACTTTTTAATTAATCCAGATGAAGCCTGCTTGCTTACACGAAAAAACTGCTATATTATTAAAGAATTGGTCCACGCTTTTGACTGTGCGTATATTGAGTTATGGAGCACTTGAGAAATTTAGAGAGCAATTGAAAAGCTTAAGTTACTTTCAGTAGCCTCAACAGCTCTTACTATTCTTCCATGCTCTCCAGACCTCCTGCACGCATGCATGCTTCGACACACGCATGCTAGGCGTTGCGTGACATCCCAAAGTACGGCTCTGCGAAGGAGAACATGTATTGACCACACGAAGACGCTCCCTGAGTGAATATTTCAAGATATTCTATTTGACATATATAGGAAACTATACAGATTTAAAATGGTTGTATTTCACTTTGCACTATGATTGTTCTTGAAAATCGCGTCAATTTCCCAACCAATCAGATACAAAACTTAAAACATTTACACCTCGGTCACTCGCGTTTTCCCGCGCTTCAAGCCCTTTGTTTCTTTTCACTTCGAGTCCTCATTGGCTTGTGATATGATGCAAACCTTCGCTCTGATTGGTCCTCGGGATAACTTTTTGACAAGAAATTGAAGACTGCTCCAACCGTCTCTCTTTAACCGAACTGGATGTGTCGATAGAGTACGTTAAACCACAGATTCTACGTCAATAGGCGAAACATACCCACTCTGACACCAAAAAAAAGTGCAATCAAACTTCTATCATTCTGCCGTCAAAAAATAATAATCAGTAAATAGCAAATAAGTAATTAAACGCAAGTTATATGTTTTAATATATTAGCCAACGATATATGTCCTGTTGAAGCAGTATCAGACCGAAGTAATTCATCCATTTAAACCTAAGAGTGACCAGCATGTAATTTCTCCTCACAGTAATACTGCTGAATCATTCACTAAGATTATGAGATTAAAGGAAGTGATCGCCAACTTAAGAAGCTTTGATTGGGAAACGAATCCTCCGTGAAATTACCGAAAGAAGCGTAAAGAGAGGAAAAATATGGATACTGATGTTGGGGTTTAAAGGATTAATTATTGCCGTGTTTAGTGGAGCCAGAATCAGACCAAGACGTTTTATTGAACGGACAGAAATATATATTTCGTATGATCCCATTTAACACAATTCAGAGCTCCTCACACAAGCCTTTTTTCTCGAGGTAAATTATTCTGACGTCGACTGACTTCGAGCAATCATTTATTTTGAAATTGCGTCATACACTTCACTTATTGAGTTCCCTTCTATACTAAGTATTATGATGTAAATCCTTTTTCGCAATCACTAATACTATTATAATATAGCGAAGTTTGCTTCCACTAAATCTTACGCAACTCTAGAGTGTAGTTTTTTAGACAGGCATTGTAAACGATGGCTTATAAACAGCTTTATGTAATGAGCCTTTGAGATATTAAAGAGAACCAGGTAATTGAATTTGCAATTGTTATATATTTATCCCGCTATTTTGAGTGATTTTTACCCTTTCAAAACGATATGAAAATAGATGCAAATTTTCTTTGTCAACTGTTGATTACGAATTGACGCGGTCAAGCGTTGAATTGACATGGCGTCCTTAATTAGGACGAGTTCTCAGGCTAACAATGAAATAAGAAATGTTTTTTTTCATTTGCGCAAACGTAAAGCCGATAAGCGTTATACACATAAGTTGCTTAACATTTTTGTCACCAAGTGAGGTGCACTGTTCTGCACGCAAGCTTAAAATGGTCCGTGAGGGGATGATGTTATTGAGTTAGCCAGCCAGGAACTTACAACAGCAAAATAGGACATATACAAATCAACTTAACAACGTTGACTGGTTAAAAAATTTATTATGATACACAGTCAAGATTCTTTTCACGACCTGGAGGAAGTATTGCGTAGCCTACAAGCCTATTCCGGAGAAAAAGTAACCTCTCCTCACCACCAGGGTAAGAGGAAAGAGGATACTTACGGCGACAGGACATTATCACAAGAAAATCCAACACAGGAATGCAATGATGAGCTTGAAATTGAGGACATATTAATGGAAATACTGTTACATCAAAAGCTGCACACGTCTAAAGAATACTCTTTGAACGGTCAGAGATTCAAAGTGTATATATTGGATGACACAGAACTTTGAGAATTGGGTGTGATAGCAGTGCGAGCAAGGTGCTCTCTTGGAAGACGAAACTCTACATTCAAATCGCCTTCGACTGAAAATGTGAATGGTTACTATGTACACACGGATCCTAGAAGAATTCAAAGTCCTCGAGCAAAGCTTGAATAATTTATTTATGATGCACTTATGATGAAAACTGGGAATTAAAATGTTCGAAATCTAATAAGCGACTGATTATTTACTTATCATGTTTGATCAAAGCTCTGGCAGACCATAGTAATATTACTTAGCCTGCCCAAGTATGTCTCACATCAATTGCATTACCTGTAGGTTTAGTACACCTGTTCAGCCTCAGTGCAATTGCCTTAGCTTGTTGTGCTAAAGACAGTGACAATTTCCATGCATTTGCGTCATAATATCAATAAGAATAGACTTTTCATAGGTATATCTGCCATTGATTGTCTTTCTTAAAATTTCTAACAGTCACAGATCTGCCACTAATGTCCAAAATTACAAATCGGCCACTAGTGTCCATAATAAAAAAATCGGGCACTCTCGTCCAAAATCGTAAAATCGTTAACTAGGCTCTACGATCCGGCTCTACAATCAAATCGGCCCCTGACGCCCGATATCACAAATCCGTCAGTAGTGTCCAAATTCACCAATCAGCCACTAGCGTCCAAAATCGAAAATGATCCACAAGGGTCCTAAAATAAAAGATCGGCCCTAAAAAAATTGGCCACTAGGGTCCAAAATCGCAAGTCCGCCACTACTGTCCAAAATCACAAATCGGCCATCAGTGTCCAAAATCACAAATCGGTCTCTGGGGTCCAAAATCAAAAATCGGCCACTAGGGTCCAAAATCGCAAATCGGTCACTAGAGTCCAAAATCACAAATCGGCCACTTGGGTCCTAAATCAAATATCGGCCACTAGTGTCCAAAATAACAAATCAGCTACTACGGTCCAAAATGTAAAATCGGCCATTAGGGGTCACAAACAAAAACAGTTGTCTAAAATCAAAATGCGGGCACGTGTCCGAAATATTACACTAGTGTCCAAAATAAGAAAAAAAAAAGAAAAAAGAAACGAACACTTATGACAAAAATAAAAACCTAAGTAGATATTTCAACAATGAAAAGCTCTGGTTTTTCGAAATTAAAATAACACAGGGACGAGATTGAAATTATTTTACGTTTACCGCCCTTTGCAATGTCGCGGCAAGAACGGAAACACAATGCACTGGCGGCTATAAGCCAGAAATCGCAAATTGAGAGAACTCAAATGTGTATCGAGTGCTAATTTCGAGCTTATTAGATACTCGGAATAAAACAGTTAGGTCACCTCGTATTATATAGGAGGCGAGGCCACAAAATCTAGGAACCGTACAATCAGGTTTGGTTTTATTATGCAAAGACTATGTAAAGAAACGATCCTCTTCATGGAATTGCAATCTATTCTGTCAAACCAGTATGTCTCGGGCTCGTAAACAAGTTTCATTCTCATCCCTGATCGCTCTATGATTCATTTGAGAATAAGGAGCATTTTCATCCTCTTGCCAAGTGGCCTTCATGTGTAGTGTCTCATAAATGAGCTGTTTCATGGTCATATTTAAGGGGCCTACTAATATCACAACAGTTTTTCCATACACGTCACATGAAGACAGAATTTTTCTCTACTCAGATCCTCTCATTTTTTAATTAATATAAATTTTGCTCAAACTAAATGGCGCAACATTGTTTTACGCACTGTAAACAAACGGGCCTAAACCCCGCGTAAATGTCAGCATATTCAACATGGACAACAGTCTAAGGCTCTAGTACCATGCGAGCAGGCCATCGTTATTGGCTAACGCTACAGGATGCACGGTTTTCCTCCCGCAGGGAGATTTTAGGTGAGTCGGGGAAAGGTTTGGCGGAGTCCTGGCACTACTAACTGATAATGAGGGCCTACTTGCACACTAATGCTTTAGAGAATGGAATTCGGGGTGCTCCTAAGTGAGCTTACCTAGCTGAAACAACAACAACAACAACAACAGTGAATTTTCAGTGTGTACCACGTAGGAGAATCTGGAGGAACAAACGAAAAATGTTGGCCAGCAGTTGATTTGGCCTCATATGGTTTAATGCCCTTTCCATGAGCATAACTTTCCATACATAATTTGAACATTTATCAACCGTACCCGAGACAACAGACATTTTCTTCTTGAAGTATAGGTGTACAGTAATTACTAAGGTACTAAATTCTTCCCTACAACTGTAACGTGAATTAAAGCTCCACCTTTTATTTACAATACCACGCACGGCATTTGAACACCAGCTTTATACTATCCGCAAGAAACTCAGTTATCATATGTTACCCTAGAAACAATTATGGAAGCAGCTTTAAATACTCAGTCATGCTTTGTGAGGAACATAGTATTCTAAAAAAGGAAACAACTGACGTGGATGGCCGCAAAATGAATACCTGTCGAGAAATTGGACTTCTTATCCAGGAAGTTTCCTTGGAGAATGTCGCTACCACGTTTTCTTTGCAACAGCAACTACTTTATCCATGAAGGGTTAACTTACGAGACAAAAATTGCACGTGTACATCAGGACTTTCTTAGAGAGTAGAAAATAAAAACCAGATCAAATGCAAACCTTGTATCATAAACCGAGCCCAGACTCAAATGATTTAGAATTTGGAAAAATCATACGACACATTTCGGAAATCTTCGTCATGCTTCGGAATTTCTCGTTTACGATCGATGTCTTTCTTTCCTTACGTGCGAGGTATAACCACCAGTATTGCCCACAGCGACCAGTGGAGGATTATAAACGGTAACCAAGCAGGTTTGAACTGAGATAATACAAAAATGCGAATAAGCTAAGTCCATCCTGGTGGCAGTATTGTGTCATTTTCAGTCATCTGCGAACTTGAGTACCGAATACCTTTCCGCTTCCTCGTAATCTGTAACAGAAAAAGAGTGGGTGGAAAAACCGAAAGTGCCAATGGTTCATGTTCGAGTATCAAGTAAAGCAACAATTCTCACAAGTGAGCAGCAACTTAAGCAACTGCAGAAAAGCCTGAAAAAAAAAAAAACATCAGGCCTCGACGGGATTGAACCCGCGCCTCCCAGAAGCTCGTTGGGCGCTTTTACCGACTGAGCCATGAAGCCGCACATTTTAGAGGGTTCTTTCTTTCCCGTGAAGGATTCTGATCGTAATTTCTCACTACATAAATTCCACTTGACCTGCATATGAGAATAAGTAGAGCAATGATCGAGTGGACTTGCTAAGAAGTTCAATGGTCGAGCGAACTTTCCATGGGCTAAATATGCGAAGTTTCAAGTTCAAATTTGATCATTTGAGTCAAATCAAGTAGGTATCGAAGTTTGTATTGTAAAAATTCAACGCTTGGACATCAAGGAGAACCGAAATAAGATAGACCAACCCTTTAGTTTTGGAGGTGGTTGGAGCTTTCTGTTGATATTGCTGACTGTGATAACTTGCTGGCATTCCTGATACGCCACCATTATCCATGTCTGACTGTGAAGATGCCTTTATTGCCTTTTTCAGATTTTCGACCTGGAGATAAAAAGCAGTCATGAGAAATTGATGTTAAACTTAGTGATGAATAAATGGATGGAAAAACGAATGAAGAAATGAAAGTATGAGAGAAAAATGGAAAAATGGAGGAATGAACGAACGAAAGAATGACTGACTGATAGCTGAATGAATGAACTAAACGAATGAGACTCATCCACCTATTCTAAAACTTCAGACTGTAACGATTCCGAGTATTCCCTAGGTTCTCGTTGAATGAATCCTATACTAAACGAATTAAGGTGGCAACTTTTTAAAGAAACTGTGGTGCTGCGTCGGTGGGAGAGTATAACGAGTAATTTTGTGTTAACAACTGGGTTGAAAACGTAAATTGACCACCGTAAAGAGTTTAAAGGCTGACGTTTCGAGTGTTGGCTCTTCGTCAGAGCGATAGAGCGTTAGCCTTCCGTCACACCTATACTAAACGAGTCTAGCATGCAGGTATGCAGGTGGTGTACCATGTATGGTGGCTAAAGATGGATTAAAAGACTGTTCTCTACCTCTGCTTCCACTTGAATCTTCTGCTTTTGTTTTTTTTCTTTGTGTGTATTTGCCCTCTCTATTTGTTTCTCTATGCTACGAAGAACTGATTCACAGCCGTCACACCTGTAATAAAGAGAAAAAACACTCAGCAAAAGTGGCTTGATTTGGCGTGATTATAGACCAAAAGATTTATTGATTGAAAATTTAAGAACACGACAATGGTTCCTCTTTTTTACACACCCAACACTGAACCACAAACCCTGCTTAGAGACCATACACCAGCAGATTAGCAATGGGCCCATTGAATATAACAACAGCAGTACGTTAACTGCAAATGCGATGAGCGTGAATCTCACTTAGTCTCATTTCTTTTTCTTTTCTTCAAATTCAAAACAATAGAAAGAAAAAAGAGAACAAATTTTAAACAATCAAGCAAAGGAATACTCCTTGCAAATAGAGTACAATTTAAGCGATTGCAGAAAAGAAGGCTGGAAAAGTGCTGGCTGCGACAGGATTCGAACCCACGCCTCCAAGATATTAGTTGAGCACTACTAACAACTGAGCTATGGAGCCAAATGCGAGAAGCGAGGGAAATTTTAGAAGGTCATTTTTCACTTTAAGTAATGTGATCATATCATTTTTTTTTTTTTTTTTCATGAAATATAGTTCAGTTACTCGTTAAAGTAAAATTAAACTGTAGTTGTAAATCTACGTATATGATAGCCTAGTTCAGCCATATTTTAATTATTGTAGTGTTGACTGGGGCAACTGTGGCAGTGGTCTCTCCGAAAAGCTCCAGAAGCTCCAAAGTCGTGCAGCCCGTATTTTAACGTGTGCCAATTATGACTCTGATATCGATTAATTGTTCCGGGTACTGGATTGGCGTAAACTTAAATATCAAAGATTTTAATCAGCTGCTGTTGTGATGTACAAACCTTTACTAGGGATGACCCCTGAGTATCCGAGTTCTAGATTTGTGTTTCGAAACGACAAAATATCATATCGATTAAGGAATACTGAAAATAAATTGGCTCTTCCGCAGCCCCGCACCAATTATTTGAAGAAGAGGTTCTCTTACAGCGGAGCCAGGTTGTGGAACAGCCTATTTAGTGACCTTCGTGCAACAACATCTTTACATGATTTTAAACTTAACATAAGTCACCACAGTTTTGAATGAGTTTTAACACGGCATCCTTGTAAAGCAGCTTTTAGTATATAGTTTAGGTTAGTTAGTTTAGTTAGGGATACTTAGTTGATCTTGTATCATTTTATAATATTTGCTGAAGGATTTACCGTGTATAAATGAAGTTACCATTACCATTACCATCTCTAAGTTAAGAAAAACAAGTAGCCGTGGATAGTTTAAATGTGAGCATGATTCTATAGACTTGCTTTGATCCATGACAAAACTTACCAATCTTGTAATACTTCTGTGACTCGATTTACTGTTTCTGGAGTGATGTCTCTACCAATGGCAAAATCTACTTCTAGCTGGAGATTGACATAATAAAAGAAACATAAATTTTGTGGTATTTCTTAAGTATTAGAACTGCTCAAGGGGACCATTAAGACTAGGAACAGTGTCTCCAGGCCCCTTAACCCATTACACCCTAATATCAGTATGCATATTCTCCAAACTGTTCTCCATACAATTTTTAAGGTTTGTTAAAAAATCAAGAGCTTATTTAGTTCGTGATCATTTTCTTTATTCTTGTTACTTCAAAGTTTGATTCAGAGGTGATATTGTAAGGAGAAATTAGATGTCAATCTCAGGTCTCAAAGGGTTCTTAGTGGTTCCCTATTAAAAAAAACTAATTCATCTGTATTTCATGTGACAGGTCAGAGCTGTTTTCAAGTTGGGATCAAAATTTGTGTCCCCTGAATGGAACATCTTCTGGGGAAAAAAGTGTACTAAAGGGCAGGTTCCACAGTGAAGTGAACACAACACAAGTTCAAAGTCCAACCTGTTTATTTTTCTGGTCTAGTTTTCCATGTATAATGTCAGCATAAATAGCGTCAATAATTACATCCTGAAAGTTGAAAAATATACCAAATAAGAATTCAGAAGTCACTGGAAAATCAGCACTCTTAATCCCCACAGTATTGACGAGCGCTTTTCATTCAACTAATTTATTCTTCTATTTATTCTATATAAACCCACGCACAACCCACAATTCCTCCAATCACTAGATGACAAAGGGCTAACGCTTGAATTGTCAGCTTTTTATTCTTTACAGTGGCCAATTTACGTTTTGAACTCGGTTGTTAACACTAAATTACCTGCTATACTCTCCCGCCTATGCAGCACGAAAGTTTCTTTAGAAACTTACCCCCTTTAATCAGAGCAAAATTGAGCTAAGTAGTTGTTTATATAAAAAATTTAAAAGAAGGACTCTTTAGTAGCATTCGCATGTGTATGTACCTCTAGTTCTCTTAAATTCTTGATATCCAGTTCTTGCAATAACAAGCTGTATGGTATGAACTACAAAATCAAATTTGAAAAAAGAAAATTTTACAAGGCAAATAGTATCACACTTCTAAACAGTTATGGTTTAAATTTATTCACTGTCTTACATGTCAAAAGAAATGAATGGTCGACTGATAAGATATAAGTTGTTTGAAATGTCCCTTCAGTTTTATAGAGGAATTTCACAATTTAGATCTGGCACTCTTCCTAAAATTAAATATTGTTATGCAGATATATCTTAACAATATGTCGGTCATAATTTGCATACTAGACAAATTTATAATTTTTTCATGATGTGCAGACTAGATCAACAACCATACAAATTACATTATACAGTCAAACCTGGATTAAGCAGTTACCCACAAGGAATGGCAGGTCCACAACTTAATACAGGTTTCTCCAGAATAGGGGTCAAATGCAATAAAGAATGCCATTTTGTCCTAACAGTCCTAAGGAGAAAGATAATCTACAAATGCTAACACTGAATTTGGGAGGTAAACGTGGAATAAATTTGACATGAGAAATTATTCTTTGTTATATTTGAGTGGTTTTACACGCAAGTTATTGTTCAATTCAGGTGGAAGGCAATACAAACAGGGGGCAACCACAACTCCTTAATGGAGGTGGAACATAGAGCAGTGAAGGAGAAAAATTTGGGGACTTTTACAACCAACCGCTTAGTGCGTTGTGATCACTTGATACGGTTCCACTTAATACAGGTTTAATTGTATGTACCTTTGATTTAGCTGCTAAGGACACTATGGTTAGATGTTGTAACTTCCTTAACTGTGTCGCAGTTAAAGCTGGCAACAAACTGGCTTTTTCTGAAATGGAACAGTGAATACACACCCTTAACAAAAAATAAAGAAAACAATTTCTAATCACTAAGGAATTTACATGAAAATCACTGTAAGATTTCAGTGCACTACTCCTTAAAAGAAAAGACAACAATCCCTCAATGATTTTTTTATTAATCACTTCTTTTCAGCTCAAAGACACAGCCTTTTAGTTAGCCACAGCACATGAACTATGTTTACAACAAAGGGGAGGCAGTTGTTCATAACACCTCATGGGAAGGACTAGGAAACCTTTCAATCAACATGTACTGTTAGCATTTCACAAATCAACTGAAGCCTGGTAAATGTTAACATTTAGCAAGAAATCTTGATCTTACCTTTATAGTCACTATAAGTTCCAAATGCAAATATGTTCAAGAGAGTCCAGTATGATGAATTTTCAGAGTTTTCTAGCTGCAATTGAAATCAAGGATGAAAAGAGAGGGTCCAATCTTGTTTCCCATTTCCAAAACTGGGAGTTTAAAGGAATCCAAAACAAACTTTTTGGAAGAGAAAATTAAATGCAAAGCATCCAATTACACAAAGAGAAAATATTTTGACTTCAGTTGCAATGCTTTCCAAGCAGTGTAATCGGAAGTTTTGTGTCTGATCTAGTTATGTTGCGATTATCATAGCACCTTAATAACTGAAGACAAATATGACATAACAGTACATACCGCTTTGACAGAAGGCATCTCTATGAGTTCCCCAAAAACATACACACCAGGGGCCTCTAATGTCTGATTTATAAGGGCTACTAATCCGGCTCCTCTGGCTGACTTGGCCAGCAAAACATACTGTTCTAAGTTGTGGCTGTGGCTGAATGTTTTGACTTCTTTTTCAGCCATGATGACTGGAGCTTGCAATTAGTACTGTAAACAGTTAAAAAACGTCATCACATTTGAGAGGGCTGTATATAAGAAGAGCAGAAGCCTCACCAGAGCAAGTCCAAATAAGTCACATTTATTAAAGTTTAACACTCTGTATGCTGATATACATGTCAATGTGAAAATTTACCAAACTTCCACTCTCATTTAGTTACTTGACATTAAAGAATTGCACCCACTGAAAAACGTTGCATGGGAAAATGCAAATAAGCTAGAAAAGAGAAAGAGAGGATGCGTAACTTCATGCAGGCCTGTCAATCCGCCTGTCAATCATGTAATCCCCCGTGTACACCATGTTCACAAGTACAGTAAATGTCCATGTATAAGCCACATCCGTAGATAAGCCGTACCCCCGATTTGGAAGCGCAGACTTTGGAAAAAAATGAAAACAATACAGTCTGAAGTTTCAATAGAGTTGTATTGCTACAAACAATCAAGGTTTTGAAACACCGACATAAAAGTTGTGGCTATCTTTCACATTTATCATTTATTGTATTGTTTCTTGCTCAGACAACCGAAATGTAGCACTATTCATTGAAGAAGAATGGAAGTAATTAGTAGCATTATCTTGATTAGGCTATATTGTTTAAAAATCAGTCAGATGTAAAATTAAATTACCTTTTAAATGTTGGGTTTTTAATTTGTGTTAGGACTGAAATGCAGCAGATTTACAAGGTTCGACCATCAATTTCACCATGCCCATTATTGCTGTCAGTTTCAGATAAAATGTCAGTAAAGGCTATTTACTTTTCGAAAAGCTTACGTAGACATTGTAAATTCCCAATCAAGCATTTCATCACTTTCAAACAATACTAATTGCTCCAATTGTATCTCCATTGTCTCTAAATGGACACAAAGCAAAATTTTACAACTCCCATCTGGGAATTCGTCAATTCAGATCTTAAGAGACCAAAGCTGGCAGTGAGCTTTTGCAACCTCATTCCCAGGTCATTGCACCCGCAAAGCATCATGGGTACCCCACTTTTCCCGGGCAATGCTTTTCAATGGGTGTGACTCCGTAATGAAACTGCTTGCTCAAGCGTCGGTTGTGAATGAGGCAAATAAAACTTTTCCCTGACAAAAGACAAGGTTTTCCTATCATTCCAGTACAAACCGTCTCATATCTATGTCTGCAAAGGAGTCAAGCAGCTGCTATCACCTGCTACTGTAGGAGTGAATGTAAATTCTATTCACAAAATATAGATCTATTAATGATCAAATTTTTTTTCTATGTTGGTTTAAGGTTCATACCAGTTTGATTTTTAGTTACCTATTACAGTCATGAATACATGAATGTAAGTATATGAAAATAATGTATGTGCACTGCAGTTCAAGAAATATGATATATAAATATACACATTTCTTTAACTGCAGTGCGCATATATATGATTTTCATACATTTACAGTCATGTATTCATCACTTGGAGGGTTTATTTATAATCAAGATAATGACCAGCTCCCAGTTGGCTGGCTAGCTCAGTTGGTAGAGCACTTCACCGGTATCACAGAGGTCATGGGTTCAAATTCCATACGAGCCTGAATCTTTTTCAGGCCCTATTTTCACTACTAGTTCTGGGTCCAGTTGTTCAAAGGCTGATTAGCGCTAACCCACAGTTAAAATTTTAATCTGGGTTTCTTTATTCCTTTATTCAAAAGCCTTTTTGGGATAATGCCTATATTCTTTTTAGAGCGTCAAAGAGTCATAGTCTAGACAAAAATAATTATACTGAATTTTCTTTTAAAGCTATCAGATCTGAAATCACATTTCATGCTAATTCTGGGTTATCTTAACCCAGCTTTGAACAACCCAGCCCAGTAGTATTCATAACTGTGAGGATCACTTCTATATTCATTTCTTTAACTGCAGTGCACATATATGGTTATTACATATTTACAGTCATGTATCTCTTTTGATTCATTCCCTTTCAACTCATGGGTAAAATATCACTGCCTGAAACTAAAAATGCTGCCATGTGCTCCAAGGTACATTCAGACTCAAATCTTAAAACTTTCACTAATAGATGACATGTTGGTGTTATGAGTAATTGTTGTTTTAAATATAAACTTCTAGAAATCTCCAGACTTCTTAGTCATGCTGACATGCATACCATAGAACTTTCTGGAACATTCCATCAAGTTATTATGTAATACTACTAAAATAAGTCTTTTGTAAGCTTCTGGAATGTTCCAGAACACTTTTTTAATGTATATAAGGACTAAGTTATGTAGTACTAGTAGTAGTTGTTGTTGTCAGGGGTGATCGACTGTCTAGAAAGTTATACAGTGAGAGAAAGCTACAGCAGGAGATTGCTAATTTCAAGAAACATTGGAGGAAGCTATGAGTTTGGCTCAATAGTGAGCTGATATACAGACAGTAGTGGGCTCAAGTAAGTTTATTGAGCATATGTGCTGTACTGCCTTTAGGAGTCACTCCTTATTAAGAATATTACTTGTCATTGAATAAAGTAGTAGAATTTGTAGGATTTTGGTGTTTTTCTGTGGGATAGATTATACCATAATACTGGAGTGCAGATATCTTTACTAGGTATGAGATCTCAAGCCATACTAGCTTCCAGATAAAATGTTTCACGTGCCTGTTTTGGAGTTGAATCTATAATCTTGTAATTCATATGGAGACAAAAGAAACAATGGACAGTAATAGGAAGTGTCCCAAAATGTATTTCTGATGAAGACATAGTGTTAAGATGAGAAAACACAAAAATGCTTTTACAATATTCCTCCATGTCTATCTATATCTCATTTAAAGATCTCAACAAAGGTTACTCATATGTGTTAATGAAATCAACTTAATTTAAACGAAAAGTACCACTACATGCACGTTATAAACTATACTTAATCAAAACAAACTTAAAGGCCTGTACAGAGTGAATGTCTTACCAACTTACCTGTAAACGTTGTTGAGATGCAAAATCTTTCTCTTTTATAAGAGAAAATTGCAGTTTTACGGCTCCAAAGCAGAACAAGATGGCTGATGACGATGGAAATTCCGGTTGTAAAAAGCCCAACTATCTAATCGTTGCAACTTCAAGGCGCTAGGTTCAATCTACACAGAAAATAGTAAGACCGTCAAGAGTTCTACAAGAAAAAAACAACCATTGGAAAAGCAATTGCGTTTTCATTCTACCCAACCGAGATGGGCCATATGCACGTTTGGTTGATTGGGAGTTTATCACTACATTTCCGATTAAAATTCTTGCATTCTTGCAATTCAAAACAAGAAGCTTGCACTTGAGACAAAAACTGGCATCAATGCATGATGCTACCATTTCTTAACAGAAGAATAATACATCTCATCGTGTAACCTTTTTTTGTAAATACACACAAATACTTACCCCTGCAAACCGGCAAAGGGAAAGTTAGAAAAATTATGTATTCTAGCAGTCCACCATGGCAGAGTAGTAGACTTGTTCTCGGCGCCAGTTTCCTCGCAGCTAATTGTTTGACCGCGGTTTTCGTAAAAAAAAAACTTGCGACAATACTTTTGAAATTCTTTGTATACTAATACTATTTAAGATGATAAATAACTTAATTTACGCAAATAAAATGTTACAATATTCCTACCAACTTAAAAAAAAACTTAATATGTATTGTCATTAAGCAAATTTATCCCGTCCCAGTCAACTGGTCAGCCGTCAACATTCATTTGTGCAGACTCGCAGTTGCGTTGCTCCTCTAATTTTCATCAACACTAGCTTCCCGTCTCAATTTTTTGGCGTTTTTACGGTTGTGTATGGCATCCCAGAAACGCGTACACACTACAGCAGCCTCAAGACTGCGGCAAGATTATCTACGTATCCTGAAAGATCCTGTACCTTACATCACAGCGCTGCCATTGTCATCAAATATCTTGGAATGGTACGTGACGTTTCATCATTTTTATCATTTATCAATACAATTATTTATTTCCTATGTGTTGATTTCTCTCATATCGTGGGTCTTTGGTCTATTTTGATAGGCATTATGTGGTCAGAGGGCCAGAAAATACACCGTACGCAGGTAACTCGTCTTTGTCGGTTTTTATGTGCGTAAATTTTCAAGATCAGTTGTAGATAGAAGTCCGTGTTCGATTAATATAAGTCATGTAGGTTGCCATCTGTAGATGTTTTAAGATCAGTCTTTCCTTTGCTTCAAAACGTAACTTGTGTAATCATAGACACCTGATGTTTTTTCCTTTTACGTTGTGAAGTGAAATGTAAGCTTACACCAGTGTCTTTGATAACAATCATACGTATCTGTGCATCATCATTTCTGAGTTACGATTTATGAGTAATGTACTTATTACAGTGGTATAGTGGGACTTGTTGGAATACAACTTTCTTGGCTAATTTTAAACTATATGCCACAGAACCTTCTATAACAGTTATTCTATCAGGCATGCAGCAATGAGTTGGTTATTTAACAAATCAACTGTAGTTTAGCATGGTCTGCACTCTTATCAACAATGAGTTAATACAGTGGACTCACTGTTGTGGACTTGCTTTTGTGGACTTGGGTGGACTCACTCAGCTACACCTCATGACTCCACAACAAATTTTGACCATGCTGAATAGCAATTTGTTTTTACCACAATATCAACATTAAATAAAACAATTCTTTCAGTGTGTGACCATTGCATGACATGTTGACAGAAGCAATGTTGTCTGCGCTCTTATTGACACTGGCAAATTGGCCAATCAGACTGCGACATTACTGTCAATTGTGGTAAAAATGTAATCTCATGTTCAGCTAGCCTGAGTACGATAGTTGTTTAAGGAAAATCTCACACAAATTCCACACCAGTGAACCTGTACACTTTGTGTAGGTAATCACATGATTTCGAGTGCAATTATAAATAAATAAGCACAAGTAAATTTTTTTTAAAGACTAACAAAATTGCATGAGCCCATAGGGCGAGTGCAATTTGTGGTCTTTGAAAAAATTAACAAGTGCTCATTTATTCCAAATTGCATGAGAAAAATTATGTGATTAGGTGTTAATAATAAACATGAAAAAATACAAGATAGCTTATCATACTTATGCCTAAGCAAAGCATGTGCATCAGGTGCAAAAATAATTTATTCAAACCATGTGTTCAGTCAAAACAACTGTGTACGATCAAAACAATAATATACAATGATATCTTCCCATCTTTAAGGCACAAAAAAGTTCAAAGTCTGGCTAAACAGTTTAAGGAATTGTTCAGTCTGTGTCCAAATCACTTTCGATGAATTGGAATCGTCATTTCCGCAGTTTAACCATGTTTGTTTTTAATTTGGGCATTGGATCGCTGGAGCAAAGTGTTAAGCTGGGTCGGTGCATAATTTTCTATTTCCCTGGCAATTCCCTTCTCTAAATACCACTTTTTCCAAACCAACAACCAAAAAGCAGTGATTTTTTACAGTGCTTTCATTGTTTGAGCTGTTTTTTAGCCATGGTGGCAAAAGAAAACCTACCTAAAACACTGGCCATTGTTTCGCTCACAAATTTTCAAATTTTCAAATTTTGTTGCGACATCCAAGGCTCGCATTTAATTGGCTCTCTATGAGTTTCTTTGATTACTGACCAATCAGAATGTCTGATTTGTTACTTTCTTTACACTTAATTAACCCTCCTCTGCACTGAATTACATGAAAACTGCATTTATCTTAACCAATCAGAACTGAGTAATTTTTTCATGTATATTATTAGCATTTATATTATCTCTTTGTGAATAAATGAGTGCACAAAGTGATTCCCTTAACATGGCATAATTCAACATATAAGGTACACTGTATGGTGTGATTATTTTTATTTTGGTTATTTAGGTGGTTACTATCATGGCAAGCTAGTTTTTCCAAAAGATTTCCCTTTTAAACCACCAAGGATATTTATGATTACACCAAATGGACGATTCAAAGTGAACACAAGGTGAGCTGGGTTCTTCTTGATTCCTTTTTTTTTTCTTTTGAAAAAAGGTACTAATATCTGAAGCAGAACAATTCAATCTCTTGATTTGTTTAGCCAAGAAGGATGTTTAAAGATGTGCATGAAGTGTAATATCAGTAGAAACTAGTCTTAAGTTTTCGAGGTCATTACTCAGATTGCTCATAAAAATTTGCAATAAATATGTCCTACACATACTTGTAGTAACAGTTTCTTTTGAGGTTAAACACAGGCATGTGATCTAATTTTTTCCTACAGTTTTATTGAAATGTTCTTGAATGTGAAACATAACTTGGCTGGATTTCAAAGATTGTTTTTACATGTACATTACACTGGACATTTACATTTGATCTCTATTTTTCATTATGACAATGGCTTGTTCCAAGTACCTGTAATTTTTTCCTCAAATTTTCAGATTATGTTTGTCAATAAGTGACTTTCACCCTGACACATGGAATCCAGCTTGGTCAGTCTCAACCATTCTGACTGGCTTACTAAGTTTCATGGTATGTTTCCAATTTGATGTGCATGCTATTGTCTTGGAGTAGCAATTGCATTATTATAGAGATTTTCAGTGTTATTCCTATAGATTTAGTAGTTCACCATTTGAATGCCTTTTGGAAACGGCGCTAGATGTTCAGCCCTGTCTATCTTTCTGTCTGATGAGGAGTTATCTTGAGTTGGAGTGAGTTGGAGGAGTTATCTTCTTGAGTTGAGTTGGTCCTCAATCCAATACAACTTATTAGAAGTTAAACATACAGAAAAGTAAACGATATTTAGTAAAAAAACACTGGTGAACATTGGTGAATATCAAACAGAAGCTTAAACATCGGTGAACATTGATGAACATCACCAATGACTATAACAGCTTAAGACGCGAACGAGTTATTGTGCAACAACAACACCGTAAAGACTCATCATGTCAATCGCTCAGATTAAAAGCTGTTATAGTCATTGTTGATGTTCACCAATGTTCACCGATGTTTCAGCTTACTTTTACTTTTTTGTATGTTTAACTTCTAATAAGTTGTATTGGATTGAGGACCAACTCGCCGACGTCTCTACTCGATTTTATACGTCGGCGAGTTGGTCCGTCGGCGAGTTGGTCCGTCGGCGAGTTGGTCCGTCGGCGAGTTGACTGGTTACCTTTTAAGTCCACTTTGTGTAAACTGACTGGTCAGTTTAACTGTGATGTTATCAGCTAAACCTGATATTAAAAGTGTTATTTATAATCAGGCCTGGAAAACAATACAGTTTCAAATGTCCTGTAAGGTTTTGATGACTTACTTAATTGTACAGTTTTTGGTTTCTTAGGTGGAAACATCGCCAACCCTCGGCAGCATAGAAACATCGGAATTCCAGGTATTTAAAAGGATATGGGGAAAATGAAAATTGGTTGGGGGAGGTAGTTTAGTTGCTATGTGTTTATCTCAGTAATTTCTTAAATACTGTACAACCAGGAAATAACAGTATCCACTGTACTGTATGTGCCTATCGAAAACTTGCGCACAATCTACACTGTACAATGTATACATGTCAATTTTAACTTCAATTTCAGAAAAGGCAGCTTGCTTTAAGAAGTGGACCATTTAACTTACAAGACAAAATATTTTGTGAACTTTTCACCGATATGGTAGAGGTGAGTGCAATAAAATGACTCATTCATTTTACATTGAACCACTGCCAAGTTTCTCAGAAAGAAGTAGGTAAACAACTGTTAGTTGATAAAGATAGATAAACCACCCCAACAAATTTTGAAAAGCTGACATTTTTAGCTCTAGCTTCAATTTTCTCCGACAACAGGCCAACTCTTTGGTTTCCCAAATTTGCCAAAAGCTCTTCAATATTAGCACTGCAGAAGGTGCATTCTCTGCCTAAGGGAGGATTTGAGATGAGTTAGGGAGATGTGCACCAGGGGTCTGGCACCAATTATGAGTTTAATTATCAGTGCTAGACCCCCCTTGCAGACCTCTCATGGGCTTGCATTACTCAAAGCTTCATACTTTCCAGCTGGCAAAGGAACACCAATACATCATGAAGGCTAGCATGTAGGCTATTGTTAACCCATCTTTATCAACTTATAGTTGATATCTCTATGATTTTTTCTCTTACCATTATGTCCAGCACAAACAGATTCCTTAACCCTTCACACCCTAACATCAGTAAAGGTATTCTCCTTACTGTTCCCCATACTTTCCCTAAGGTGCTGACAAGGAGAATTTGTGTAACAATCAACAGTTTCTTTTGCTGCTGATAATTTTCTCTATTCCCATAACCTTACTGTATGATTCAGGAGTGATATTGTAAGGGGAAATAAGATGCTAGTCACTCTTGAGGGTTAAAGGGTTAAAAACTAATAACCTCATATATTTACAAAATTTTCGGCTGGTTGCTTTCAAGCAGGCCTAAGTAGGTGCTGCATCATGAGCAAGAAAACTGTGAGAAGAAACAACCCTGAATTTCTGTTCATTTAGAGTTATCTGCAATAAAAAAAATTTATGAGGAGCTTTTCCCCAATATGCAATTACCTGTTGTTTGTTTTCTATCTGATGTTCATGTCCAACTTCACAGGAAATCCAAGAAAAAATGAGAGAAAGAGGAGAGATGAGGGAGGGACATGAAACTGCATCACAGAACAATAGTAACAGAGAGGGAGAGGTGACTGGGGCTACACGGGAAGGACAAAATGGCCTCATCAGTAGTACCCTGGTGAACATTTGTGTTATCATTGGCTTTGCTGCCTTTGCGTATACAGTCAAATGTGTCATAAAGGCTGTTGACAATAGCTAGAATTTGCAAGAAATCAGAAATTAATCACGCAAGGTTTGGCCAATTTCCAGTATTATGATGCCTTTCAAATAATATTAGTCTCTAGAGAAGGATTAGGCTCGAAGTGTTTTTCCCCTCATCAAGTAAGTTCTCAAACAAGCTGTAAAGAAATGGTTCTGCTGAAAATCACTCCAACAATAGATGTGCTGTATCTTTGTAAGAAGCAGTAGGAGTTTTATAGATATTTGGCTATCCTTTAGAAATCTAAAAGCAGAAATCTCTAGTATCACGTCTTTAACCCTTTAACTTCCAGAAGTGATTAACGTAAATCTTCTCCCTACAATATCCATACATTATTCAGCAAACAGGTAATGAGAATATTCAAACTCATCAGGTAGAAGCGGCTATCTTGATCTAGCACCAAGTTCTCATAACTAATTTACAAAGAAATTTGTAGCAGCTAGAGGGGAGAATTAACAATTAGATCTTGAGAGTTAAAGGGTTGAAGAAGGACTCTGGGAAGTGATTGAAGAAAACTGACTGACTTGAATTTTTTAGCCTTAATTTTATTAGTAATGTCTCTGTAGTTAATCTTCTCATCACATTTAATCTTTGCTTGTATTGAGTTTGATCAAATTTTTGTAGTAATCTGTTAAAATAATTATTTCAAATTATTTTCAAATTAATCAAGGATGTCATTGAAAGATAAAGAATCTCTAGAAAAATTGTTATAGGTATATTTTTGGTCGAGTGTCTGTTGATTCGCCAGTTTTGCTTTGTATTTGAAGTTTGATTTAAGTTCTCTTGAAACTGTTTCACAGCTGAAGTCTGAAAAGATCAGGGAGGGGCCTCCTTTCAAAGCTGTGTTTCTTTTTAAAAATTATTCAAGGTATTCAAAAAAAAACTGATTAACCTTCGTGTCATCACCAGTATGATAACTAGCGAAGTGTGTTCTTTTGCTGATAGTGTTGTTGCTTACACGTTTACCGTCAGATTATGAGGAAGAAATAAACTTTTTCCAGCCAATCTTGGGAAATTATCGATTGTTAATGATTTTTTCCCTCAAAGAAACGTGTTGCACTTGTACAGTTTTCAAATTATTTTGTTATTATGTTTGACAAGACGTAACTCGGCCATTTAACATTTTACTGGAAAAGAAATTTCGGAGAGAGAAGGCTAATTTCTGGGAATAGGAAATTGCAATCAAAGTTTATTGTTATTTGCGGACGTTTAACGTCTGAGTGTCACCCAAAATCTTACTTTATCGCAGCAATTGTTAGCTCATGTCATGTAGGTTGTAACGCACTTCGTCACCAAGCGTCGCTCTGTTATGCGGCAGGTGTGGCGTGACGTAAGGTTTGGGTTTTGGTCGTGAGAACTTACTCGGCTTTCCAACCTCACCTGCCAATAAGAGAATAGATTTTCGTTCACGAAAGTAATACGCACGTGTCTGACTGGTGACCAGTTTGATATTTTCACCTTCTGTTGTTTTGTTAACACCGGCGAACCAATTGAAAATGAACAAACTGATCCAAACCTTCATCTTGGTAGTAAACTGAGTAACTTTCAACGATTTGTATGTATTGTATACTGGAAGTCTTAAATAGAAAAAACAGTGTATTAAAAATGTAAGTAATGGAGGTAATAATAAATATGATAGACAATTCATTGCCTCTTAATTGTACCATCAAAAAAGTTATGTAATCATCCGCACGGCACACTATTTCGCACGTGAGAAAAGCGCGGTGTCTCTGTTGTAACCTTCAGTTACTAAGCGCGCAGCGGTTGGTCAATTTAACGAGCTGTACTGACCTTCCTGCACGTTCCATTATAGTTTAAGGTTGTTTTTGCTGCTAGAAGTTCTCGTCATTCATGGCCAGTTGTCATCAGTTTTTAATGCACTTGCTCATCTATCATCGTGCGGCAGTCGCTTGAAGTCGCTAGGTGTGATTAGAAATCGTTTTTCAAACCCGTCAGACACAGAACAGAGGAAAAATGAAAATCTTACTTATGTTGCTCCGCACAGAGTGATTACGGATTATCATTTTTCTCCTCAATTAAATTATCACTTATCACAGGCTCGTCTCTAATATCTCCTTACAGTATCACAGCTGAATCAAGCACAAAAGTCATGAGATCAAGCAAAGGATCACTAACTTAGGGAGCTCTTGACTGTAAGCAAATTCTCATTGTCAACCTCATAGGACATGAGTAAAGAACAGAAGGGAGAAAATGCGCACAGATATTAGGGTGCAAACGGCTACTGACTCAACTCCGCTCTGGGCCATAAAACGAAGGTTAGGAAATAAAGAGATTGTAACATCTTGAAGGAAATCGGTTCCTACCTAAAAGTACAGACTACACAAGACCTCGAACTCGGTTAATAATAGGTGTGTAAAATAAACGGAATCCATTCCTTAAAGCAGAGTAAGAAACATCAAAAGCTCAAAAGCTAACGGAAAGAACGCGATGACTTTCAGAGTTTCTAACAATACATTGAGGATATTTTTTGTAAATTGTTTTGAGTACCTCTACACAATACACTACAGCTTTGAGACTCTATACTAATATGTCACATTGGGATCCATTTCCTTGACGAATGTTCCCGTAATAGATTGTTCGTGTCGTAGTTTGCGTCTAGTGTGCCAAACCTGAAATGTCGGGGTTCTCTCGCGACATAAAGAGGAAATATTTAAAATTGTAACACTAATAGCAGTATAGCAGTGGCGAATCCAGGGGAGGGGTCCGGGGGACCCGCCGCTCCCTCCCCCACTTTATTTTGGTAAAAGAGTAAGAATCGCCGGAGGAAGAAAAACCGACAGGGCAAGCGACAAGAAACCATCCCCACCCCCCCCCCCAACTCAGCTCAAGGCCTGGACCGCCACTGAATAGTGATAACTTTTCGCCCATTGTTGACAGTAGGGAACTCTTGAGACTTGAGAGCTACAGACGAAACTCTACTCCAGCAAGTTTCTTGGTGTCAAGTTGCCAAACTTTCTTTGCCAAATTAAACAGCGAACAATTGAAATGAACTGTCAATCCGATCTGCGACGACAAATTGTTGACATGCGACTCTATCGTATTATTATTATTTTTTTTTTTTTAACTCAAATCAGCGCACAGCTTCCGCAATTTTAGCCCAATGTCACGTACAAATCCTGAGTAAGCTTGCACGTTTACCTTCAGATTAGCCAATCTTGGGAAACTATCAAGTGTTGATGAATTTTTTCCCGTTGAGAAAAACGGGAAACGTCACCAACAAATCCTGAGTAAGCTTGCTAAGAACCAGTAAGCGAGAAAGGGACTTTCAAAGTCGATTCAACAGATATTTTCATCAGACAACAATGACATCGTGATTTCATCAGACAACAATAAACATCATGTTCTGTACAGTCTTAACGTCGACTTAGCCGATTCGATCAGTAATTTTTTTTTATTTTTGGCTCTTGTTCCAGCATTGTTTCAAAGTGAAAGGAAGTTATTTGAGCATAAGTTTGCCAACAGGAAATAATTATGATAACGACCAACGCATTGCACGCCATGAAGAGAAAAACCTCTCAATTCGTTCATCAGAACGAGTTAGACTTTACACGCTTTAAGATCGAACAGAGTTTCGTTCAATTGTTAACTGCTTTAAATTCTTATGTACTCTTTTTCATTCCAAACACATTCGGCATTGTTAAACGACCTTGCAAAGATATTCGAGTTCCTGTGTATTTACCGTTTCACCCAAACAAACCCACACACACCAACAACACAAAAACAGGCGCCTTTTGTGTACAAGTTTTGTATAGAAACGACTAGAAATCTAAAATAAAACAATAACAATAACTCTCGTATTACCCTGAGATTATCTGTATTTCCCATTCATGAGGTTGCTACCGTTGTAGGACGATGACGTCACAAGTAATTTCACTGAGAACTTGTCAATATATGAGCCATTTTGAAGTAGAGTTATCCACCACTTCAACGATACTTACGCCAAGATAGATTGTATTTACACACGATATCCATGGTTTAAGTTTTTTTGACACAACGTTCCCACCTAAAGTCCGATTTCATTATCACGTTGCATCAAGCGGGGCAGCGATGCTAACATCTCTTTCGCAATAGCGGAAGACACAGACATCTCATTTGTGCGCAAGCTCGCACTCGTCCTAAATTTTCGTGACGTCAGATTTAAGATCGTGTGGTCCTCAATTGAGTCAATTTAACCACTAACCTTCCCCGTAAACATGTCGACGGCGTTCGCCACAATTTACGATTTCCTCAGCCTTGGCAATGTTTTTCTGCTGTTGTTCACCCTGATGGTATCACATTACATCATGGTGCTGTACGAGTTCAGAGGAATGCCACCGGGTCCGCGATTTACAGCCGTTCCCGTTTTAGGTAACGTGTTTTCTCTCGATTCGAAGGCGGAGAAACTAACCGACGCTTTCCGAAGGTCAGTGAATCGTATCTTAAAATATTTAACTTTCGATTTGATATAGCCATCTTTGGTTTTGCTTTTGGCTCAAAGATTATTGTGTCGGGTATTAACATTGTGGGAAAGAACACTTTTTTTGATGACATTTCACCAAATTCTCTGGTTCAAAAATTGAAAATTTTCTTTACGCCCATCTGCCATACAAATATTATGTAATTTCTAATCAGCTATTTGTATACAATGTAGAATATTCTGCTTGACCACTTGACTTATCAAACTATCCAAACATATATCTTTCGGAGCAAAACAACTCCACTACTGAATAAACAGTCTTCTTAACTTCTGCCATGGAAACGCTTTATGGTTATTTGGCCGTAATTGCTAAAATTCCTCTTTGATGAAGCCATAAAAAAGTTAAAAGCATATAACCACTTAATGAATTTTCCATGGAAATAGATCATAAAACAATTAACACACCTATTCGGAAGCGCATGATTAGTGATTGGAACATTATCAGCCTGTTGAGATGTAAGAATATTCATTTATCTACACCTAGTGTTGCCCCGCTTTCGTCATCTTGCCTCGAACGAATTCTCTCTAAAAATCCAATTTTTTAAAAAGCCGGTTAAAATGTTCTGATAAATTCAGAGCAGAAAAATGTTAATTTTAGAACAATCCAAACTACCCACATTGTTTTACATATGTGGGCTACTTAGCCATGTAATTATGAAGTAATTTTTCAGTTATTTTTAGTTGCCACTGTTTTTGACAATTATTTGTCAATAATAGTTTGTATCGCCACTAAATAAACCGTTATATATAGCTTTATTTTAATTCATGGTACAGAAATAGCGTTCCACAGCATGACTTCTGTAAAAGTGCGGTTTAATTGATTTGCGCGAGAAGTCTTTTGAGAGAATAGCTTTCAATTTGCATTTTTTTCTCTTAAGTTACCGGTAATTTATGATCATAGACTGTTTTTCCATTCTATAAATCAAGAGCGATTATTCTTAAGTGGCTATGATTTCATTCGGTATCGCATTTTAGGACTTTTTTTTTCCAGGCTCAGTAATTTGGAGTCCATAGGCGGTTGCAGGGTCACCATTTACTGAATGGACAATGACGACAAATTGCTTTGTAAAGTTGCGCAATGATCGATTATAGTAATCCTGCCGTCAAAACAATGTCTTCAAGACATTAGATAGGGATGTGGAAGATTCAGCGGTGTTGATAAAAGATTGGACAAAATTGGATAACGAAACAGACTAATTACTTTGAGTAGATACGATTATTAGGTCTTTTTCGAATAATGTATTTAGCTTCAGTTTCCTAAGCTCAAATCGCGTTACTGAAATCCTCTCTTCAAAACCGCCCATTGTTAACATAAAAGAATACAAGAGCTATTTATATTTCCTATTAACATTTCTGGCGTTGTTGTTGGGGTCACCACTCCTGTCTTTTCAAACCACTGAATCCACTGTTCATCAATTGACCATTTCAATGGTTTGAAAAGTGAAAAAATATTTGAGGCTCGAATTTCTTTTTAGAGATTGAAACAAAACGCAAAGCGCTGAGTTTAGTCAAGAGAAATCAGCACTGCTATTTTGATTATTGTTTCATGAATATCATTACCGAGGCAGATGTTTAACAAACGATTCTCTTTGTTCTTTTTCAGCCTCAAACGAAACTATGGTCCTGTATTTTCGCTCAAACTTGGTAGTTACAAGTTTGTTATGGCGTCTACACCTGAATCTGTTAAAGAGATGCTAATAAAAAAATCTACTGAGTACGCTGGAAGACCACAGACATATTCAGTTCAAACTAGAACACTAGGTAAGGCCTTTTGCTCATTGATTACGTAATAGGGTTCTGAAAAAGGAATAATTTAAATCGATTATCGGAAGAAAATCCTCAGTAATGATTATTATGAAACGTTTAAGGGGCAGTTAAGGGTAGGGGAAGGGAAGGACGTGAGAGAAATGGCAAGAACGGTCGCTTCCCACCCCTCCAATACTTCGTTTGCATCGAGCATTGGATTATGGGACTTGTTGTCACATCTCTCACATACAGATTGAGGTTGTAGTTGATTTCCTTCCTTCATTTGAAGGTTTTTTCGCGATTTTCTACTGTTTGTAGCCAGTGGTACAAAAATATCACTAAGCAAACTTCCTTTAGAACAAAGAAACTGAAGAGGGAGAGCCATCCCTTAGATGTGTTGCTTCACGCGCATTCATTACTCATTTTTTTTTAATTACACTGTAACTTAAGTCCGTAACATTTTTTCTGTTGCAGGCGGTAAAGATATCGCTTTTGGTAACTATGGTCCTTCTTGGAAGTTTCATCGAAAATTATTCACATCAGTATTGCGCCAGTATGTTTCCGATATTCCCCTCATAGAAAGCCGAGTCTCAGTTCAAGCTCAGAAATTGGTGCAGTTTATGCAAGAACAAGATGGCAAACCTTTCGATCCCGCAGATTGCCTCATGAGGGGCGTTGCTGATGTCATTTGCGGGATAACCTTCGGTGAAGGTTTCGACACAACGCACCCAGATTTAAACAAACTTTTGAATCTTTGCGCGAATATTGTGGAAAATGATGATGTGGCGAGGCTTGTTACTGTGTTGGACTTCTTCCCCTTTACGAAGTACTTGCCGATCAAGGCTTATGATCGCTTCATACAGCCCTTCTTCGAAATGTTTGGAATCATTCGCAAATTTTTAAGAGAACGCGAAGAAAATTTCGACCCAGCAAAGAGCGTACAGGATTTCATCTCGGGTCTTCTTTGTGCAAGAAACGAAGCAAAGATGGCAGGCGATGGAGAAAGGTCCGCATTTCTTTCTGATGACTATCTTGTGAACGATGTTGAGGTCATGTTTGCTGCTGGCTACGAAACTACCAGCACAACCTTAAAATGGGTGATAGCTTACCTAGTTAACCATCCAAAGTACCAGGAGGACATTCAACGCCAGTTAGACGAGGTACTTGGTGAACGGAGTCCTTCCTTGAATGATCGTGCCAGTTTACCTCTAGTGCAGGCAGCAATCATCGAAACACTGCGACTTGGAAACGTTGGACCTCTTTTACTTCCTCATGTCACCATGACCGATACCACACTATGTGGCTACCGCGTTCCAAAGGATACAATTGTCTTTGCTGACACAGAATCTGTTCATCTGAATCCTAACTGTTGGAAAGATCCCACCAATTTCAATCCTTACCGTCACATCGACAAAAACGGTCAGCTTATCACTAACCAAAGTAACTTCTTTCCTTTCGGAGCTGGTCGCCGGGTATGCGCTGGGGAAGCCCTTGCTAAAGTGAAACTGTTTTTGTTTGTGTCTTGGATTCTTCAAAATTTCACTTTTGTTCCTGAAGTAGATGGCCATCCTCCCGAGCTGAGGGGCATATTTAGTATTACTCAGTTTCCCGCTCCCTACAAGATACGCGCCATACAGCGAAAGTGAAATATTTTTTTATAAATTGCAATTTTTGTTAAGTGCTTTAGACGAATTACAATTTTTTATTCAGAGCTCTTTTCGATTGAGCTTCGTGAGATTAAAAGCGAAGGTATAAAGGCAGCCAATCAGAGCGGAGGAAGGCATCACAAGGAGCCAATGAGAACTCCAAGTGAAAAAAAAAAATTAGACTACCTCGTCCGCGCGTAAAAACGCGAGTCATTAAGTCGCGATTGGTTTCAGTTTTACATCTGATTGGTTGAGAGATTGGCGTGTTTTTTCTTTCGACCATTCATATAGCAGTACAATCAAGATTTCCTTTTCACGCTAAATTAAAAAATTTTTGATATTAGGTTACAGAGTTGGCAATAAACAAAGAAAAGAGCAATTACTAGTGACTGAATGGATAACCAATGAACTTCGTGCACAGCCTGTATGTAGAACGCGGTTTACAAATAGACTTCAGCCCCCATAGGGCTTTGAGTCTGAGGTTCCTGTACCCCTTACGAATTATTTTTTTATCCCTTCCATTTTCGGAAATTTCAAGTGTATATAGGTTAAAAACCCACCCATCAATTTTCGCGCGACCCTATAGGCTACTTTACGTCGCGCGGTAAAAAATCACCGGTAAATTATTACACAATAAGCTACATTGACGATATTTGCCTCCGATCATTCCCGTCGAGAAAAAAAGCCAGCGGAAAAAAGCCAGCTGAAGAGTTTGGCTTTTTCGCCCTTATTACTTCACATGGAAGGAAAACAAACTCGTTTGGTAGAGTCCACTGGTAGTGACATTGAAAACTGATCTCAACTGCTGCTCCGAAAAGAAAAAAAGGTCAACGAAATTTTGCTGTCAGCCGCAGCTTCAAAGTGTTTACTTACTAAATAACTAAGCAAGCGCAAAGAAATCTCCCTCAGTAGACATTTCATTTGGCCTCTTCCGGTTCTTCAAAAACAAAAAAGGGGATTTGAACGGGGTTAACTTTATCGATATATGTATTGATTTCTAGTCAGAAAGGGGAGCACTCTAGCTTAGGAGGTAGTAACTTGAAATATAAGACTCAGTTGATTGTAAAATTTTCTGCCATCAAACTTATCTTGTAAGAGCGCGGGCTCATTTCCAGAGCAGTGTCCGGTACTCGAGCCCACGAATTACCTGAATAAAATAAATAACAACATAAATACAGGCATTTTTAATTATTAGCTGAGATTTACCGACTACTGACAAATATCGAAAATTTGAACCAACTACCGAAAAAGAAATGAAACTTTAACCGACAACCGATATAAGGACACCCACGCACCCCCATCCAGACCCCCATAAGCAGCCCGCAAACCCATGAAACATTATTCCTTAGCGACCAATTACCTTGAGTTCATTAACCTTTTTTGATAAAACCTAGTGAACCCTGTTGGTGATACGGTCTCATAACCTAATTCTCTATTTGTACCAGTGTTTCGCATAAACGAGAAGGTCTGTAGTAATCTCGTACCCAGATCCTTTCGTGTAACTGTCATAACCGTTGTCCGTGGAAGGTCTGGGTAGAAGTCACTTGTTTTTGAGTATGTAGCAATGAAAAGCAAAGGCAAATGGAAAATGGTAAAAGGTTAAGTCTGTAATTAAGACAAGAGGCCCACCCAGCCCAAGCTTATTATGGTTTCCTTAACATAAAGCGACCAGGAGTATCACTACTCCACCCACCCTTCCCCCCTGGATGGGGTGCTACCTCATCGCAATGTTACCCTCCACATATCATCATGCTTCCCTGGAAATTCGCCGGTACTCATAAATAATCTTGGGTAGGGAGAGGCACTGGGGACTAAGTTACTTTGCCAAAGGACGCAACACATTGACCTGGCTAGGTCTCTAACCGGGAATCCAGAGTTGTAACCATTTCCCCACCGCTCTTCCGCATAACATAACATGGCATACCTTTATAGCCCAAGTTGCGCAAATTGACTCAGAATATGATGTAATGTTCTTTAACTACTATACAACGGTGAAATCAAAGAAATTTGTCAAAATTGCTGAGATTTATTAGCTGTAAATAGTGTTAAACGAAATGTAAAAAGACCTTCATGTGTAAAAGAAGTCCAAACACGCTTCCTCGCAGGGTCGGGTCAATGTTTTACATAGGATTTACCAAAAAATTTATTGGGTTGTGGTTATTCGTGCAGAATGTAAACAGGAAAAGATATACTGCTACAGAACACCGATTGCCTTAAATGTTTTATTTAAAAAAGGATAAAAGGTTTGAAAATTCAACAATATGGAGCCAAGTTTAAATAAGTGTGGAAAGTCACACGTGACTGCGACAGTTTTGCCTGAGAGAATATAAACTATAACTAAAACCTTTTGTTTCGCTTTACTTCGTTTTGAGATTGGTCTTGTTGACCCTTCTGATCACTTTGGATTTGGTTTTATGTACTACTCTCAATTTAAAAGTACTCTATTTCTATTAATAAGATAGTTTCTAAGGGCGCTTTTGATGCAAACTAGCACCGTGCCGTCTCCGGCACTAAATTCTTCGTTCTATAAAATCAGCAGTCTTATACAGCGGATTTGACATCACCGATAAACAAGCCTGAGAAAGTGATATCTGAGATCCTCATTGTCGCTTGATGGCACATATCTTGTAAGCAGAGGGAAATTGAACAAAAGCTCCCTTCGTGTTCACAGGATGTCCCTCATCAGCTATAAAAGTAAACTTTTGAAGCATCCACGAGACAAACATGAACAGCTCAACTTTGGCCAGGGCTTCACCTGCACAGACACGGCGGCCGGCTCCGAAAGGATAGAAGTTGCCTTGATTGGTGATCAACTTGCCATCTTTGTCCAGGTGACGGTAAGGATTGAACACGGTGGGGTCTTCCCAAAATTTTGGATCCAGATGAATAGACTCCGTGTTGGCAAAGACAATGGTGTCCTTCGGTACACGGTATCCACACAATGTGGTGTCGGTAAGAGTCACATGAGGTAGTGCAATGGGTAATAAGTTTCCAATCCTTAGGGTTTCCATGACTGTGGCCAGCACGAGCGGCAGACTGGAGCGATCGTGTAAGGAAGGGCTCTTTTCCGCACCAATTACCTCATCCAACTGGCGCTGAATGTCCTTTTGATGCTCCGGATATCTGACCAAGAGGGCAATAACCCATTTTAGTGTGGTGCTTGTGGTTTCGTAGCCGCCAACAAACATGTCTTCGATAGTGATGACAAAATGGTCTTCAGACAGCTGAACGTCTCTCATCTCGTCGTCTGGCTCATTTTCGGTTTCGTACTTGGCACGGAGAAGACCTGAAATCAAATTTTCTACAGGTTCTGTTGGATCAAATTCTTTTGCGCGCAATCTAAAGATCTTACGGATGATATCGTGTATCTCAAACAAGGGCTGCAGAACACGGTCATAAACCTTAAGTGGCAAATAGCGTGCCCATGAGAAGAATTCCAAGATTGTGGCTAATCTGAGATCCTCATCGTTAGCTATAAAATCCGCATTCAATTTCAAAAGTCGGTCCAATTCTGGATTGGTCGTGTCTTCACCCTCACCGAACGTTATACCGCATATAACATTAGCCACGCTTCGCATCAGACAATCTGAGGGATTAAAAGGCTTTCCATTTTGTTCCTCCATGAACTGCACAAGTTTCTCAGCCTGTGTTGCGACTCGCCTTTCTATGAGCGGGACATCAAGAAGATACTGTCGTAAAGCTGCAGTGAAGAGCTTCCGCTGCTTTTTCCATTGTGGGCCATAGTTACCCATTATGATATCTTTGCCTCCTACAATTCAAATGAAACCCAGTTGTTAGGATAACATAATACAAGAGTAATCACAGCTACATTCCACAATTCTGCCAAACGTATGTTTCTATGCTGTGTCTCTGTGAGATTCCCATGACTGGTCAGCATTAGATTCCATCCACCAAAACCACCTCGGTCGAGAGGGACTGAGATGGAATATTTAATGACTTGCAAAACATAACCGAAGATTCTCGGAAATCCGCAAGTGATGTAGCCGAACATCAAAAGCTGTAAATCCCATGATTCTTGAGGAACAAACAGAAACAGCATAGCGAGAATTTTAAGTCGCGAACCATTGATGGTAGACATGCAGATAATTTAGGATACGTTAATTCTGTTGATGAGGCGCATAAACTTATTGCGGAATTTGAAACAGGATTGACGACGCAGTTTTCTTTCTTTAAAGCTGTTAAAGGTTTCGGGAACACATATATATATTGATATAGCTCTTTAGCATTACAAAGCTTTGCTATTGCTATTGTGCATTCTCACTAGTTTATCTAGTTCAAGTCCTCTGGCATGGCTTGGATGATACCACAATTGTGGAATCATTCGGGTTAATTTAATGCTTACACCCCCTTTCTCGGACAGAAGTCACAAAATACTGGGGGAAGATGCATGAGATATTTAAGGAGCAAAAATTCGTTTTTTACTGGTGTGCCTTTCCTAATTTTGGGAAGGAAGGTGTTCAATTGCCAGCACGGCATAGATAGAACAGCTGGAGAGAAAAGGAAACGAAAAGATGCAGAAGAAGTACTGTATATAATAATTTCTTTTTATCCTCAACCTTTGTGTTTCTGTCAACTATGGCTTGCTAATTCGAAAGGTCAAATACTTGAATGGGTCATATGACATTGATCTCAGAATACTTTTATGACAAACGTGATAACAGTTCAATCTTGGCTAAATTGAAGATGGTTTAGAAGTTAACAATTATAAGAACTTTTCACTAACATATGCTGCTGACAAAGGAGAAAATATATGCAATTCTGCATTTTTTGCTTTCTATCAAGCAATCATATGTTTGCTCCTTATCACGCTATGACACTTCCGTTTTGTCACATTCCAAAAAATAACTTGAGAAATACACTGTCACTCATCTTACACTGTTATATTTACCTATTACAGAAGGCTGGAAACAAAGATTTTGTTTTCAAGAAAATAAGATTTCTTGTCCAAGACACAAGGAAGTTTGACTGCAAAGCACAGATAAAAATGCGAGAAATTTTATTTTTTTCAGAGAACAAGGTAGTTCTACTCATGTATAAACAGAACAAATGCGATTTAATAAATCAGATATGCGGCATGACTCCTTTTCTTCCATCCCCACTCAAAACAAGCAAACACACCTATAGAGGTTCCAGTCTGGTCTGCAAATGAAAAGGAGGAAGGTGATCACTGCAAAATTAAGCATTAGGGTTCTTATTTATAACATATTGATTATTGTATACTGATATCTAGAAATTAAGGTTGCAAGTAGCAGCCAGCTGAGTTATAGTTTGAGTTTATCAAGTCCATTACTTTGTTAAATTTAGAGTAACCTTGTCTTGAGAGAGGAAAATTGAGGAGCTGTAATATACTTATCATCAATTAGGGACCACAAAGAAAAATTTATTTATAAAGACTTTTGAAGGAGAGGGGTAAGACTTGTGACAAGCTGGCAGACATATAGATAAACTTTACTGCTAAATGGGTTACAATACAAAGTGCTCAGTATTTGGATCAGCTATGGCTCAACTTAAACTTTGCTTTAGCTTCAAGTTTAATCCTTTGTAGTTTCCTTTCTCTGTGTTTATTTTTCACGTTATGTACACAGAAGAACACAAAAATGACAAGGAATGCTTTTGAATATTAAGAGGCTGGAATAAGCAAGAAACCAAAACTGAATTTTAAACAGTACAAAGTTAATTTGATCTTCCAATGTTAATTAATTTTAACCATTAATAGAATTTTCTATTTAAATTTATCCCCTCCATTTTTCTGGATATTGTGAGCAAAAACAAACAATTATCACAAAATGCATGGTATACAATGGTTTGATTCACCAATGTGGCAAAGGCCTTTCACTGTCTATCCATAAAAAGGGAAATAGTTTGTAAAATGTAAGACATTCTGCATCTTGAGCATATACTTATTCATCCATGTGAAATTGAAGGTTACTTGAAATAGGATTTTCAGACCCCTGATAACAATTACTAATGTGCTGATTTGTTGTACTTAAAGGTTATGATTTTAGCGGAAATAGTGGAAGAAATTTCTGGACCTGGAATTTTGTTGCAAATGTCTGTTTAAATCAGTTTAAGTCAGTTAAAAACTCTCCTGTTTCAAGATTACATGATTACCACACCAGAACCTTTTGTATTCTATATTGTGCACCATGTTATGATTATGGTTTCAATAATAAAAGGTGCTGACTCAAGAACTTTGCAAAATATCTCTACATACAAAGAAATAGATTGTGGTTATGTACTCCAAATAGCAGGTCACATCAGTCTTCTGTAAGGAAGTAGCAGAAATTGCTATGGTGGTTTTGGTGGATGGAGAGAAACATCCACCAAAACCACTTTATTCTATGTGTTAAGAGTTATGATAATCATTATGAACGTTTGGTCGGTCAGCAATTGTGCACCATAAAAAATAATTAGCCAGAGCACTAACTGCTAATTAGTGGTATAAATCTTTTGTCTCCCTGAACATCTAACAGCTGGATGTTCCCTAATGACATCCACCAAAACTACGTAACATCTGGGCACCTTTTAAATACGTGAAATATCTGCATAAAATTGTGTAAAATGTTTTATAATACTACAATCGAACAATAAATTAATACTTACCATTTCTTGAGTAAAAAGTTTTGACGCAATTTCCCAAACAAATAATACACTTAGGTCATCGGGATAAGTCGGCATGTTGTCGTAGCTTCGTAATTTTCATTTAGTATAACAAGTCACGAGTTGTCTATCATTCCATCTCAGTCCCTCTCGACCAAGGTGATTTTGGTGGATGGAATCTAATGCTGACCAAGCCTATCAATGTTGCAATTGAATATCTCCCACTTTGGGACAAGTACCCGTGAACGGCCACTCAAAAGATACAAAGACATTTCGAGGCCAACTTAAAAAAGCTGTGACATCAACATTATCTCTTGAAGAACAGTTAGTTAATTACAACCATCACAGACAAAAGAAAAAGGAAGGAACACGCTGCCCCTCTCCCGGATGCCTATCCCTGCATTCTCTGCAGGCAAGTCTTTTCATCCAGGAGTAATCCTCGTGCATATAAGGTCTCACTCGAATACCAGCCATTGACTAACCCGCCTCCTCGTCTCTCCCTACAGTCTTTCTTTGTAGTCTCAATAGACAGGATATACCATTATTGACTCAAATTGCCCGACCAACATAAAATGTGGGCCAGATAGATAATAACAGCCGAAGACGAGAGACATTGCCGTTATGCTGGTGGTTCTTGATTGACGATGGCAATCAGACCTAAAGGATGGCTAGTACTTGTACGCATGTAAGATGTAAGATCTCGGCACGTCTCGACATGTCTCGACACGTCTCGTCACGCTTTGTTACTTCTCGTCACGCAATGTGTTCTCTCGGGGAGAGCTTCTTTGGTGACGTGATCAAACAAGCTGCAAAAATACACCATTTGCGTACTAATGAAAATATCGCTAACTTTACTGCCTACTAACTTACCTAAGGTTTGTGTATAGAAGGCATAGGTTTGCGGTCTTCCTGCGTAATCAGCAGATTTTTTTACTAACATTTCATGAACAGCTTCGCGAGAGGACGCCATAACAAACTTGTAACTGCCCATTTTCAAGGAGAATATCGGGCCATAGTTTTTAGTGAGGCTAAAAATTCAACGAAGAAGCCGTTAGGGCCGATAAGTTTTTATTTGGGTGTCAAATGGTTTTGGTTGTAATACAAGTCGACACAGGTCTGAGTCTGAGGTGGTGTAATTGTTTGCTTGGAATATCTTTTTTAAGGGAAGTAGGATGAAGCTAATTCAGAATCAACAGGTTAGCTTTGAAGCTAGGAACCTTAAATGTTCACATACTAAACAATGATTTACGCTGCGTAACATCATTGGAAATACTGATTAGTATGTATAAGATGCATTTCTCATCTTCACCTTTTTGCTTAGGTCGTTCGAGCAATTCGATTATCATGTCTCCCAGTAGCACTAAATGTGAGTCCACAAGTAAGGATTGATTCGTTCCGGACTCTGCAATGGCTTATGCCTCCCAAAAAAAAAACTAAAAGCGGTTATAAATGTTAGAATTTTCAAGTGGCCCGCGAGTATCGTTGCATTAAAATTACTCCAGTTTGGTATCATGCATTCTTCTTTATGAGAGGTCAGCCAGAACTGACTTCTACGCCTGTTACTCGTTGGACATCTGCCTGTAGATCATGTGGGCTAAAACCGATTGATTCCCGAAGCCATACAGCAAAAATAACTTACCTTTTAAAGATGTTTGACAATGTCTCGGCCGAGGGGTCAAGCGACAACAAGTTTCCAAGGACTGGGATAGTCGTGAAGCGAGGACCTGGAGGCATGTTCCTGAATTCGAACAAAACCATAAAGTAATGTAACATTAAAAGCGAAATAAATAGTAGAAAGACGTTACCAAGGCTGAGAAAATCGTATATTGCAGTCAAGGGAGACGGCGCCATTTTTGTGATGTCGAGAACTCAATGAAGCGTGGTTATGTAATCCGCATGTCCTTTTCGCCTCTTGTCACACAACTGAATCGCAGCAATTCTTATTCTCTTGCAAAGTAAAAATAAATATTGACTCTCTTAAGGTAAGGTCACTCAAGGTTACCCGAAATATCGTTGACGGCTAAAACAGTGACAGTTAAGGGCTTAACCATGAACTCGTCTGAATTTGAAGTCCAAAGTCCATCAGCTTGCCGAAAAAAATAGAAAATAAAAAAGAAAGAAAAATGGTAATGACTGACTTTCTATAATTCTTTGAAGTTATGCCCAACCCGGCGAGTTATTTTGTAATTGAAAACTCTCTCAAATCTTTGAAACTGGGAATTTAAGGGGTTCTTTCCAAATGTACAATTACCGTCGGGTTGATAATCTGAGAGGATCTGTGAATCTTTTCAAACCAATCTTATGGTTCATGACAGTCGAACTATTTAAAGCGTACTGAATGCAGTATATTAATCGCATGGATCGATTATTTGCATGTTGCATCGAATGATAGGAAATTCTGGAGACTATACAATTGGGATATGTCGTAAAAGTCAAGAATCTGTCACATGTACGTTCAAAAGGAAAGATATCCAAACGAGACGATAAAAATTGTTTCAAGTGAAACAAAATCTTGGACAGGTGTTGGTAAAAGTTTGATATTTAAATTAACTAATTAATTCCGAAATCCATGAACGAGAACATATCACTCAGTAAAATATCACAGAATGGAAGAGCACTGCGCCAAAGTCAATTATGGTGACTTTTATTGCTGATCTTAAACCTAAACCCCTAGTTTTGATCCATACTCTATTGAACAGTTTCAAATTAAAGTAATACAGCATTTAAAAGCGAGTTACAGTTCAAGCAAAATGAAACTTATTCAAAGCTGGGAATAGTGACGTAACCCAAACCAAAACTAGACTTGCACGAGAGACCAATGAACTGCCCTTAGCATCTTTGTTACCCAGTCGTTTTTTTACCACCTCGTCGTTCTGGTTAGGACTCGTAATATTCATCTTCAAACAATCGACATCGTTTTCTTTGTAGACAAAAGTCTGGCCCCACTTTCCCTCGCAAAGATCTTTGCCATTGGTGAAGTAAGCGCTGAAGTTCTTGCAAGGCTGTTTACACGTGTTGACTCCATCGGCGCTGACGTTGAAGTCTGTCAGCCAGTTTCTCCCACAGGTTAGGTCGTATCTGCAAGCATCGTACCACTCATCACAAAAACTCGCGCAGATAGGGGCTTTCTTTATTGCTGAAGGAAAATCTGGATTTTCCCAATAGATCGCATCGGGTGAGCACCGGTAGAAACATTCGATCAAAACCAAAAACGCTTCACATCTGGCGCTCAAGGTGTTGTTACAAGGCGTCCACGAGAAATTGTAGATGCTTTTTATTGGAGAAGGGACCAGTTGTCTGGTGAAGTCACTCGTGCAGCAGGAATTATTTTTGTATGCTTTACAAGCCAATAAGTTCTCTTCGGCGGACGCATATTTCTTGTGATTGTTACCGGGCAGACATCTTTGTCCTATTTCATGTCCGATTGCCGCGTTTGCGATCAAAAGGAGTGAAAAGGCATGAATCAAGAATTTCACAGAAGCGTGCATGGTTCTTCAGAGAGAGCTGAAAAACGTGTTTAAACTTATATTTCTCTGACCGTCAAACTCACAAAACCGTGAAATCGAGAATATGAATATTGATTGTCGACACACAAACACCGCTATTGAATAATAGAAGGAGTTCAAGTGTGACGCAAAAACCATGGAAACAAACGATTTGCCATTAGTCATGATTTTTCTCTGAGAATTGTTGCATCATATCTTGATACCGGCCAATTGTTTCATTCAAAATTAATAAATCGAGGTAAATTACAAATGTCAGCTTTACTGTTTGCAGGACATGCTCGATCAGACATCGTTGTTATTCTTTGAATCTCTAGCACATGCCCTTTCCCATCTTTTCCTTTTAATTATTAGCATAATTTTGATTTGGCTCTCCATTACCCTAATGAACTCTTGTTTCTGATCAGAACCGCATATTTCTTTCATTGTCCCCGATGTCGTCGACGCTGCCTGGCGACTAAAGAGTCACTGGTTAAATTTTGTCACACACACTAAGTAAATGGAAAGTGTTAGGATAACGCAAACTAGAGCAAAGCCCCGGAACTAAATAATTTGAATCTTCCCCTATCGACTCAGTACTCTTTGATTTTTGCATATCAATGCGGGTGTTAACGTGTGTGTTTATTGACTCTACACTCGTGTCCTACCAGTTTTACAAAAGGCAAGTAGACGCCCAATATCACATGTTAGTCACTTGTCAATGGATTACCACTAATAATTTATTCTTTTCTTCAAGTCACTGTGTTAATCATTGAAAATAAAACAAGATTTTCAGTAACACACAACAACCGACTTCAACTCCGTTGGCAACATGAAAAAGAAACCGTAATATTCTTTTAAATTTCATGAGTGTGGGGTTCAGACTCCCAAAGAGCTGAGGAAATGAGACATGTTGTAGAAGAGGGCTTTCTCCTACTCTTAACCTAGACTCTCTGAGCACTTAGATCGCATCGAATTTCAACGTGCACATTGAGAGCTAAATATTACTGCAAAAAATATTGAGATTTTTCAGTTTGACATCAACTTTATTCTGTTGCCTGCAGAGCAAGCGTAGTTTAAGCGAGGGATTGCTCTATAACTAAACTATAACTGCCATCTTTTACGGCTGCGAAGGGCTGAGGAGAGAGTGAAATTTATACCAAGAGGGTGAGCGACGGTCAAAAGGAGACGAAAGGGGAGGGGGTGGGGCAATAGAAATTCCTCTCGACCTCCTCACCCCTGCCACGCACCGTGTATTTTAACTCTTACTCAAACATGCCCGGCCGGATGTTAACGGTCGTTATTTACGCTTTCTCTTGTTAGTTCCGCCACAGTGCCAAATGATTAACACACATAACAGTTTATTGATAGATACAATTTACAGCTAACTAAACAATTCTTGTGTAAGTAAACTCTAATATTGAATTAACTGATAACTGAGCAAATAAGTAAATTTGCTGAAAGTTTCACCGATGCAAAAATTTCTTGGAAGTTTTAGTTGTCTAAAATCGTTCTTATTTTGACCTCGCAATTTCCATAAGCGGCTGCCCTCTGTGTTTGCGCATGAACTTTTGGATTCTTCAAAGATCTCTGAAATTAAGCCGGACATCGACACTTCATCTTTTGACTTTATTAATATTGGTGCCCGCCTCGATATCATCCTCGTCTGTACGTTGTGTTTTGGAGAGGCCCGTCAGTCTCCAGGGAATTTATTTCCCTTACGAAAAACAACTGCAACAAAAGCACCACCCTCCCTAACTTTGATAAGAAACATACCGCGCTGAACGTGACAGCTTCCCTTGACCATGTCACGCTTGTCAATATCCCATAGTGTCAACCATGTCCAGAGGCAGACGTTCGTAAGTGGACACAAAGTTTTCTGTCTACGAGCTAAAAGATCATAGACGTTACTGCTATGTATTTACTTATATCCACTCCTGGGGGCGTCTACGAAAGTGTTCCTTTACGTTTTCGATAATGGCGTTTACGCATGGTGGAAAGACGCGACGCATAAACATATATAGCTACGTTCACGAAACGAAACTTAAACGAGTGAACAAGGCCCTGGCATGCCTACCCTCTGTTACGGCCTGTTTATCAAAAGCAATAACAGACTGATTTTAAGATATTTGATTGGCGACTTTGTGTTAGACGTATATTGTCACCGAGAGAGGCAGACTGAATGCTGCTCGTTTCAGACCGTGTTACGTTTGTTGGCTCTATCTCTACACGAACGCTCTACCAAATACAGCAGAGGTGTTAATGAAGAGAGCAGAACAAATTGTCCCAAGAAATCGAAAAATCGCTCAATGAAACACATGAAACAAGAGGAGAGAGAGAACTTTATTCATCTGAATGTAACTTTAGTGGAAGTGGAAGATCAAAGTTAACTAAATAAATCTATGAAACATTTCCTACGATCACTCGGATTGAGCCGAGTTTAACATTTGTAACACAACAGCGAATAAACACGACAAAAGAGCTGAAATGTATCAAAAGAGATTACGTAACGTCGTCTCAAGCCTCTTGGGTGGCTGCCTGTCCCATCGAGAAACAGGCCTACAATGACCTGGTCACCGACCAAAAAAACTTCTTTTCCGGCTTCGGGCTGAAGCTGCTTCCGCTCTGCAGCTACTTCCGCTCTGCTTGATATATTAGAGACATATGATTGTCTTATGAATGCTTTTAAGAGAAATGTTTTGTTCCGCTCTTGAAAAGGTTATCCACCTAACTAAATAACAAAACATATTTTGTTTCAAATTTTATTCAACAAATAGAATTCTACATGAAACATTTGGGCTAACAGAAATGAAGATTACGGTTGCGTAACCTCGAAAAATTTTAGATTTGTCCCGGGTTAGACAAAAATCTGACTTTCATCAAACTCTTCAAGCTACCTAAAAATTATGTCGACTTCTACAAATCACAACAGAGAATACGGTCGAGCAAACAATTTTAATGAAAAAGCGCACCGAATGGGAAAGGGCATGAAACGGTGTTGAAGCTTACATCATGTGACCATAAAAAATTCCCTCTATCCTTTCGCATTGCTAATGTACTTATCCGCCTTTTAATGACCTGTCTTCTCTTCTCTCCAAATATTTTTCAGTCCAAAGTGTTGCCCTAAGAAACAATCCTAATCCGTCAATCTCAGAAGAACCTTTAAACTTCAGATCTAAACTGACATACAGTTTTGTTCAGTCAAAACGCACACAAACGCGAACAAACTACTTTTTAAAATCACAACTGAAAAATGCCGTGCAAAGGTCAGCAATACCTAATTTCTCTGATTTAACCTCCCTTTTGTCTAAAATCTGAGAAAGCTAGGAACCTAAGACTCCAAGCGAAATGCTATACAACTGAGGCAATGTCAAAATGATTTTTCAACTAGTGAACGAGGCAAGCATAATCCCGAGCCTATCTACACAAATTCTATAAATTGGGACTCATCGACTTCAGGCGAAGTGTTACGCAACCAAGGCATTTTCAAAGTCATTTCTCAGTTAGTAAATGAAGGCAATAGTGAACATCAAAGGAATCCAAAGAGCTGCCAAACTAACAGTGAAAAACAGTGCACCACTCTTTTCAGACAGCCTTTTCACTAGGTCGTCATTCGGGTTTGGGTCCGTGAAATTCATCTGCAGGCAATCGGTTTCCTTGTAGACAAAGCTGGTTCCCCACATGCTCTCGCAAAGGTCCTTACCGTTGGTGAAGTAATCGCTAAAGTTCTTGCACGGCTTTTTACAAGTGTTCACTCCAGTCTCAGTCTTGTTAAAGTCTGTGATCCAATTTTTAGCACAGGTTAGGTCGTCTTTGCAAGCGTCGAACCAGCCATTGCAAAAACTTGCGCACACAGGGGCCTTCATGATTGCAGACGGATAATCGGGATTCTTCCAGAAGTACGTGTTGTGTGAGCAACGGTAAAAACATTCCACCATCACCATGAAAGCTTCACATTTGGGGCTCAAGGTGTTGTTGCACGGTGTCCACGAAAACTTTCCGACTTTCTTGACCGGAGAGGTAGCAAGCTGTTTGGTGAAATCACTGGTGCAGCATGATGCATCTTTGTAAGATTTACAAGCCGCCATGCTTTCTTCTGCAGATGGGGATTCCTTGTGTTTATCACCAGGTAGACATTTTCCATGTCCTTTATGAGCCGCATTGGCGATCATGAAAAGAGAAATAGCCACAACCAAAACAGTTACAGTATTCATGGTTTCCTTGATCTTCGAAACGAATCGACTTCTGTCTCACTTCAAAATAAATTCAGCTTTATAAACCTTGTGTCATATGAATGATTACGTAACAATATCTGCCAACACGCATGCGAGCTGTCAGAATGTCTGTCGAACACAATCAAGTGACCCCTCACCTAGGACCAGAGTCGAAACGGGAGACAATTTTATTTGACGTTTTTATTTTAGTGTTTTCTGTTTCTGATGAAATAGATGTTGGTAAAACTTGCCAGCTTTAGAGTTAAAAAGGCGGATTGTATCATTTTTGTGCTCTTGGAAAAAATGGATCCCATCCAAGGTGAGCTGAAGCAGCAAACCGACCTCTACTGAGACTGTAGCAAACCTCGTCGTCGGCGACGCCAACGGGGACATGTCGAGACAAAAGATTAAATTTAGAACATTAGCTCTGCGCGTATGAAAATCTTTTACCCATTCTCGCCGTCTTTTGCAAAACAAGAACGTCATAGTACCAGATTCAGCCTATTCTGAGAACGGGAATGCCAAAAGAAAATTGTTAACTATCCTCTAGAACAGGTAATTCCTTCGCTTTTTTTTATCTCAAGTTTGGATCGGGCGCTAAACGACAACGGAGATAAATATATTGCATTACTTGAAACATTCTCAACGACTAGTGGCTGCACACGTGCGTTTTAAACTTTGAACATTTCTGAGCCCTCCTCTGCAAAACATCAAAGTGCAGTTTGACCTTGTTGGTTTTTTTTTTTTGTTTTTTTTGTTTTGGTCCAGAAAGTGAAAAACAATCGACATTAAGTTGCTCAACATGCAGCAACAAGTCTGTCTTCTCAAATTCATCTGAGGAAAGCTGCCCGCCCATAGCAAAACTTAAATACAAGTAAAAGCTTATTTTATTTTTGCTAAGGTTTTCTAGTGTCGGAAATAGGGTGGTTTTTGGCAAACTGGAAAAAAAACGCTTCTATGATAGGAAATCTCTTGATTTCATGTTAATTTAACGGTAATTGTCTCCTGGGTATATACAATGACGGAAGGCAGACAAAGATGACAGGACTTTTCCTGTCTTCAATTTATAACAAGCATTAGTGATAAAGGTCTTCACGTTAACATTAAAGCGCTACGACTCAGCGCAACGCGTAAACATCTCCCGCAAAGCCGATAAAAATGTAGTTACTACAAAAGAAGGAAAAGAAACTGGACGACGAAACAACTTTTCGCTTTATATTTCCTTCTGGCAACTTACAGTGTTCGTCCTGTGGCGATCCCAGAAATCTTGGCGTAAACAAAAGGATCCAATTACTGGGAACTCATCAATTTACCATTTGTTCACAAAACATGATCACATCACATCTAAGAAAGCCGAAGACATCGCAGACATGTTGATTTAATAACTGTTTTGTTCCATGACACGCCAGGTGCCACCATGACGTTCGATTTGAGCAGGCCCTTATTATTGGCTCTTCAGTAAGAGTGTTTCTTCGCCCGCGAACATGTTAAACCCTTCAACTCCCAACATTTCCTCAATTCTCCTTACTATCTGCCATACAGTTCTTGTCATGTTAGTTTGGAGAATTTGGGATTGGATCAACTTATAATCCCCTAACTGATATTTTTCTTAATTCTCATCACTTGTTTGCTTGATATTGTATTGATGTTGTAAGGAGAAATTCTATCTTGATCACTCATGGGAGGCAAAGGGTTAAGGCCTTGAGTAACGCGACCCGTTGAGAGGGTGAGGGTGAGGAGTGCGGCAAACAGCGAAGTTTTTTTCTTTACTATTAGGAAAAGTTTTGATAAAGCATCTATAGAGTATTGCAATTACATTTTATTTATTTATTATTATTCTATCTTCAGCTCTGGCGAAGAAAGAAATAACCCATAAAGTTGGAAACCGCAAAATTTTAAGCAAAAGACTAATTTTTAACAGATCAGCAACTTGTCAGAAATCAGAAATTCGACTCCTCTTCCTCCTCCCCTCCCCTCGCTCTGGAGAAAAAAACTGGGTCAAATTTCCTTGCTTATTTGGGTTATGTCGCAAACATCAGGCCAAAATACTGTGAAAGAAGGTGGAAATATGACGGATATTCCTTGAAATAACAACCACAGAGAAATGCGAGTAAACGCATTCTTGGTTTTGAGAACAGGTACCAAAAAGTCACCCTCCACTCATAAGTTATTCATTGGTTGTGAACCGTCAGTTGAAAGGCTCACTATTCGCCAACATCTGGCGATCATTACGGGAAAAAAAGCAGGATAAGCTCAAAAAGAAGGGAATATTGAAAAGAAGACGAAATTATATTCTAGTTTAGAACAGAGGAGCGACGATTCAACGAAGGGATCATAGAATTAGATTGGAAATGAATTGTATTTGGTGGAAAGAACACTAACTTTGAAAGGTAAGTTATGGATTCGATTTTACAACTTTACAAACTTGGGAAGGAAAAGGCAAATTATTTTAGACAGGTTGAATTCCTATTTTGCTGATAATTTTGGAAAGGGGAGAAGAGTGTGATGCTTAAGCTTCGACCTATCTAAGAAATGGGAAGATTGATCAAATACAAAGTTTGGTGGTCAATACAAAACATGGTAGGGCACTTGGAAAAGAAATCCTTTTCGGTGTCTTGATTTTGAAATCGTTTGAGGCTGGAAGTTTGAAAGCGAAAAGAGTACTGATTTGGCTATGAAATACTTATTAGCAAAAAAGAATTCAAGCCGGAATCTACGAAAGTTCAAATTTGTCAGTATTTTTAAATTTAGAAATCAGCTACAGGTCTTTTCATCCAATGATCTCCATTTTGCTGGTACTGCAGACTGACGCTAAATAAACATCTGGTGATTTCTGTTTTTTTTTTCCTACAATCTTTTTTATTTGCGACAAGTGATTTCCACCAAGATTTCTTACCAACTTCGCGAGTATGTCCAGAGTAGCCTTCTAATGAAGGATTAAAAATCAATATTTGATACGATACAAAATAAACGTTGCATTGTTTTATTTTGGAACGTAAATCACGTTTTGGTGAGTTAGTCTCGTTTGGAGTAAGTTACTGCAGTCGTCAGCAACGACATATACCAAAACCATTGCTTTATAGCGCTTAAAAGGGCTAAAATCTAAAGAAAGAGAAAAACAAATTTCCGATGAGAATTTTTTCATCACACCCTTAAACAGAAGAGAGACTGGTCCCTTTCAAGAAATCGCAGTTATTCCACGAATTTAATCGATGGCTGTCTTAGTTAAGAAGACTCAAAATCCAAGCCCCAAAGATCTCTTTAAGTGCCAAGGAAAACAAGTTTCCCGTGATCTGTAACAACATTGTTTCTTTACATGCATATCGCGTAAAATCGATTTGTGGTTTAACTCCTTTGAACCAGACACACAAGGTATAAAACTAACCGGTTTCCCATACGTTTTCCATGTGCTCCACGTTTGCACTGATCTGGAATCGAATAATTTTTAAACGTCGAACATCCTAAAAATGCTTTAGTGAAATCTTTTTCAACGGTATAGACATCAGTTACGCAGTATAAAAACAGAGTTTAAAAAAAATTGCCAATATATAGCTATTTACACACGCCTTTGTTTACCTTTGGGAAGCGCAGCGACTCTGAAGTTCGAGTCCAGGCCTTGTCATCGCATTACGTTCTCGGGAGAGACAATTTACTCTCAAAGTGTCTCCGTCTCCCATCAGAAGTAAATATATAAATGCCGGTGAAGTTCCATGGAAGCCAGACGAAATGTTCGGGGTTACTCAACTAGCATATTACACTGAACAATTAAGGAGCTGTTTTACCCATAGCTGCTTCACGCTAACATAAACTTAGATAAGCTTCGGCAACTACGTTGGTCAATCTTATACACTGTTGTCTATTTGGAAATTTTGAAAAGAAAACAGTAATAAAATAATCTTCCACAACAGCGAAAAAAAAACCAATAAATAAATCAATAAAAAATTTAAGAATCTTAAAAGAATACTTCACACCTCTAACTCAACAATTTGTGATATGTCTGCCTCAGGAAACCCGAGTTGGCAAATACGAAGGACTTCGATCATGAAGATTACCATAGCCTTGATATTGCTAATTACGGCCAACTTCATACGAGGTAAGTTTCGTAAAGAGCGAGTAAAACGCTGAAAAAATCCGTGCGAAATGGTAAACGTCGCGTTTAGTCACTTACCCAGACCTTCCAGTTACATTTACGAGATGTTTAATTAATACCCAAACCTCCCTCGTTTTTTCACTACTCCGCTACCGTCCAGACGTTTACTATCGCGTTTCCTTTAGCTTACTGAACATTTGTGTCCAGGCGATACCGTTTTTAATTTCATGCTTAACATATGCAACTGGAGACTGAGAATAACATCAATGATCCGCGAAAAAGCAGCAAAGTTTGATGTGAGGAACAAAATGTATAGAAGCAAATTGAAGAGTCTATGTTTTCATCGGGGAAAAGAATCTTGAATGCCAATCTTATCAGGCCTCAAATGAATCAGTTTATTTTTAGATAAACAGTTTTCTGCGCCTCTAGATAAAAACCTAACCACTTTCTCTCCGTGTTATAATCAATCCAAGGTCTTCCGGTTGATCGGGAACTTTTACGAGTCAAAAGAAAAGGAGAGGGAGAGATTGACAACAACGAAGAGACTTTCCACAGAGTGCGAAGATCACAAGACGACTTAGAAAGTGAAATTCGACGTAAAAGACGATTCTTTGCCCCGAACACACCTGTACAAGAGACCGAGGACAGTTATAAAACAAAAATGGAAGCTAGATCGTCTCGTTCATCCCGCGAGGATAGGGACATCACGGCAAAACGACCCGAGAGATTTCGTCTCCGAATTAGAAAAAGAAGCCAAGACGGAAGTTCCATACTCCGCGGCGATACTCCCGGCTCCGGTTCTCTGCCAGGATCGGGTTCTTCCGGGGCAGGGTTGTGGATGGGACCACTGTTAGAGAAAAAGCGGAACGATAAACGAAGCGCTGGTTCAAACTCGCTGGATAATCTTATAGCTACGTTACGAGCGATCAGTTCTCTAAGTCCTGATGAAGATGACAATTCAGCGGAAGAAGTCAGATCCTCTGGTTCAGGTCTGTGGCTTGCGCCTGAAAGTACAGTTGATAATAAACTGCCACAGTTTTTTCAGGAGGAGGCAGACTCTGGTAGCGGTGAAAACCCGGAGAAAGCTTTAAGGCTGCTGAGTGAAACAGCCCAGAGAGAGTTAAAGCAAAAAGCAAATGAAGTTGGCAGTGGTGCGGAGCAGAGAGTACAAAATGATGACAAAAAGGAAACCGAGCAGCAGACTGGCGAGAGACTTTTTAGACGAGAAATAGAGAGCGACGCGCCTGCAGATGATTTAATTGCTGCTAATGAGAATCAGGATAAAAGAGGCGACTCTGAACAGGAAGACAATCCAGCCTCATCTTCAGGATCCGCTGATGATTGGCAAGAAATCGAAGATAAGATTTCAGAACAACCAGATGAAAAAGTTACGCGGTCGCTAACAGAAGCCTTACTTCCAGACGCGTATTACCGCACAAAGAGGTCATCTCAAGAAAATGCGTTTCTGGTTTCAGACCACAGTCTCGGTGAAAATGACGCCCTTATTGGCGATAGCCTCGTGGCGCGGTTTTACCGCGATCAAGACGCAGTTTCCGATGACGTCACAGAAACGTCGGTGACATCCCTTCCTAGCGAGACCCAGTCCCTTTCAAGTCCCGAAACCCAAGAAAAACCTGTTAAACGAGAACTGGAAAATCATAACTTTAGAGACTTCTCAGAGCCAAGGGTTGTGTACACAAGGCAGATTAGAGAAGCTCGAGAACCTATCATAGAAAGACCTGCCGTTTACTCACAAATCGAAGACGAGAGTGAGATGGATTCCAGCTTCGGAGGCGAGGACGATGACGACGACGAACCAACTTTAACGATTCATGAAAGAGAGATTAGAGAAGACGGTAGGATCAACAGTCTTCCTTCAAGTTTTACCTCAAAAAGTACATTAAGTTCAAAGTAAATCATATCAGTTGGTCACAGTATGGTAATCTGGTCGAGATAGTATATTTTGTCAGCCAATCTTCTTTCAGTATAACGGCAACATCTACAAATTAGAGAGCTTCTCGATCTCAAAGATATAGAAATGGTTTTGCAGTTTTCTAATTTTAGTGGAGATGGAAATTGAAGTGAGTTATTGATAGCACAGTTTCACTATTTAAGCAACATGCAATCTGATGTTTGTTTACAGTAAGCTGGGCTGTTAATTTTTAAGAACAAAACGTTATTTTCTGCCCGTCGCATGAGGCGATTTCAGTTTTTTATTTTCCTCATTCGTTCCATAGAATTCGTTTAATCAGCATGAATCTGTAGACTCAAGGATTTCAGTTTCAAAATTTTTAACAGCTAACAGAAAATGTAACCATTTCCAATTGCTAGGATATGTCGGCTGTTACGAGGACAAGGCTCCCGACCGAGATCTTCCCTCCATAGTCTCAGTTCCCAAACTGACTCCAGACTCATGTCGTAGTGCATGCCGGACAGCAGGTCACGCTTATGCTGGAGTGCAGTATGGGTATTTGTGCAGGTGTGGCGATTCGTACGGGAAGTACACAAAGGTTTCAGACGAAGAATGTAATACTCACTGTACTGGAGATCATGCTCAGAAATGTGGAGGATTCTGGAGAAGTGCAATATTCACGACTGGTAAGTTGGAGCTCTCTGATCTCTAAACGACACTTGTAAAAGTTTGTCCTCAAGGACTGCCAGTGAAGGAAACAGTCTCGAATCATTTATCATACAATTCGTGCAGACATTTATTTCGTGCGATGACTTAGAGGCAACCGACAGGAGGGAAAAGTTCTCTCAAAGCAATAAGCAAAATTATTCCTATCATATCCACAGAGGTAAAGGCCTAGCTTTGACTAGCATAAGCGTACTTATGTCTATGACCAGATTTGTAGCATTGTTTAATTTTTCATTTCTATTGCGAAAAATCAGTAATTGAGATTTTATGACGTTGTAATTCTCTTTTCCTTCCACAGCTGGAGCAATGGAACCCACAAAGCGTGGAAACTTCTTTCACATTGAAAGTGTTCGGCCTATGACAGAAGAAGGTACATACTTTTCAGTGTCACAGTATTCCACATACGCAATAGCTCGGTTGGGATGTACAGCGCTTTTCGAATGAGTGTCGCAAAACCAAAACCAAAGTAATTACAACAGTCAATGTCAAAGAAGAGAAGAAAATATCCTGAACAATCAACGAAAGCCCAAAGTAAAAAACAAACAAACCTTCTAAAGTGCGGGAAAACACGGGCGACTAAGTGGTGATTGATTTTAACCCTTTACACCCTAACATGAGTTTGCATATTCTCCATACTGTTCATTATACATTTCTCAAGGTTCAAACAAGGAGAATTTGTTTAACGATCAAAAGCTTCTTTAGTTGGTGATCATTTCCTTTATTCTTGTAACCTCTATGTATGATTCAGGGAGATATTGCAAGGAGAAATTAGATGCTAGTCACTCTTAAGGGTGAAAGGGTTAACGGCGTAATTTGGTTTTGTCGAATTAGTTGATAACGTAAATTGGCCTCCGTGAAGAGTTTCAAAGCAGACGTTTCGAGCGTTAGCCTTTCGTCAAAGCGAGTGATTGGTTTTAGTTTTGCATCCGATTGGTTGAGAGATTTGCGTGATTTTTCCGGACCAATCACAGAGCGAAGAAAAGCAAATCCAATGCAATTCCGGATTTCTTTCCATGCTTAACTGAAAACGGTTCTGATGATAATTCTTCTTTGTTTAGATCTTTTTGACATTCCTCGCAGCGACATCGCTTCTGGTGGTGAAGCAGAGGCAGAGGAACATCAGCAACCAATAATCACAGAAACCTTTCACTTGACAGCTTCAGAATCCCCTGCGACTGAAGTAACGGCAGCTGAAGTGGTAACTACCCCACTTGAGTCGTCTGGTAATTATGTGCAGGAGATACACAGAGAACCATCTCTCCAAGAATCCCCTGTGCAATCACTTCCCATAGAGACAGCCCAGGAAGACAATTCTTTAAACACGCATGCGTCAGGCGAAGAGCACCCACATGAGAAAGCAGACTCTACGCATGCTACAGTATCTGCTTCTACAGTTGAGCCCGATTCTGCGCATGCTGCAGATATCTCACCTGCGATCGCAATTTCTGAAGCTCCTCCTCAAGCTTTGACCCAATCTGAACCCAAACCATCCTCCGGTTCACCTGCAATAGCTACTCAACCGGTACCGAGTGTGGTTCATCCTCAACACAATGAAACGCCACAGGGTACCCACGGGAGTCGACTGATTTACTTGCATCAGCAACAGGATATTTTGTCAAAACCAACTCCAAAAACTATCGTGGCAGTGGCTCCGGGAAAGCTCAAGGAAGGAAGTAAGTTGCTGAAATTTTCATACCATCATATATTCCTCTGGTTTAGATAATTATAGTGAACTCTTGCCGAGAAGAGTTGTGTTTTACCCTAGGCCATGTCTTAACTTGAAAATCAAAATTTTTTTTATTCAAATACTTTATATTTTAGCTGTCGTCTACACGGGAACAATCAAGCTGAAACAAAGCTGGCTGGACCAGTTTGAAGATTCCAACAGCGCAGAGTCAAAAATATTAACAGGAAATATCGAGCAAGCGGTATGTGGTTAAGAAATCATAGCAAAACATTTAAATCGCAAAAATGCCTAACAAACTGGTGCAACGAGTATCTGTTAAAAAGTACACGAAAAACTGTCTATTTTTATTTCATTCTGATAATTGTGTAAACTTTTCATCCTTTGTAAACCAATAGAGTATGTTTTTTTGTACGTTTAACTGAAAAAATTTACTAAACAACAAATTTTGTTTGACAGTTCAAGCGTGTGTTCAAGAATGATCCAAAATTTGTCAAGGCCGAGGTTGTAGGATTTAGGTAAGGACTTTTCCAGGAATCACCGAATATTATGTACGATTCGCATTTTTCCAACGTTGCCCTATTAGTTTAATAGTTAAAGATTCGCAATTACTTTAACAAGAATTCCTTCATGGGTGTTCCCTTGTCAATTTAGAAGAAAATCCCAACCTTTACCTTAGCAAATTCCCCCAAAACCTGATGTGCTGTTTGTAGGTTTGTGGGTATATATGTGAACTTAATTGACCACTTCATGGGCTTTTCAGGGCCAATACGAATAAATCAATAAATGGGTGACTAAAAAAAAAAATAGTGTTTTAAAATATAAAGCACAGTCAAGGCGTTGAACTCGGGGAAACCGGGAAAAATCCCAATGAGTTGCAGGGTGGAGAGCTTGAACCCAGGACCATATGAATACAAGCCTAACATCAAAACCACTAAGCCACACGGCCTGGTTAATGAATAAGGAGACCTTTTCGGGCAAAAGTCTTCGAAGACCAAATTGTTTTTGTTGATGCAGATGACTTAACAAGAACTATATAGTGCGTAAATAAATTCTGCGGCAACAAGAAGCACTTTGTACAATTTTCATGATTTGCTTCAATAACGAAATCTCCAGAATAACTCAGTCTTAAAATTCTATGTTTCTCAAGGGAAGGCCTCGTGAAACACAACCCGAACACCATACGTAAGGTGATTGCACCGTTCATTTTGACGTTCAAGAACGGCATCCAAGGCATCGAGGAGAAACTAAAGAACATGGTACAGAATGTGGGGAAACTTGATGATATGCCTGTGTATAAACATTCACTCCAATTGTCAGGTGAGGTGAAGATTTAGGAATAGATAGCGATACGAGAAAGGAAAGTTCACTTAGACACAGACTTAGAATAACTGTGAAGTCGGCCGAGTGGGTGCAGAACCCAAAAAGGCTAATTAACACGCAGTTTGCTCCCAGTCAGGAGACTGCCGACGAGCTAGGCTACGAAGATACGATCACGTGGCTAAAGTATTTTTAGACCTTAGTGATAAAAGATTGTTTCTGGCTACGCCATGACACTTACTGCTCGTTGCAGACTTTATCTCACACGTCTACTGAACGATTACATTATGGCTTATTGCACCATATTTAACTAATCTCGTGGAAGGAGATCGGTGAAAAAAAATTCAAGTTTCAAACATAAATGTTTAAATTGCTGTATTTTTATTATGTCCTTTCTTCCTTATTTATTAATCTAAAGTATTAACTCATTTGCGTGTTGATTATTTTACAGAATATAGTCATTCACCAGCTGTAGGAAAAGCACCGGAAACAATGGACGAGGCAAGCAAAGTGGACCTCGTTGAGGAGGATAAGAAGCGGAGTACTGTCAATATTCCAAGTAAGAAATCACTTAACAGAAATTCCTATGGCGCTTTTCAATTGAGTGTCGTAAAACCAAAATCAAAAGTTATAACAACGGCCAATCAGAAGAAGGAACATACCATTAAGACGTAATGAGAATTCAGAGTAAAACCGACCAATCTGCCTAAAGCGCGGGAAAACGCGGGCGACCAAGTCGTGATTGGTTTGAGTATTGCATCTGATTGGTTGAGAGAATGGCATGAGTTTTCTGGACCAATCAGAGCGCGAAGTAAAGCAAAAACAAAGCAATCCCAGATCACTTTGGACACTCAATTGAAAATTTTTCTACATAACGGAATAAATTTAATTCGAAGCCAACGCGAAAACAGTACAGCTAACTGTTCTTAACTAATTTCGGGTATTCGTTTCAAGAAAAAAATACTAGGTCTTCACTTGCCACAGTCGTTTGCAAAAAAATCGCTCCCTCAGTCTGCAGCTTTGCTAGGGGACAATTAACACTTCCCAAAACATTGCCAACAAGGAAAAAAATTCACGAAATAAATTAAACTGACAGAATAAATGACCTCAAGGGAGCTATCTACAACACTCCACCCGAGGGAAGAGCTTTACATGTAGTCGAAACCCGCCGTCTGAAACAGAATGCAGAAAGACGTTTCTGAACAACCACATGGAATTAGACTTAATTCACCTCGTCCTTCTTTTTCAGACGGTGGAGTTGATCCTTTCCTTAAAGGAATATTTAGACAGATTTCGGCGTGAGCTCTAGTTTAGGTTTCACTCTTTCAGGTAAGATCTGTCATCCACGTCGTGAAAAAAAAAAAAAATAATAAAGTGTATGCTGTAACGGTACTTGACACAACCAAAATAAATTGATATATCAAAACATACGAATAAACAGACAAAATGCAAATAGTTCGTCTGTGAAACTTTCAAGTTTGTCAGTTTTCGCAACGGAAATATCATGATTACTATAAAACTGACATGCTTCTCTTTATTGATCCTAGAGAAACCATACACCTTACAGCTTTTTCTAATGAAAGACTTTTTCGGAAAGAAGAAAAGAAACTCACAATCATTTAGGGAATAAAGAGACAAGCCGAGTGAATTGAAAAAGATCTACAGTCGCCGCAGTTAATAATAGGTTCAGATTGTAAACGCCGGTCGCACCAATATAGCGTTATCGGCAGTACAACACATCCAATATATCTGAGCTAAATACTTTTAACCAATGGACAACTTTTCAAAATGGCATAATTTGTTTAGTCAACACAAAGCGCACCAAAGAAATAATCTTTAGGTTTTATTATTTGTAGAAAAGATCACGAGATATCAGATTTCAACGTTTAGTTTCCGGAGTTTTGAAGATCGCGGATATACTCCACGCATTCAGTTAATAAATCGGAGCGAAATAGTAAACAGTGCGATAGGAGCGGAAACGAAGGAGGCTTGGATCGAGTCGCGTTCACTTCGTGGCCCGACCCAAACCCGCTCTTCGTGTAGTAAAATTTAATTATCTGACAGGAAGTATCTAAGAAAAGTGCTGCAAGTATAAAGTGCACTATGAGAAAAAGTTGTATGCTCTTTTTGTTTCAAAAATTAATCATCAATTGTAATGGGGCTAAATCACGAAAGCCTAAAGAAATTTGTCTTTTTACTTTCATGAATGATATTTGATTTTCTATTAATCAAGTAAACGTAAATAAAATTTATTTTTCCCAGTAAAAGTCATTTTGTCTCCTTTCCTCATGTAACTGGAACTCCAAAATAGCCACAACAATGGTACTAAGCTCTTTCGTCCGCGATCAACATTTTTGCGAGCCTGCGAGCAAGCCCTCATTATTTCGGCTTGAGGACGAGCTTTTGTGCGCCTGCGTTGGAGGCCCTAAGCAACGAACGCCGGCGAGGTGCCAGCGTAGGGTCTAGCGCTGATCATTAGTGCCAAACCCCCACCACACCCTTTCCTACTCGTCTCAAATCTTCCCGCGGATGAAGAAACGCGAGTCCTGCGGCGCAAATAATATTGAGGGCCTGCTCCTCTATTTCCAAACGCCGCCCCAAAGCCACTGGAATTATATTACGCCTGCTATTTACATGTCATTCCTCCAGCAGAAAAATCTTAAGAACAGAAACTCGACAAAAACGATATCTAGTATCTTGAGTTTTGAACATCCTGTACAAAACGTATAGTTTATACACTCAGGAATATCAAGAATCAAGTACATCTACGTATAATGCAAAATGCGCTCAAATAATGAAAAACAACCAAAGTAACACAGGAATTGGTTTAAACTACACCACAGACATGACAAAGGAAGTGGTAAGAGTAACCACGCGCTCTAATTTAACTATAAGCGTCATAAAGGGGATTAACAGCGTAAGTTTCAACAGAAATAAGTTACATAGTTAAGAATGTCTCCAATAGTTACCAGTTATGATAACGTGATATCTAAAGAAATCATTTCAACGAAAGAGTAACAACTTACTAAAACTGGATCTGGCGTTAAACAATCGGCCAATTCTATGACCCTGGCTTTCGCCTTACGAATTTAATAAGAATATCTTTTGAATTCACCATTATGTCCTTGGGTCTGTCAGAAAACACAAGCACATGTGATCTTTTCCCAGCAGTAGGAGAATGTTGCCATCAGGATGAAACTGTAAGGATGTGATCTGGAAAGTGGCTGAAATGAAGCCAGAAGGAAACACATGAAATCAGGACTATGAAATCGCACTGGGAATTGGGTGTACAGACTGATTTAGCAACGACTCTCTTGTGGTATACATACCTTTCTGGAGAAACCTTTCAAAGACCAATACCAGATAAACAAAAGTAATAATGTAAACTTCGTTTCCGCATAACGAGTAAGCTGAACACAAACATACCATAGTTTACGTATGTTAAACTTTACGAGCTACACAAACTTAATTGATCGTACAAGTGTCCTTCTAACAAAAATTAAAATTCAGTGAAATTTTTTTCCAAGTTTTCCATTTCCAATCTTTTTAAACAGTTTCTTTCTTTAAATGTCCTAATTTCTTTTTGGTTTATTCTTGTTCTATCCCAGTCAATTGGTAGCAATTTTCAACGTCCAAACACACCATTCAACACGAGGCAATTTTCAATTGAGAGCCGAAAGTAATTCAGGATTGCATTGGTTTTGCTTTTTCGCGCTATGATTGATCCAGAAAACTCGTGCCACGTTCTCAACCAATCAGATGCCACTGAAACCACTCACGACTTAGTCGCGCGCGTTTTCCCGCGCTTTAAGTAATTTGGTTGTTTTCACCGTAAGTTCTCATTCGCCGTTGAAAGTCTTTCCGTTCTTCAAGTTGGCAGTTGTGATAGCTTTTGTTTCGGTTTCACGAAAAGCGCTTAATCATGGTCATAACAAAACTAGTAACCAAATGAGGAACAACAAACCTTCTGTAGGTACGACTACCGACACGCAGCCTGCAGGCGACCACATGTACAGCTTGTTATTTCCGGTACAGACGGCTAGCCGGGGTTGTTTTGGATCCCACTGGAAAGCTAAGACAAAAGAAGAAAAAATGAAATAATAATGGAATAATAAATCTCTTATTCGATTGCTTGAACATATATACTCGTGGCTATTTTGTAAGCTGCTTGTGTGTTTACTCTTCCCTACGGAGCTCAGAAAAATACGAAGCAGCTCGCACAATATCCGCGCGTATTACTAGTCAAACCATTAACTAAGGTGTATCAACTGACCTCTCACGGAACTGGTCTGCAGTAGCAATGCTGTAAGACATAACTTGGACACATCCCATAACCAAAGAGCATTAGGCATGTTGTCTATGTACAATAAAAAAGAAAGAAAGACCTGTTAGTTAGAGCAAATGCGGTTTGAAAGCAATCTTTAATTGGAAAAGTCGTAAGCAATCCAGGATTGCTTTGATTTGCGTTGTGATTTCTTCAGAAAACTGGCGGCTTGGTCACTAACGTTTTCCCGCGCTTCAGGCTGCTTGTTTTTAATTCAAGTTCACATTGGCTCCTGCTGATATTTTCCTGGCTCTGATTGGCTGTTGTGATTGCTTTGGTCACTTGCGTTTTTCCGCGCTATGAGCAGTTTCTTGTTTTTTTCTATTCGCACGGACAGGTACTGGTAAAAATTATACGTTATTTACCAAAGAAGTAAAACCTTAGTGACTGCCACTAACCATTCTTAGTTGCTAAATATCTGTTGTCTTGACTAAAGGCCACATGTCCAACACCAAGTTTGGGGTTTGCCTTTTCTGGGTCAGGTTTAAGCGTCGGAACCTGGACTGGGCCTGGCTGAACCTCATCTGCAAAGAAATGATTAAGAAATAGATTCCATGTTTCCGTGCGTCTATTTAGAGATACAGAGGCTTGACTTGAGCATTCACATAAGGGAAGAGAATTACTCACGCGATAAAATACAATCCACTTTAACTAATTAACTGAATAGCAGATTATTAGGGCGAATTATACCTGAATGATCAACTGCGTATTTTTCCCGTCGCAAGTCCGGCGAAGTACAGATTCCCACAGCGATCGCATTGGTGTGAAAGAGCACGCGCATATGCGTAAAGTGGACGACAAAAACATAAAACACTGCACGCGCGTAACTACACCCAGCGGAAGCGCGTGGGGTTGCTGCAGTACACGCATGCATGCAGTATTGTAGATCAAAGATGGCGTCAAAATGTGGTAGAAACAACAGCGTGGCTCACAAGGCGCAACCGAGTATGTCACTGGCATTCTAAACACATTGTGACGTCTCGGTGATCCTTGTAACAGCAATCGCACTGTAAAAATATTAATAACTCACATTTACTCTGCACCGTAAACCCGCCAGGCGGCATGATCTCTCCTTTTAGCAAAGGTGGCTTCAGCTCCACTTCTCTGTAAACAATCTAAGAAATTCAGGAAACAAATTAATATAAACTTTTTATAAGATGACCAATCAGAGCTCCAAGTTTTTTAAAAGTTACCATCCTACAACCTAAAATCATGAGATGATCAGTCCAGGATAAAATTTTGATCGCCACGAAAAGAAAAAAAAAAAAAAAAAAGATACGCTCTATATTACATAACGCTGTCAAAACCACTTATTTTTTGAGTGAGCAGCGTAGTTGGCATCCATTCTGGATATTCACTCAACTTCCCAAGGCTTAACACTCCAGCAACCAAGGAAGTAGAGACATTTTTCGAAGAATAAAACGAGTTTGCGCAATGCATTCCCGGGTGCCCTCCTGCTCAAGGAAAAACTCCATTCTTTATAGTTCATGCTCTTTAAGCGAACACTTAATTTGACGTCATGGAAAGATTAAGGCAACTCTAGAGGAATTGTGCATGTAGTCCTTATCTAGTTCATCGTAACAAGAAGCTTTATTACCACTGACGGAGAATCCACCGTGTGACTATGGTTGTGTTCTGCGACAATTTTCCACGTGACGTGGTTCAGCACGCGACACTGCAACAGAGCAGCAAAGTTTTTTTTAAAGGCTTTTATAACTGCTGTGTGGAGTAACCGTGTTGTCCTTAAAAAAGTGATTCAATTACGTTACATCACAATTCTTCAATTTTACAGTGATGTACCTTTACAAATACGTAACAGGCTGGAAATCGATAGATTTTCATCATATTGCACGCGTGTCACTTATGTAGTGGGTTGCCTACATTCACAGTTCTACTTTTACCAAAGTTGAAGCAGAAAACCAAGGCCCATTTAAGCAATGCACAGCGTATTACTGCAAACCTACCTTTCCCATAGGCAATAGTTGAAGTACAAAATTTGGCAACATTTTTCATGTAACATAAAAACAGCATATAGCTTTATATAAGAGTATTAAAGCTTTTAACGGGCGATGCTTGCAACTTATTTTATGGAACAGATAAAGGTTGTTTACATGCCGTAACTTTAGCTTAAAGAACGAGTACCGTAACTGGATTGCTGACGTCAAGGACAGCTGACCAGAAGTAAATTTCATTTTGCACATGTCTGTTTCATGAGTAGTGTTAAGTGAAAGTGTGTTACGCCACAAGACATTGATGTGTGCCTAGCTTTGTTATGACAAAATATAATTTAATTGTTCCAAAAATACCTTCTCATCAAAGCTGCCAATTGCTAGAAACTGACTGGATGGAGACCAGCATACAGACTTGATTCCCAGAGCAAACTCGTATGCACTGTATTTTGATAGGCAACGCCCATCCATTGAATAAACCAATAATTCATACTAAAAGTAAAGAAAATTGTGTAAAAACATTTCTAATCAAGTTGATCACATCAAGCATATCCAATTATCGAAAAAATCTGACCTTGTCATTGTGACTAGGGGCAGAAGGAGGGGGGGGGGGGAAAGGGTGACCAGGAGGGGAGGGGGTACACCACAATCAAGGAGAATAGTGGGGGAGGGTGAGAGAGCCATAAACGGATGGGTAGGTATAATGGGAGAAAACCAAACTTAAAAGACAAACATTGAACTAAGTGATGAGGAGGCCAAAGGGCTCTCCCCCCAGATCCACCCCCCAAACACACTCATATATACACACCCTATGCCTAACAAATTCATGCAACAACTGTTAAAGCATATGCATTGCATTTGTCACTGTTTTACCATAAGTGAACTCTTGATTTAAGTTCCTAAGAGTAGAATGAGTATTACTGACAGTACTTACTCTTAAGAGAGAGTCCCATATGCAAAGAACTCTACCATCAGGCGACCAAGCCAAGTCAGCCAAATCATTTGTTTCCACCTCAAAATGCTGAAATATTGAAGTTTATTAACATTCAGCATAGATATAAACAATAAAAATGAGGAAAATATTAATGTTCATCTCCTAAAAACTTAGCTTAGAATTTTCACATCAATGGTATTTACTACAGTAAACTGTAGTATTCTTGGTTAAGTTAATATTCAGGTGTATAATAATTGTATCCTGATAGCTTCTGAAAACTGTTTCGAAAACTACACACTGACATGGTCAATTACAGTTATGCGAATCATCTTTTTAATTAATAATTTTGTTGTTCATGTATATGTACCTTCACTAGCTGCCATGAAGAGCAAGCAAATATACTTATACAATCTTTGCAGTTTCTTCTTTCAGCTAATGCCATATATTTACCATCTTTAGTAAAGTCAAGCCCTGAGAATAAAGATACATTTATTCAGAATTAAGGTAAGTTTCAGATTAAATTAATTGCATGGTTGGTAAAAACAATCTTTGACTAATTTGACTGGCATTTCCCTTTGTTCCAACCAACATTTCCAAAATTATTAAGAGATTGAACTACATATTTCAACCTAAAATCTGTTTAATCAAGAAAATAAAGGTATGCTATCACACTTTCAAAATTAATATACTTGAAAACGTTTTTGAGACATTCTACATGTACATGTGGTACTGCAAAACTTAGAGCAATTACAGTAGGGGACCACACTATTATTTTTATCAATAACATGGCAAGTTGAAATACAACTTACAGCACATATGATGATAATTTGGTTACTTTCAGTAAAAAGTCATCATTGTGCAGATATACATTAAGAATTACCTGCATGTGCATGCTTTGGATACTTGATGTAACTGACAGATTTGCTAACCAGAGACCAGACAGAAATTCTCAGCTAAAAAGAAAAGAATAAAATAAAATAGTCCACAACATTAGGCAGTAAAGCAGCTCCTGTAAGTAACAAGAGTCAAGCCAGTAACAAGCATGCTGAGATCTTGCCGTCACAGGTAGAAAAACAAATTTGGCAACCACATTTGCAGTGAAATTCGTTATTTTGGTGACCTGTGTTCAATGCTGTGTAGTTTGCTGTATCACTAGTATTCTTGGTACTCTTTTTGCAAAGTGTTCATGGTTTAAAGTCAAAGTGATAAAAATACTGGTACAGAAGATTCTGCAATATTCCATGAATTTCAAATTTTTTCCATTCTATTCTTTTTCTGCCAACCACTTTAAATTTATTGTGGTGAATTTAATAAAAAAAAATTCAGCTCAGAGTCCCTGTTATGCCTCATTTTTGAGAGGCTACTAACAAGCTACAAACCTCCACCCAGATCCCAATTCATAGTACAGTACTCTGTAAACTGATCTACTCTGATCTTCTTTGTGAAAAAGATCACATAACTAGTTCATGCCTGACAATCATGAAGACATATGTTTCTTTAAATCATCACTGATCAATGGCAAAAAATTTCCCTTGTAAGATCCACACACCTGAAAATCTGCGGTGGACAGAATGTGTCTTCCATCAGGACTCCATCTAACGGCAGTCAATCCTGCTAATCCCTCATCAATCTTACAAGTCCAGTCTGGTTTCTCTAAAGACCACACCTGACGGCATGTTTAAATTTAAAAACTCGTTATCGATGACAATTACTGAGAAAAAAGTAAAGAATGAATGGATATTTCCACAAAGAAACAAAAATGTCAACTGTTAAATCAGGTCCAACATTCTTTGACTAGTATGTGCTGTAATAACTTTCTAATTCAGAGCTTCCATAATTCCATTTTTTGGCAAGCTCAGAGCTTTAAGTCCTGCATTAATTTGTTACAGATTGCCCCAGCATGTTTTTGAGGTGGTTGAGTAAATGTAGCATCTATTTCTACTTTAGAAGTGTTTCCTCTTTTTTCAACAATTTTTTTTATTTTTTATGCTTTAAATCATTTTCTTTAACATAATTTCACAAAACATATATGAAAGTTAATCAATCATTAACTAAAAACAACAACTCAAAGATTGGATCTACTCTTCTCCTACATTTATCTCATCTCAGTCCATCAAATCAGAGACTGTACTTATTCCTAACTAGAACAACATAGAAACATACTTGAACTATTCCTCTCTTTAACATGCCACAAAGTATGTACAGGGAATCAGAAGACCACTACAAGGGAAATAAAAATAAAAGTAGTTTGTCAAAAGCTGTCCAATCTTTCAATCCAGGAGTGACCAAGACATACATGTAATTTTTCTATATAATATCAATACAATATCAAGTAGACAAGTGATGAGAATAAAGAGATATTTCAGTTAGGGATTAATATTTGATCCAACACCAAATTCTTTGAAATAACATTGTAGGGAATCTATGGAATATACGGAATATAGTGAGAAGAACTATTGAGTAAATGCCAAGATCATATGATTGCTGGGGTAATGATGCTGCACTTTCAAAATACACCACCAGGATTTGATAGTACGTGTTGATGTATCAACTACACCTGCAGTTCTTCTATCATATATAAATGATTCTCAGTACATTAAATTGTAGTCACGAAAGTGACGAATCATGTAATTTACATAGTTTGCGCCTCAGCTCTAATGAATTCGAACTTTACCTCTACATGTTGTACAACATCTAAACAAGTGTAGAGTTGGAGAATCTGGAGGGTTTTGACATCTCTGACAAGCAATCGATACTGGACACAACTACCCTGGTAACGAAAAAAAAGTTTGTTAGTACAGCGTGAACAAGATCGAAAGATGTTCTCTCCCTAGAACTTACCAAGTATTTGCCATTTGGTGAAAATCTGCTCAGCTGATTTGTCTGCTTAAACAGTTCTGAAAAGTTCATCTCGATTTGTATACAAACAGCTTAGTGCATGATTTACATCGAAACGTCGAGAAATTTCAAACATCGCACTCGCGCACGAAGTGGTCTAATAATTCGAAGAAACCCGCCATAATAAACTCAGTAACCAGGCTTTCTATTCTCTTTACTGCGCATAAGTTTCATTTAGCCCGCTGAGCATAACTACTGTATGTTCGCTCCTTAAGAAAATACGTGTTTTTATTCTACTGGGTTTAACATTGGCAGCAGCAAAATAACACTTTTTCAATACGATGAAGCTAAAAAATTTCTTCAAAAGCATCCCAACACATATGGTTTGTTTATATTTGAATCGCCCTTACACTATGTTTTCTCTTTAGCGATCTGAAATGTGAATTGTCAGTACATATTTATTCAACGAACCAACATTATTTCTCTGTTGCTACAGGACTATGAAGGACAGAAACTAGCAGAGCGACTATTCCATATCATAATCCTGTTCTTTGGTGTAAGTCACATGTCAAATTACATGTATTGTTTGATAATACGGTTGGTATGTTGGATTATGATATGTACCATGTGGTATTGCATCGATCCCGAGAGGGTCAAATTTCAGGGGAAGTGCAGATTTCACCCCTTTCTCTTCCCCAGAGCCACTCGTTTTAACCTTCATGTACCTTGATGAGAAGAATGATAAAAACTTCTTTTTTTTTGGTTGATAGAGCAGGTTTTAATTTAGTCTTGAAAGTAATCAGGGATTGTTTTGTTTGTGCTTTTAACTTTACTCTTTGATTGGTTTATAAAACTTGTGCCACCTGACCTTAACCAATCACATGCGAAACCAAAACCAATCATTATACTTGTTCCTGGGCTTTAGGCAGTTTGGTCAGTTTTACTTTGAGTTCTCATTGGCTCTTAAATATAAATTCCTTTGTTCTGACTTTCCATTATGATTACTTTGCATTTGGTTTCACATGGCCTAATCAAAAACTGCCCTAAAAAAGGGAATGTGCACCAAGAATTAAATCACCGAGTACTCAGATCCCTGTCACCTAATGAATCTTAAAATTTGATTGTTGTCGTCTGAGTCGAGAGTATACGTCAATGTTTTAAGCTGAAAGAAAGTTTTTGAATGGAAATGAATCCATCCAAAAACCAGAAAGATTTCTTTATAAGTTAGAGCAATTGAACTTGGCAGTAGATTCAGAAAGTTTCAGGTAGAGTGTATATGTAAATTGTATGTCGATGACCAAGAGGGAAAGCTTAACCAGACATGGTCTGTTTGTGAGTCCTTGTGAAATGAAAAGTAGACAATTGAACTTTCAGTGTGTCTTGATTGGAATATCTGAATGAAATAAAATGTAGATGCAGTGATGTAGTACTTTTCTCCCAGTACATTGTAGAGCATCAGTGTTTGAATTTGTATCAGTGAAATTTTCTTAACTGAAATTCATTGATAATTCCTTTGATCTGTGGTTTATTTGGGTGCTACCACCAACTTAGCCAAGTTGGGATCAAGGCAAACTCTGGAGGGTTCTTCACTTTCATGGATTGGCCTGCCTGTGACAGTCTTAGGTGCCTTTCAAGCCTCTTATATCATCATTTTGTGAGAAAACTAGTCAATGCTCTTCTTGTACCTTTTTTCTTAAGCCAAATGTAGCATTCCTTTCTGTTCACTTTACCATTCTGTCTGTATATTTATTAAATTGCACATGTTCTGTTATTCTCTTTTTAACAGGTGGTAGGCTTTGCTTGGGGATATTACATACAACAGTTCGGCGCAACTATAATCATTCTAGCAGCTGGATTTATAGTCAGCTGTTTGGTAAGTGCTGAAAAATTTCCTCAAGGTCCTTTAATGCTCAACTTGAGTGGATGTAAGCAATTAGTTTTTCCTCTTTTAGCTCAGCTGTGTACTCATTAAGATTGACTACATGCAAACAACATTTACAATTTTTAACACCTTTCATGATCATCATGTGCAATTAAAACCTTTCAAGAGGATTTACGAGATTCTTCACTGAAATCTTCCCAAATTCCCCGCTGGGGGATCTAAATTTATGTAGTGTTAGTTAGAAATAAATTACTGTGGTAGAGGAACAAAAAGTGGTTTTAGTAAGTAACAGAGAGGAAAAACTGGGACTTTAAAAAAAAATGGTACATCAGTCTGGGGATGGAAGGGAGCAAAGATGCAGCTGTTGCAGACACCAAAAAGCACAGCTCTTGAATTTACAAGTGTTATCCATCAACCCTGACCCATACAGCAAACCCATGCTCCCTTGCAAGATACCTGCACTACTGACTGTATGTACTGTGTGATATTTTTCAGCTGGTGTTGCCTCCATGGCCTATGTACAGAAGAAATCCACTGGACTGGCAGAAACCACGCCCAGAGAAAGCCGACACAAAGAAAGAAGGAGGAAAAAAGAAACAAAAGTGAATCCTAGATTACATTCTGGTAGAGCTAGCTTTGTAATAAATTATTAAAATGTACTACCAAGTGATAAATGTCTGTTTATGTGACTTACTTACTTTATACAATGATATGGATTTTGGTAAGTTGTAAGTTGATCAAAATTTCGTACATTGTAGCCAAGAATTATAACTGAATATGGTAGGAGAATTTATCTGGCAACCCAAAGTTTCCCACAGTCCTGACTTTAATCTCATATTCTGTGGTGTGCATCATTTTGGCCATGATAATCATTACTGAACACAACTCATCTTTCTTCTCTGATAAAGCAGTTGAAATGGTATTCAGAAAAAAAAATTCACCATTCTGTTTGTTGCATTGCAGACAGCATATACATATACTCAAAATACTCTTATGAAGCCTAAATGGGAAGAGATGGGTTATCAGGATCTAAATTGAAACATGCTAAAGAATTTGAGGAACTGTTATTGTTCTTTGTAGCATTAAACCTCTCTTCACACCAGCTGTTTTTCAGCTTTATATATTTGTAGTCAAACAGTTGCCTGATCAGTTTGTTAAATTATATATATAAATATATATAATTTACATTTATACAGTAGATATTATATATAATTATATATATATATATATGCACAGGAGCCTCCAAGTCACAAATTTTCAATCTGGCAAAACTTTGATACTGCATGTTACATTGAGTGTTTGAGTATAAGAACTTGAATTTTACACATGTTGTCTGTTTGTGTTAAACCATTCGTATATTATGTGTTATAAATTGGTCGATAGATGTGCTTAGTCGAGTGTGCGCTAACATGATTGTAACGTTTGCCACTGGTCCTTTTTTTTTAAATTTTTTTTCTTGAGGAATCTTTCATGGAAGCAATGGAGAACATTTTCGGTATTTACATAGCCTTTTATTGACACTAGGAGGGTTGGGAGAATACTGACTAAAGCTAATCAAACCTCTGACTTCGTCAAGAGTTCGTGTGACAACACCTGCACGCATGAAAATGAGGAAATTTCGTAAAATAAAATAAAAAAAAACATTGGCATCGTTTAAGAAAAAAGAACAGAAATAAAAGCTGATTAGTTCGGCTTCTTGTTAACCCTTTAAATCCCATGAGTGATCAAGACAGAATTTCTCCTAACAATATCAATACAATATTAAACTGACGAGTGATGAGAATAAAGAAAAATATCAGTCAGGAGATTATAAGTTGATCCAATCCCAAATTCTCTAAACTAGTATAACAAGAACTGTATGGGAGACAGTAAGAAGAATTACTAATGAGATGTTGGAAGTTAAAGGGTTAAATACTCTTCATCTCTTGTTTTTCGGCAGGTGGTTGAGATAATTTTCTGTGAGATTCAATTCATTCTCTGCTCATTCAGTAGGGCAAGCCTATACAGTTCAGAAAGAAACTTTGGTCACGAACTACTCGGATCAGATGAAATACTCTCAAACTCTCGCTTAATTTTTTTTTTTTTTTACTGAAGGGAAATTTATTAGTTACCCTGGAAAACCTGCCATTTTCGACTCTTTCACTTTACACTGTCTCAGCCCCCTCATTTTCCAATTAACAATTCCGTCCCTTTTCAATAATAACTTCTAATTTATCAAACTAAAACTCGATTGGACCACGGAAAATCTACTTTTGAAAATATTTAGCCACATTTAAAGGCTTGATTCTCTTAAAGCAGTTGCTTTTGCCTCTAGAGATTTGGTTAGTGCGAGCCATGAAATGGCTTTAATCGGTGCATACCCGTGTTCGAATGTGTCTGCTCCGATTACTTTGAGCATCACTACCGCTTCTACTTGCTCCTTCCTCACCGTAACCGCCGTCACCGGCAACCTTTTTGTGATTCTCGCCGTCATCTTCGATCCAAATCGTAATCTACGATCGCGAGTTAACTTCTTGGTGGCAAATTTGGTTGCTGCAGAGTTAATAGTTTGCGTATATGCTCTTCCACTGTCAGTGGAATTTCACATTAGTGAGTCGATGTCTCATCTTTCAATTCCATCGACACCTCTGCAGCGAGACCATGCTAGACGCGTAGCCTACTTCCTCTTGTGCACAGCATCGTTACTGAGCTTGGCTGCATTGACCAGAGATTGATTCATCGTCATAAAGGAGCCGTTAAACTACAGAACGGAGATGAACCAGAAACAAGCTGCCATGGTTTCACAAGTCATTTGGGTTGTTTCCTCTGGTCTTCCATTTGTTTACTTTCAGATGGCTACTTGAAGTATTCCTTTGTATTTGTGAATACAGCTGTAGTAACAACTTTAATCGCGTTGTGTGTCACAAACGCCAAGGTCTCCAAACTTTTTAAATGTCGAGTACAAAACTGTGGCGCTCTGCATGAGGGCGGAAACAACGCTAACAACATGGCCAAGATACGGGCGATCGAATGGCAGAAGAGATTTACTAAAAAACATTTCTGATCATGATGGCTCTCTATGTTTGCTGTTTCCTTCCCATCCTGATTCTTGTCTACGTGTTTAGTTTCTGCGTCTACGTGATTAGTTTCTGCGTAAATTGTACCTATGCTTTCATTCACTTGGCCAGAGATATTAACTCCAACTTAATCAAGGCGAACTCAAGCGTGAATCCTTTCGTCTTTGCATGGCGACTGGAACGATACTGCAAAGCTTTTGTTAAAATCTTAAGTTGCAAGAGGTTGATTCAAAGGGAAACCATGCCTTCAACAGCTGTGTAGGAAACCCGCCGGGTTTAAGCCCTAAGAGTGACTTGCATCTAATTTATCATTGAATATTACCCATAAATCACGCATTAAGGTTGCGAGAATAGAGAAAATGATCACCAACTAAAGAGGCTCCCTAAACATTCATCGAAATTACTTAGCATGACACTAGAAAAAATTGATTGAATTTAACTGTTTATTGTAGACTAAAAAAAATGACAAATGATGGTAACCTTTTTTCTTTTATTTTTTTTTGTCAACAGTATTTACACTAGTGATTAGTGCTATATCTCATTTGAAAGAGGACAATATTAGCTTTTCAGAAAAAATATATTTTGCCTCCAAAAATCCATGCATTTCAAGAAAAAATGTTTTGTTAGTCGAAGAGGTCTGCTCAAGCCGACTCGGAAACTGACCGGCGCACAGACTTTTTTTTTATCGGGAGACGCAATCGATATCTATTCATACGTCACTGATCTGTATAACCTGCGTGGGGCATGGCAATCCGGTTTTCCAGTTGTAGCTCATATTATCCTTCACCGTGAGTGCTGTTGCTAAACCCTTTAGGATCTAAGTTCTCCCAACAGTATAACCCCTGCATCACACAGTAAGGTTGTGAGAACAAGGGGAATGAGCACCAACTAAGTATTATCTTGATTGATAAACAAATTCTCGTTGTTAACACCTAAGAATTGTATAGAATGCAGTATAGAGAATATAAACACTGATGTTAGGGTTAAACTGTTGTGCCTCCTAAACGCTGTGTTAATCAATCTCTCTCCTTTACAAGACTCTTTCAACTTCCATCTCTTGCTTCCCCTTCCCTGCTTATTGGGGTAAACTGAAGACATGACACAAATCTGAGGTAAGGAATGGAGGGAGGTGGAGGTAAAAAAAATTGATAGTTTTCTTTATTCTCATCACTTGTCTGGTTGATATTGTATTGATATTTTAAGGAGAAATTCTGTCTTGGTCACTCATGAGAGTTAAAGGGTTAAAGAGGTGGGAAGCTTGTAAATTCCAGATCCAAGGACAAATATACAATTAATAAGCCTATACCACTGACATATTTGAGAGTACTAGATTTTGCAAATGCTTTTGGAGTTTAAATTGACCTAGGAAATTAAAATCTTTTTAAGGGGTGAGTTTAATTGCTGGTGTGCCTTCAGACAGACTCTTTCAAATTATTTCTTCCTCGTATTCAACAGGCAAGAACTTAAACAAAAATCAAATCTGTATGCTTTTTCTTCTATCACCCACTTCATTCTCTGCTCAGACATTGGAATTAAAATGAATAAGCTGACCCTATCAATTGTCATTTTAATAAAAACCCTCAAGGCAAAGGAATAAAAATAAAATATCTATGTTTATTAGCTCTATAAATTTGTCAACTTTCTTGAAGTTAACATTACTGTGTCATGTGTTAGCTAACTACGCCCACAATTTTTTCAATCTTTTACCTTAACCGAGTACTGAGGCCTTTATCTTCCCCTCCTATGGTATGGCAGCTCAGGCGTCTTCCTGTTTCACCAAACACCACAGGCTCAACACCCAGTGAGAAACTGATTAACGAAATCTCTCCCCACACCTTTCGCCAGTATTAAACGACCTTTTTCATCTCTTGTCTTAAACCTTTAACCCCTAAGAGTGATAACCATCTAACTTCTCCCAACAGAATCGCCCCTGAATCAAACACGAAGGTCAGGAGAATGAAGGAAACGATTGAGAATACAATAAGCTCTTGATTGTCAAACAAATTCCCCTCGTAAGTATTACAGGAAAGATGGAGAACGGTATGGAAATTGATGTATGGAGGTCAAAGGTTGAGTGATTAAAAAATTGGAAGTAATAAAGGAACAAACACGAATCCTGTATAGGACGTTCGACAGCCACAGCTACACGTGTATCACACGTTCCACGTAAAATGACACGTTTTAAAGTTTTCCAAAGTTAATTATTGGTCAGCTCCTCGACGTCAAAGGCTGGTTTTCAATAGCGACGATTTGGAAGAGAAATTCTGACTACTTCTGTCATCCTGAATCCCAAATCACGCATCCCGTTTGCTAAATCACGTACCCCGAATCCCGTATTTCTCTAATTTTCAATATTGAAGGTCGAAAGTAATCCGTGGTTGTTTAAGTTTTCCTTCTCTTTGCTCTGTGATTGGTCCGTAGCGCTCGCGCCATCCTTTCAACCAATAAGCTTCAAAACTAAAAACAAACGCGACTTGGTCATTGGCGTTTTCCCGCGCTTCACACAGTTTGCTTGTTTTTACTTCGAGTTCTCATTGGTTCTTGGTGACATTTTCTTGGCTTTGACTTCTACGATTGCTTTGCTTTTGGTGTGACGAAACTCTATCGAAAAGTGCTGTAACGACTTCGACTCCGACGTTAGCGAAAACCAGTCTTAACAGGTCATCCCTTCGATGACGCCGGTTGACTAAAACTACCTGAATTATTCCCCCTTGGCTTTCTTCTTCAAACTTGGTAATGCCTACAAACTTCTTATAACAATAAACAGAGAGAAGAAGAGAAAAAAAGAAAAGAAAAAGAAAACGAATAAAGAATTCCGATTGTAAAACTCAGTCGACGTGGTCATCGGGCAAATTTCCAACGACACCACTAATATACTTTATCTGATGGAATAATTTCTATCCCTAATATACTAAATAGATCTATAAAAGTTAAAAAATGTAAGTCTGTTTTGTCTTGTTCTCTTTTTAACATCCAACTGAGAATGCATGTCTTTTCTCCCCCAGTTCTTTCGCTTCTTACGCCAGGTTATATCAGGCAAAGAATCAAAAGGAATACTCTTAAAACTCATCGTGTAAATAGCCAGCGTAATTAGCCATTGTACTCCCAGTGAAAAGTTGGTAATTCATAAGTACTTCCTTCTCTGATAGCTGATCGTCGCGATTTCTGTCTGCCATTGACACCAAATAATTGCCTTCGTTGATGGCCCGCTGTTTGTGAGTGGGATCCAGGTATTTGGTCAGTTCATCTACGGTAACTACACCGTCTCCATCTTCATCCATAGCAACGAATTCATCTTCGCGTCTGAAGTAAACGGACAAATGAAAGATAAGGTTAAGAAACGAATACTAAAGAGGCGCTAGATATTTTGTAGCCAAAGTATGCTCTCGCAAGCCTAGTATTACTAAATTGCGGAATCATTTCAACGTTTTTCCAACATGAAGTAAAACAGGGTCTGGCTGGTCTTACTCAACCCTAGGTACATGCGCTAATTCAACCCTCTACACTCTAAAATCAGTATCCATATTCCCAATACTGTTCTACATACAGTTCCTGAGGTGCTGACAAGGAGAATTAGTTCAATGATCAAGTGTTTCTTTAGTTGGTGATCATTTCCTTTATTCTCGAGACCTTGACGTTTGATTCAGGGGTGATATTGTAAGGAGAAATTAGATACTAGTAACTCTGACTGTCTTTCAGGTCAAATGGTTAATTGCTGGATCATTTTAAAGTTTGCCTAACATAAAAACCAGTTTGACTGGTAGTACTCTGAGGTGAGTTTCACCCACCAAGAGTACCACCCATGGTACATGCAATAAATTACACCCCACCCGAGTGAAAAAAAGGCACTGAGATATTAAAAGAGTCCCATGCCTATTCAGAGATCCAGGACACATCTTGGGAAATGAAGGGGTAATTTTTGGTTCAGTGATTTCTAAGTGAAAATTATAGCTGATATCTTTGCTTTTCACAGCAGGGGAAGACTGGGGAGAGAAAGAAATGAGTACCAAGAGGGTGAGCAACTGTTAATGGGAAAGAAAGGGGAGGGGGAGGGTAATTTTGTCTTCCTGTCCCCTCCCCTCAATGTACACTCTAACTTTAAATCAAACATGGCTGGCTAGATAGGGCAAGCTTATAACACAAACTTGTCTTAGATAGACACCTGCACCACATGCTTTAAAGAACCATAAGATACAAAAAGTAGAGTTGTGCTTACTCCTTACGGTAGTCTTCATCAAGGTCAGCATCTTGCTGTGTATCCACCTCTCCTGGTGGCAGTTGTGCAAATTCCTCTTTGGTCAGGACCTGGACAAAACACATGCAAGAAATGCAAGATTCAACTTGATATGCTTTGTCCTGTTAGAGAACTCTGAGTAAAAGCAACTACTTTGTGACAAAAATGTATCATACTTTAATTTCAGTCATGGCTGAATCATACCAATAGATGAATTACTTTACACCTAAATAAGAATGAGAGAAACCCTTTTTGTTGTTGATCCTGCAATTATTACAGCTGAATATTATGACCCAATGCATGGCCCAGTTTCCTGCTAACTCCTGCTAAATTGTGGCAATTGATTGAACAGCCAAATGCAAAAAACATTTCATGTTAAACCACTCACAAGAATTATATTTTTCTCTCCAACAAGATCCTCAACAAGGAATTTCACCCCTGCCATATTTTGTTTTTATATTCATTCGCTCAATTATTCTTCATCATTAAAATTGATTTCCATAAATTCAATATTATGCAAGGTAAGACTTGCCAATAAGTGGGTTTTTTTCGCTTTTAAATTTTGGAACAAATACCTAAAGTTTAACAATATAAAACTGGTAATTAATACAATCATTACAGTTATTTGCTTTTTCTTGTTCTTAAATTTAATAATGAACTGCCAAAACCGCAATATTATGTGTAAATGATACTGGCATTATGTATTCGTTGAGAGAGGCTAGTTGAAAGAAAAGGGAAATTAAAAAAAGGAAATAAATAAAATTAAATGATACCTTGTCTTGGTTTTTGTCAAAATTTTGTATCATGTCTTCTACCAAATCTTTTATACTCTGTGGATTGTGTTCAGGGTGCTCAAAGTAAAGGAACTCTGTTTCATCCAGCTTGTCATCCATGTTCAAGTCCCCTCTTCTGAATTTGTCATGGTACTCAACTATTGGGTCCTGAGGTTCACCAACATCATCTAATATGTGTAGATCAAACAGAAGAGAATTTACAAATAGACAATGGTTTGACAGGGTCTGTACTCTTATTGACAATGATATTCACTATCACAGTAGTCAAAATGTTGTGGACGGCAAGTGAGTCTTCAACAAATTACCACAAAATCTACGTCAAATAAAATGATTCTTTCGGTGAATGACCATTGCATGACACATGTGAACAGTGTTGTCTGTACTCTTATCAAAATTTGCAAATTGGCAAATTGGCCAATCAGATTGCAATAGTACTGCCAATTGTGGTAAAATATAGGTTAGGTACACTGGAAATCTTTGTCCTTGCAGTACCTGGAAAAAATTTTGCCGTCTTTAGTAAGCAGCGTAATTTAACAATTTGATAACCTCTGTTTCACAGTCATGTGGCAAGTTATCAACCCTCTCACTCCTAAGAGAAAATACAGCATCCAATTTCTCCATATAATATCACTTTTGAATCCAACAAGGGTCATGAGAATTAAGGAAATTATCACCATTTTAGGATGCTATGAAGTGTTAAACAAATTATTTGTGTTAATGTTATAGGGAATGTATAGAGAACAGTATGGAGAATATAAATGCTAATGTAAGGTTGTACGATGTACATTGTAAAGAACTAATGGAAATTTCTTAGGGTCTGAAGTCAACTTGAGAAAAATATTTTCATAAAATATAAATCAATTTTTGTTTACTTCTGTAAATCTTAGCCTTTTCCCCCTTCGTTAACATTACTTTTTTTTTCCTTTTCTTTTTTTTTATTTATTTATCTTTTTTGGAAGACACTGTTGTGACAAAGATACAGGGGTAGGGAGGGGAGTGGGGGGTATTTTTTTTTTTTTTTTTTTTTTTTTTTAATGACTGGTTAGCTTTTTTTCTGGAAGTGTTGCATCAGTTGTATGAGCAATTGTGTGTTTAGCTTAACAGCTGTAAAGCTGTAGATTGTACATGGATATAAATACCGTGCATTTCACCAATTTCGATTGCCTTCTATATTTCATATCCATGATTTTTGAAGATCGAATCTTTTTTTTTGCTATGACTCACCTAATTCTTTTTCAACCTCGATCTTCCGAGTGGCATTAAGTTCTTTTAGCTTCTCTTGAAATTCATTCCACGTAACAACGCTGTCTCCGTTTTTGTCCGCTTCCTTAAACTTTCGCCTATTGTTTTCGCGAGCTTCCTGAACGTGCTCTTTGATTTTCCCGTGAATCCACTCTATCATTTCAGGCCTGCTAATCAAATGATCCCCGTCCTTGTCCACTTGATGGAAGAGGTCGATAAGCCGCCTGTAACCATCCATATTGTCGAACAACAAAGTGCCATTCTCTACCATTTTCCCGAGGAAAGCTTCGTGATGGTAATCTTTGTTAACATGGCCATCTCGTTCAAGTTTCACGCCTTTTAAGTGATCTTCCAAAAAAAGTTTTTCCTTCTTTATCTCGTTTGCTTTTTCAGGGTCGAGGGTTCTGCTAGTGTTGAACGGCTTGTTGAAACAAGCTGGTAGGAAGACTAGTATGAAAACAAGAAACCCTTTCATGACCGCCATCTTGCGACGACGGACAGATTCTCGCCCCAATCTCCTTTGATCACCGTCGCAACATGATCTCGAGACCGAAATTACGATTATCGTTATTTCTAAATTGGCACCAAATTTATGGATATAGTAATTTCGTGGCACTCTTTACCAATGCTCTTTACCGTGTTAAATAAAGAGAAGGACTCGGTTCCACTGTCTTACAACATTCAAGATGGCGGAGGAAAGGGGTAAATGTGCGTTCAGTTGTGATCAGCATGATCTCGACACCAAGATAACGATTACCGTTATTTCTAAATTGGCCCTGAAATAACGAATATCATAATTTCAGTGCATGTCTGAGACCTTCGGGCTCGAAGCTTGGGAACTAGTATTCAGGGAAAGATAAAATGGCGGCTTACGGCGGCGAAGGAAATCTCAGTAGTTTAATATTTAGCGTGAAAAGGCTTGGGTGTTGTGATCTGGTTCTCAAGTAAAAAAAAATCACGGTCTGCAATGGCCCTACCCCCTTTTGAACAACAAGAAAACATTGAAACGGTGGTAAAAAGCAGCAAGTTTCGAAGTCTAAACGAAAGATGGGTAAGCTGAGTTTCAGTCAAATATCATGACATTTGGGATGTAATTTCGATACCGAATAAATAGTTCTACATGGTTACACACGCATAGGATTCTGTTGTGTTCACGTGAAGGCCATTTCAGCCATTCCTGCCACTTGTAAGTGGTAGGAAATAAAAGATATGTATAGTTGTTTCGTATTGAAGCCCTGTGAAATCACAAATTTGATTTATTTCTTCTTTGTTTTAAGTGGTCATTATCCATTACTTTTGGAAGTCGATGCTGATGAGAAAGAAAAAATGTTTATGATTATTTCTTCTCTCGAACATTTTATTATTTAGGTACCAAATAATCTTGATACTGAAGATCATTGCATCCATTATGAAAAAATTACCCTTGATTGCTTTGTCAACTGGAATGTATAATGTAATATACCTTGTGATTTGTGGGATTTTCACAAGTAAACTAGAAATACTTGAAGAAGTTAATGATGTACTTAATGCAGAGCATTTGGTACAAAGTCTGCTTTGCTGTAATCTACCTGAAGGTGCTTTTTATATGCTAGTAAGACTTGCACAGCCCAGTCAAAATGTTTTTGAGTAGTAGAAAAGCTGGCCAAACCTCTTCCTGAAAAGCAGTCTGAAAAATGTGAAGTTAGCGGAAGGTACTTCATTGTAGGCGGCCAAATTGTAAGCTGCCAGCCCATTTTGAGTGAGCAGTAAAACTCAAGATTGGCTATTTTAGCTAATTTTATTGAGAACCAAATTCCCAGCAACGGGCACAATTTTACTGGGCTATTTGTTATTTAACTATTTAGTAATATTCTTATTAAAATTTACTGCATTCCTTTCTAATAATTTGCTGCTGATTGTATGCTGTATATAGCTTATGATTTGTGTGATTTTCACAAGTAAATTAGAAATACCTGAAGATGGTAATGATGTACTAGATAATGTACTTGATGCAAAGCTATTTTGGTGCAAAGTGTGTGCCTTGTCTGTAGGTGATTTTGCATGCTAATAAGACTTGTAATTCAAGTAATACACATCAGCTGGAGTGGGAATATTAAAAGAAAAATAATAATATTTAGCTATACCAAGTTCTGGTTTTATGTCCAAAGTGTGTGCCTTGTCCGTAGGTGATTTTGCATGCTAATAAGACTTGTAATTCAAATAATACACATCAGCTGGAGTGGGAATATTAAAAGAAAAATAATAATATTTAGCTATACCAAGTTCTGGTTTTATGTCCAAATTAAGCACTTAGTTGAAGATCACTGCACTGCTCAGGTCCAGAAGGCTGAAAGAGTACTGTCTGCTGTTAGTTTGATTTTTGTCATTTCTATTGATTTATTTTATTTATCAATGTTTCTTTGAATTGTAATTCATTGATCTCTTTCAATAGTGCAGGTTCGCTCATGTAACCTAATCTCCCACTTATGTATGTATGTATGGATGAGCTCAGTCAAAATGTTTTTGAGTGGAAGGCAAGCTGGTGATAGTAATAGGCAGCAGAGGCTGAACCTTGTCTTGAATGGAAGTGTGAAAAGTGTGAAGTTAGCAGCAGCTATATTGTGGCAGGCAGCCAAATTGTCAGCTGTGGCACATTTTGACTGGGCTGATTGTGTGTAGTATATATGTGCACTTCTTTTAGGGTGTTAAACAGGTTAAAGTACCAAGAAATCCTCTGTGATAACTTGATAATTCAAGATGTAAAAATTTTAAATAATAAGGTAAAGCTTGATCATTCTTAAGAGTTTCCATTTGCTCTGGAAATTTGGGGGAGGGTCAGGGGAGCATTATTTATACATAAATAATGTACATAAAAAGTAAAAAAAAAGGACCAAGGTAAAATCCCAATTTGTTTTAAGAGTTAATTTTATCAAGAGAAAACCCTGGATATAGCTTGGGATTTGTGTGATTTTCAAAAATTGTTAGGAACCTTGTTAATTTTCAGCTTCAAGAACACAAGTACATAATCTTTAGTGCAGCCCTCTTTTCTCCCCGCCATTATTCTAATTTTTTTATCAAGTTTCCTTTTTCTTGTGTTCAATTAATTCATTGTCTTTACAGGTGAAATTTTAATATCTGCTAGCACAATTATCTCTGCTAAGAGTGTCTACCATCACTCTTGCCGGTCTCAAGCCCAAAACGCTGCAAACTAGCTGAAACTACATGTATTTCGTAAAATTGCAATGAAATCTATCTAAAAACACCAAAATCCGGCAGAACGCGCGAGTTGACAAAAAAGCGCTCAATTCGACCTGAAAAACACTTTTTTTTTTTTGTGCAAAAATCAGCCTATTTTACATTCAAAAGCACGATGTCTTTAACAAAATAGGGATACAATCCATGTGAAAACACTTATTCCAGCTAAAACGCAGTCTTCTCAGTAAAATTTGGGCTGATTTTACCCACTTTTTGTGTAAATAGCTGCCAAAACCCTCTAAACTAGCTGGAACTACATGTTTTTCACAAGATCGCCATAAAATCTTGAAACGTTGCTTTAGGGACCTTTATGCCTCCAAAACGAGTTTTTACTTTAAAAAAAATGGAATTAGCAAAGAAGTGAAAGGGGAAAAAGCTGTGAGAAAGGAGAAGTTTAGTGTTGCTGTGTGATATGCCGCCCAGATATATCAATTTATTAATTAAACGCCTTTAGCCGTGGGCAGAAGTTTTTCTCTAGACTAAGAGGACCCTCCCTATGTTGACGAACCTCAATAACTCGTTGATTTTACTGTTTTTACACAGATTTGATTTTAACCATATTCGCCAAAATAACTGCCAAAACACGGCAAACCAGTATCTCGGCCAAGAGCGATATTGGCCATTTCACACATCCTTATTAGATATGAATTTTATTAAAGATTGTCATTCTAGCATATGTTGGCTAGTTACCACAGGTTTCTTGATTTTCATGGGAAAGTGGCATTGGTTGGTACCATGACCAATCTCCTCGACTTTCCCATGATTTTCATAGGATGTTAGCGACCCATACTTCGAACCTCAGTTGTTTTTTTTTTTTTTTACATTGGCGCGAGTTCCACAACTTTCTTCTGGTTTGGCATTGACTCAGAGTTGGGCTTATTTTTATGGCTAATCCATCGGCGACTTTCTCATGATTTTCTTGGGTTCTCAACAGTGACACGCACTTTGGAACCATAATTTTATAAATATGTCAACACTGGCAAATACTGCTAAAATCTACACTCTACTAAACTCCATGTACCACAATATCCACACAACTGCGTGTGCCTACTTGAAAATCCTAACCCTAACCCTAAAACTATCCAGTTAGCCTAGTATTGTATTGCTGGTTTGAGTGACTAAACTGGCTCAAATGATCCAGCTGCTTAAAAATCTAAGCACAGAGTAAGTTTAAAAGATTCAATTTTGTAAGGTTTCGAAACAGTTCCAAAATTAACATGCACATAGCTCAGTGTAAAACATCGAAGCTTCTAGGACTTCTTATGATTCCTACGAACGTACACACCTAATGCACGTCAATTTGCCTTTGTTGTCCTCGAACGATCACGTCTTCATGGTAACGTGGTGTAAGAACTGTACAGCACTTTATAAATATATGTTTTACTTGACGGTAAAAGTTTGAATCCGTACAAGGAAACGTAACGGAAACAGGCGATGATAATATTCCGTTGACAGAAATGCAACGGAAACGTATCGTCATATTTCCGTTCAGGAATCATAACGGAAACATAACAGGTCCAAGGAAGAAGTGAATGATGTGGAAACATAGAGTTTCATTTTTCCGAATTACGGAATCATGCTATTTCGTCCTGTGCTCACTCTAACTCTGTGCTATCCTAAACCTAACCCAAACCCCAAACCAATCCTAAGCTATGGTAAAGGGTTTAAGTCAGGGTTGAGGATAGGGTTAGGGCAGGAGCCCATTACCTGGTTAGGGTTAGAGTTTGGGTTGCTTCGGGTCAGAGGGGTTTAGTGTTACAATCAGGGTTAGGGCTAGGGTAAAATTATGCCTAGAGTTAGCGGGGTTTAGTGTTAGAATTAGGGTTAAGGCTAGGATGAGGCTATGCTTAGGGTTGGCGTTAATATTTTTCTACAAGCATTCAATTGCAGGGTTTTTGGTATTGTGTTTGTAAATTTCAGTAACTACTTGAAAGTTTACTGAAAAACAAACGATAGGCCGACTAGTACACTTACAGGATAGATAGAGAAGGTTGGGGTTAGGGTTAGGGTTAGAGGGTCTGCG